TCATGACATCATCAAGTCACTTTAATTGCAATTCTTCAAAGGATACTCTGTACTATCCTATAAATTTATTTTCTGCACTTGACACCTTTTGACTTATGACATTTTCCAGATTTTCCTGTTTATTTAAAAGACTTTTGCTTCTTGACATCTTTGGCTCTTTGATTCGTTTCATTTAGAATTTCCTTTTGAGAATCATCGGATGTCTGGCTATGAAAGTTATTGGAATTGCCATTCTTATTTTTTTTAAATCGAAACAGGTGGAAATAAAAGGATAGTAAGCACGGAAAGTTGGAAGCATAACTGAGGATGGAAAAGTAGTGACGGGAATCAGGAAAATCTTAAGGGTATTATAATTATTATTGGGTCTTATAATTTTAATCGAAATTAATGTATCTTTGACTTATGTAGTTATGATCAAACCTGGACTGGAATCCATGATCTTATGATTAACTGCAAGGGCTTAAATACTTCGGTTTCTCAAAGTTTGATCCTTTCTTTTTGTCTAATAAGATTTAATTTTAAAGGAGAAAAATCTTAATTACGAAAGAAATTAAATTGTATTTTAGAAGAGGGTCATTTGCACCAGAAGCTGTTCAGAGAAACTTTAAGCATCAATGGTTTCTATAATTTGTAATGCTAAACACTTACTATTTAAACCTTAATATATGATATATCTATTTATTCAAATATTTTTTTTATTTAACCATTATTTCATTTTATTGATAATACTAGCATTTCAATCACAATTGTTAGCCTGATTGTTGCCATGTTTGTGCTTGTTTGGCTGGTCATCGCTTGGCCATCATCTCCACACATCCGCTGGGCATGTGTATAGTTTTTATTATTCTTGCTCTATGTGTGTATACATTTGCTTTTTGTTTTCATATAAATATATATATATATTTTATGCGCGATGATGTGTGTCTTTGTGGGGGCACGCAGATTTCCGCTGCAGTTTGACATCTGCCAGTTTCCACTTGTCTATGATAAGCAGGCAAAGCTAAAGGAGGATGGTCATGAGAGCGTGTCAATTGCACAAAGATACATGTGTAGCGTTCATGTGCTATATATTTGTGCATAGATAGTTATAGTCGCGATGTCGTGCTGTTAAACCATGCAATTTGCCACAGTAGTTGGAGCTTAAGGAAAAAGCAGAAGCACAAAATACCGACGACAAAAAAAAATGAATAAAAATTGAAATGTGTGTCAACAAATTGCACAAATTATCAGCAGTTGAGCACAGAGTCACTATACTCGAAAAAAAATAATCAAATCTTTTAATCAAAGATAGTATATACCTTAAAATATGAAAAGAAATGGTAAAAGTTTGAATAGAAAATAAAGAGAAATACTCTTGTAAGGCGTTTAAAATCACTACAAAACGTGCTGAAAAGTATGCTATGAAATTTTGGAGGAAGCCATTGCAATGGAGTTTCATGTCGTTTCCGTTTACCATATAACACTTATTTTAGCTTTAGTTTAGGAAACATTTTTAAATTTTAACTTTATATACTTTTTTTAAATTCAAAATTAAAGTATAGTTATTTAATATTTTTATGAAATTTTCAATGAAATAAAGAGATTTCTTATCTATTTAATTTTAAATAGGAAATTGACTTTAGATAAATATTTATAAAATATAATATTTATAAGATTAAGACACTACGAAAATATGTATTAGGATTTTAAATTAACACTTAAGATTGTGTTTCTATTTAATTTTTTCATTTAATTATTAATTTTAATGAATCAAAAATCCCAACTAACTCCAAATTCTTTCCAGTGTCTCTCGTTAAAATTCGCTCAGCTGGAGAGCACCGACACCGACAGTGAGGGCTCCACTGTACTTGAAACACACGCTTGTGGGCGGAGTGGGCGACATCGCAGCAATCAATCCGCATGACAATGGGCTAATTACAGCGAATCCATCACGAGGGATCGCCCCAGGCCCAGCAAATGGACAGCCGTCGAATTAAAAAGTTTAAGCAAAAAATTAAAATTAAATCTCAACACTTGACCCTGCCTCTGGTTGTATGCTTTTTGGGCATTCCACTTAATCATTGATTTGCATACTAATTCAGAGCTACTGCGAACAGATCATGCGTGGGCCCTATAGTTTATGAATGGTCGAAATATTTAGCTGGAAATCGAAATCAACAAAAAATTGTGAGAAAAAAATGTGTTAAAGAAACTAAAGAACAAATTTTTCAGGAAAATATATAGGTGTTGGAATGTCTAGGAATTGTACAAAAAATTATATAAATAAGAGACTTGAAAGACTCATTCAAGTTTATTTCTACTGTCACATTACGAAACCTTTTATGGTGAATATATTATAAAATAAAATAAAATATAACCAATTAAAATGCAAGGGAGTTTCCCCATATTTTTTTTATATTTTTATACTATTTATATTCATATTTGTACTTGTCTTCATATGCAATATATAGTATCTGTAAAAATTACTTTTCAAAATGGACACAAGCCGAGCCCAAATTAAATAAATGATGTTTTATTTTTAGGTGCGAATGCATCTAAATTAAGAAAAGGGGAACAAAAAACACATCCATCACTTGCAATTTTTTTCATTAATATTCTTTTTTGTTTTGTTTTGTTTTTTTTTTTAAGCGTTGGCGACGCCGACGCGAAATGACGTCACAAAATGGATTTAACCGGCTGCCCTTGACTTGATCTTGCGTCGCAGAAATCAAGTTTTACATTGGATTTTGTGCATTTCCATAGTTTACACTTGGAAAAAGCCTAAATTAAATAAATAAATAAATCAAAGTTTTCAAATTAAGCCACAAATTATGAAAGTTGTGCTTAAATTACTAAATATTTTGCAAGATACGTTTAACTAATCCCAACTCAAATATGAAAACTTTTTCTGATTCATTTAACAAATTAAAAATATTAGGTATAACTTGGTGTTATGATCGCAAAAATCGAACAGGAAATATTTTAAAATTACTTTTATATTTTTTATTGATTTAAAAGATTAAATAAATAAACTTAAGTCTGCTTTTAAACAAATTTAAAAATTTTCGCAAAGTGCTTTTATGAACTTGTTACTCTGCAAAATCCGGAACTTATTTTTCCCGATAACACTATAAAATCGGCATGAATTTCCCTTGTACATATTTTTTTTTCTTCTTGCCACCTTTTGGAAAATTCGGGAAGGAAATTGAAAAGAAGGGTGAAGAACCTGGCAGGCCCATTAATTGGTTGGGAAAAATTTATTTAGCGCATCGCTCTTTGTGGTATTTTCTGTTATTGTTTTTTGTTTTTTTTTTCCTATGTGGTGTGCGTTTTTGTGTTTTGAAGTGCTCCACATTCTGTTGCTCTTTCATGTGGCACGACCCCCGGCCACGCCCCCACCGCTCCACCGTGCCCAAGCCGCCCCTCCAATCATCCTGCAAACTATTTTCAGTTCGTCTGACACACATCGGAGCTGCGGCAGGAAAAGTGGTGAAAATGCGGGGTGAGTAATTGTTTACATTGCGCTTCTTGTGAGCTACTTTACGACCCCCCATTCCCCATTTCCCATTTTCCAAAACAAGTCCAAAAAGAAGAATCAAGACAACAAAAAAAAAAAGAAAGGAAAAGCAATAATTTTACTTGTTGGTTCTTTCCTAGACTCACGTTTCCTTTATTTGATGGATTGTTTTGCGGTCCACGGAACTTGAGGTTTGTTCCAAACAGAAAAAAGGGAAAATCCCAATGAAAATCCAGTACACTTAGCTTAAAAATAAAGAAATCGAAAAAGATATTGAGGGGCAATCGTACAAATATTTGCTCACATGTAAATGTAAACAAAATCTAAAACGATTTGATCTTTGATTACCTTGAATTCCCTCAAACGCTTTTGCAGAGATACTATAAACATTTCTGTTTTCAAATTCGAGTCTTCAAGTTTTCCTTTTCGAAAATTCAATTCGAATCTTGTTTGTTTCCAAATGAATGAAGCGAAATCTACAATTTGCATTTATCTAATGTTTTATTTATACATTTTCAACACCTTGTCTTAGTAAGTGGAAAAGGAAATATAATAAATTTAAAATCCAACCTTGAGTGAGTTTAGGGAAAATTATGGATTGAAATTGATTAGCGAAGCAATTTAAAATTCCACATATTTCATAAGTAAATGTATTTATGTTTCGCGAGATGCTATTTTTTATTCATTTCTGTTTATATTCAAAGACTAAGAACAATTTATAATATTTGCTATAATAAATAATAGTGAGTTGTAATATTATAACATAAAATAATATCGATATTATTAATTATATTTTCATTTCCTTTTCATAAAGCTTAAAACATTACGAAATGTAAATGCATGCCTTTGAACTCTATTTGTATTTATTTTTCTTTTACCTTGTTATTTTTTTATTTTCTTTATTTTTTAAATTTATCAAACAAAGAATCAAAAACACACAAGTAATCAATTTAATGTATTTAGTCTCACAGACTTTTCTTACTTATTTTAAAAGAAAATGTATAAATAAAAAATTAATGCTTCATTTTTTTTTAAATTTTTTAATTTTCTAAAATGTTAAATTTGGTATGCAGATTCATAAACCTCATAAAAACTAAAATAGAAAAGTCTTCCAAATTAAAAATAATGATTCTTTAGCTTAGTTATGAGATTTTTAAACTTTGATTTGTCGAAAAAATTGCCATAAAAATATCGAATGATAACGAATGCAAATACTTTAAGCTTCGTTTCTTGTTAATCTTCTTATCAGACATTTCTGATAATCTAAAATATATATAAGTTTTGTATTTCTCGTATTTGTTTTTGATTTAGAAAAAGGATAATTATCCTTTTCAATTCAAGCTGAAACTTTGGCTAGTAATTCAAAAATCAATGCTTGTTTTCTTTATTTAAAATCTTTGAAACCCCTTAAAAGCTATGTATATATATTCAAAATCTTTTCAAATTTAGATAATATATCTAATTAACTATTCGATATTATGTAGTTGACCTCTGATGAACTTACGATTGCAATGTTGAGAGATTTGTGGCCGAGGCACCGACGCCGCATGCCGTGGAATGCATTCTGCTACTTTTGCCAATGGGGATTTATGGATCTCACAGGCAACACCACCTTCTTGGGCACACTATATGTACGTATGTTATATATCCACGGAAGAGAAGTGTGTGTGCTTCAAATTAAAACGTTTATGCCGCTGCACGCACCGTAAAAAATTTCAAAAAAAATAAATAATGAGAAAAAATAAAAACACGGAACGGAAGAGGGAATTTAATGCAATGCAAGTGATTTTAATGGAGCTTGTCTTCGACTTGGTTATGGCTTTGGGTTTGGTTTTGGCTTTCGAATTGGATTTCGTTTTGGCTCTCTGATTGGATTTAACTCTGTTGCTAGTTGGAGGTGGCTTGTGGATCATAGCATGTTGCTGACGCGTCGGCGGCTTCTCACTTGATGGCGGTGGCATTCGCGACGTTCAATTTCCGACTGAAATTCACACTTTCCGCCGGAGATTCAGTCCGTAAATGTTCTGTGGCAGCGCAGCAGCATCGATGCCAGCGCCGCAGTCAGCAGCAACCGCTCCCGCCGGCAGAGTCCCGCCTATCTGGCATTAAGCGCACCCCATTCCATATCCATTCCCATTCCATGCCACCTCATAGATATAGCCGCATCATCTATATACAAATCCGTATCCGAATCCAAGTCCACCCACGTGGACCGGCCAATTGTTGCCGCTGCTGTGCCGCACTGTTGCTATAATTGTTGTTGTCTTAGCCTAAACAATCCAGCAATTGAGTACAGTGCAGGGTGAAAATATAGGGTTTCGAGGATTAATATAAAATAATATACAAAATAATTAATTAAGATATGCTGCTGGGTTTTGTGAGTATTGAAGGAGTCAAAATTAATGTTAGAAATGATTGTAGTCTTAAGATAAATTATAAAAATATTATGAAAATAATAATAGGTATATTCTATACTACAAAAATTTATAAAATATAAATGAGTACTTTTTGTACTGCAAAAAATATGAAAATAAAAATAGGTACTCTTTGTACCACAAAAAATTGAAAAAGATATAATTATTTAAAGTTTTTAATTCAACCCTTTTAGGGTTTAAATTTTTACTAAGTACTTAAACACAAATTTAACCAAAATACACTGTATCGTTTATGTATATAAATGTTAAATAAATAATAATTAATTAATCATTACCAAACATAAAAATTTTAATTTAAATTATAGGAATTCGTGTTTGATTAAATCTAAAGCAAGTAAATATGTGTCTTATTATATGACTATTACTTAGTTCTGTTCCTTAGTTTATAATTAAGCATATAACGTACAAATAAATATATTTAATACTAATTCTTATTCATAATTATTATAAAAAGAATTAAGGAAAAGTTTCAGAAAAATGTTCACATCCCACCCCCAAAGTATAAATGTTTATTTTCTTGTACATTTTTCCAATTTCAAAATGTACTATCTAAACGAATGCTATGTACTTGTGAGTGTGTAGGTGTAGGTGTGCAATGCATGTCATTGTTTTTTTTTTTTTCTATTTTTTTATTGCATTTAAAAGACTCGAAGCAATGAAGCTGAAGACCTACATGGCGTATGAGTAACGTGGCAAGCCATTAATCAAAGAAGAAACTAAGCAAATTCGTAAGTCTTGCAAAAATTAAATTATCGCTGGTAATATACCTTAAAAACAATATGGAAACAATTCGAAAATAGAAAAAGTAGGGATAGTTTTTCTTGAATTTCCTGAAACTGGTGAATGGACACACATGTTGTGGGTTTAGTTTTTGCGGGAATGTATGCGGTAGTGAAGATCAATAAATTAACTGAACCATCAGAGACTGGATAAAATATATCCCCATAAAAATAGAGGCATAGCTATATATCCAATAACACAGACTTTCAGGATTTATAGATCTGATAGTTCTATAAAATATAAATAACAATCTACAATAAACTTAAATTATTAATTTATATAAAATTATAAAATATATATAATACTTAAACTATACTCCCAGGGTTAAAACACGCATCTCTTTGCCTCTCCTCTCCCCTTTCCATCTTAAACTTTACCTATAAACAATACACCACTTGTTTGTTTACAATCCCCCAAAAGAAAAATCCAAAATCGACAAAAATAAAAAAGGAAAGCGGAAAACTGAAGGCCCCAAGGAAAACTCAAAAAAAGAGAGAATAGAAAATCCAAGCGCTATATGAGATATTCCAGCTGGCCGTGTAATAAAGATCTTCCAATGTGCGGGGTTTACCACAATCCCAACAAAAAAAATAGAAGAAGAAAGAATTACTATTTCGGGAAAATCGAGTCAAGAAAAAAAGAAAATAGTGGGGAGTAGGAAAATGAGGCACTTATGTACTTAGAGCGATGTGAGTTGTGAAGTCAAGACACTTGGCCACTTGACATTGATGGCCGAGGATTTCTCGATGGGGATCCATCGTCCACAGAGTACGTAATTCGGAGTGGTGTCACCCGGATCCGGATCCACACACCCCTGCCACCCATATGGTATATGGTATTCCTCAAAGCAGCTCGTAAAAATCCATCCCACAGATATCGAAACCCAAGAAGTGACATCAGACCACAAAATGTTGTTGGCCGAAACAATTCGGAACGAAGTTTGGCCAATACCAAAATTGTCTCTCAATTAATTTTCAATTGGCACACACACAATAAGCCAAAAAGCGAAACGGGGGCAGGTGGAAAATGGTTAAGGTGAATTTTGGAATGCCCTACAAAAATATATATTAATATTTTTTGTATTAAAAAATTAGGAAAATGAGAATGAATTGAATTAGTTACTTTTACAAATGTCAAGGCTATATAATTATATAATTCAAATGAGAGATAATCATTTATAATGGTTTATATTTATAAATAAAATAAGCCGAAGTTTCAGATAAGGGAATTTTATCTAGTTCAGTTTCAACTTGCAATTTAGATTACTATATTTTTATATGTACATAAAATTATATATTAAAATTCTAAATATTTCAAAATTAGCACATGAACTACAAGACTCTCCTAGCTTAAAGGGTATATCCGGGGAAACCGAGTAAGGCATCAATTAAAATTGGAGTCGCGTGGCGATTAGCGCCATTATCCCATATCCGCAATCGCGGTGGGCGTAGTCAGTGTTTCCGGTGCACTGTGACACAGTTACGCCCCTTTTTCTATTTCGCCCACTGTTCTACACAGAGAAAAAAATACTAAGAGAAATATGCCTCACTACACAAGCTCAAGATCAAGCTAAGTTGAAATGAAACAAAGTAAAGCCAAATCCATAAAATGTATTTAATTTTAATAATATATATTTATTAAAAAATTTGTATAAATTAAACTAGTAGAAAATAATAAAGGAAAGTTTTATTTTGGATCACTCTACTATAGGTCAAAATTCTACTAAACGGACAAGTGCGAGTGCGAGAAAGATGTAAAAATATACTTTAAACATTATTGTATAATTAAAAAGATCTTTATTTATAAACAAATTTTGCTATAATTTTCGGAAAATGTACGCACAAGTATTTATATTATTTTATCTCCACTAAATTTTAATCAATAGTTTTTATGATTTTTTGTTTATTTAAAAAAATTACTCAATATTGCACAGGCTAAATCGAATCGTCTGGTTATGCTGTTAAAAGATACATATAGTTTATGGATCTGCCCTTTAAATATTTTTTTTGCGGACATTTTGAATTGGTCCTTCTATATATATATTACTTAAAATAAATAAAATACGATAATAAATATAATAAATAATTACATTAAAATAAATAATACTCTATTCCCCAAATTTTGTTAAGTGTCCGCTAAGGTCATACCACCAACGGATTTTAAGTTCATTGGCCTATTTTTTCTTCCTTTCTCCGTTTATTTATTGTTGTATCGATGTTAGTTTCTTTTAGCCCGTGTTTTTGGACCCTATACCTATACAACAAGAACAACAAACATTAAAGGAAACAAACTTCCGGAAGCTTGTGTACCCTTGTAATAGCAAACAATTGGAAATCGATCATTACAAGGCTTAAAATACACCAATTTCAATTCAGGAATCTGTTCTGTGTGGGGTTTTATTGGGTTAACAAATCAACAAATTTTTAAATTGAAAATATTTTTGATTTTTTGAAAATTTGAATTATGGTTTTAATATCTTATTAAATGTTGAAAAAAATGGGTGTATACATTTTCTAAATAGCATTAAAAATAAGCCCCGGTCAGGGTATAACGAGAACATGGACAAAGTATCACTCAGAAATATGCAAAATTAAATCTCTTTTAGCAAGTGTTTTTTTGCTTTTTTCATTTGATTTTAATTTAATATTACTTTATATTTTTTAGATACATTTATTTATTTTATATTTTGATTGATGCAGGTGCTTTCAATATCGTAGTTCCTGATATTATATATATATGTTTATATATCTTTAAAGTATTAAAATTAATCCAGATAGGGATAGACGGGTGGCTCCACATCACCTTGGTTCACTGGCCTTACCTGCAGCGTCTGCCACAGATTTCGCTTTTTGAGCTCTGATTTTCCAGACTTTTTCTTTCGACGCATCTCCAAATCACTGTAAGCTGGTGGCGGAGGTTGTGTATTCCGGATGAGAGTTCCTCGTTGGCGTCGTAGAATTCTACGGGCAGGCACCCGGACCGGAGTAAGCCAGAGCAGCTGCTCCAAACGACGGTGATGACGCTGCTGAAGAGTCCGAGAGGCGCAATAAGGCCGGACAGTGATATAGTAAACTATTTCGATTACGGAGAAGATGCTGAAGCCCATGAAGAGGCCCAACAAGCCACCAGTATTAGCTGAAGTGAGTGGAAAGAATTGACATTTTAATATGTTAAGAGCAACTGCAACTTAATCCCAATGGAACTTACACAAAAACTCGGTGAAGCCAAACATCTCGGACTTGGTGGTACTGCGGAATATGTTGCTCATATAGTAGAAATGCAGAATGGACATCTCGCTGGCGTTGCTATATGGCCCATGAAAGAGATAATCCGGCATATTCTCACCCGCTTGAAATCGTGGATCGGAGACAATTGTGGACGTGGAAAGGGTTGCCTTGTAGGTGAGCTCAAAGCAACCGGGCCAGCAGCTTTCGCAGGAGAGATTCGTTAGCGAGGATTCGATCTCCGTCTGGACACGATCCGTGCAGGAATTGTCATTGGGTCCACACACTCTGGCCATGGGATCGATCCGGGGCAGATAATACAGCACACATCTGCATTCGCGAAGCAGCAACTTTGCCTCGCACTCCAGCTCACAATTCTTGCGGGAATACGTCCGGTAGTAGGCCAAATCATTCTCATCCGAGAACAGGCAACGTCGCACTGATTTCTTAATGGATCTTATGGTGGGCAGAGCATCCTCATAGACCGGTTCGATGGGTATTCGCGCCTCCCTGCCAGCAGTCACCACAAATCCATAATTACTGACCTTTGGCAGTTCGGCGGGATTGTGAACGAGAACTTTAAATCCCACACTCATGGACTTGGTGCAATAGTACTCCGCAACGGAAGCATTCAGGACAACAGTGAGACCCATCCTAATGCCAGTGCCTCCGGAAGTTCTCGGGTAATAAAACTCCGGCAACTTGCGGGCATAACCCTTCTCAGGAGTCCAATCGATAGGCTCATATCTCATATTCGGCTGAGCCGGCTCCCAACGCACATCGTCACTATAGTTCCTAATAAGATAGGAGGGATCCAGGGCATTGAAATTACAGCAGAGACCATCATCAGTTAGAATAGAGGTAAAGAGAAGGGAACACTCTTCCTCGCGTGATCCAAAGCTGCAATACAACAGCATCTTCTCGCAGGGCTGGGCCACCTCCACTAGAATTGCCTTGAAGTACTTCCAGGTGCCGATATACGAGATGGTGTTATCCCCACCCTGATCACAGAGACCCATCAGCAGTGAGTAATTGGTGCTGGTGCGGGAAATGCGGTCCACTTTGCTGAGCAGCGCCTGGTTCAGATTGCAGATGGTGATCGCCGGAAAGGGCATGTTGCTTGTAAGCTTCTGCTTGGCACTCGTCGATATTATTATTGGAGAGGCGCTCCACTTCACGTACACATTGGAGATGAAAAAGCCAGACAGGATTACAACTAGCACAAAGGCTATGCCAAAAAAGACTCTAAAACATAAGATATAAAAAGTATTGTTTTGGCGCCAGTAAGTAACTCTGAACATTAAGTATCTTTGAACAGTAAGTATCTATGACCAGTAAATATGTATGATCAGTTACTCTTTGAACACTAGTAAACAATGACTTGCAACTTTTGTAACACAACACATATCTATAAGTTGGCGGGCAGGAGTCACTTCGTTCCGGGGATGTTAGAACTAGTTGGAAATCATATGCCACATGTGCGACATTTGTTTTGGCGTCAGTAACTCTGGACATTAAGTATCTATGACCAGTAAGTAACTCTGAACAGTAAGTATCTATGACCAGTAAGTAACTCTGACAAATAACATAAGTAACTCTGAACATTAAGTAACTATGATCAGTAAGTAACTCTGGACATTAAGTATCTATGACCAGTAAGTAACTCTGAACAGTAAGTATCTATGACCAGTAAGTAACTCTGGACATTAAGTATCTATGATCAGTAAATAACTCTGAACACTAAGTATCTATGATCAATAAATAACTCTGGACATTAAGTATCTATGATCAGTAAGTAACTCTGGACATTAAGTATCTATGACCAGTAAGTAACTCTGGACAGTAAGTATCTATGACCAGTAAGTATGTATGATCAGTTACTAACTTTGAACACTAGTAAACAATGACTTGCAACTTTTGTAACACAACACATATCTGAGACTTGGTTGGCAGGACTTGGTTGGCAGGAATCATATGCCACATGTGTGAGATTTGTTTTGGCGTCAGTAAGTAACTCTGCACATTAAGTATCTATGACCAGTAAGTAACTCTGAACAGTAAGTATCTATGACCAGTAAGTAACTCTGAACAGTAAGTATCTTGATCAGTAAATAACTCTGGACATTAAGTATCTATGATCAGTAAGTAACTCTGCACATTAAGTATCTATGACCAGTAAGTAACTCTGGACAGTAAGTATCTATGACCAGAAAGTAACTCTGAACAGTACGTATCTATGATTAGTAAATAACTCTGAACACTAAGTATCTATGATCAGTAAGTAACTCTGTACAGTAAGTATCTATGACCAGTAAGTATGTATGATCAGTTACTAAATTTGAACACTAGGAAACAATGACTTGCAACTTTAGGAACACAACACATATCTAAGACTTGGCTGGCAGAAGTCACTTCGTTCCGGTGATGTTAGAACTAGTTGGGAATCATATGCCACATGTGCGAGATTTGTTTTGGGACAAATTTAAGAGCAAGCTATTAGAATGAAACTATGGAGTTATTCTTCTATATAATTTTATAAGTATATAAATCGGATCATGGCGAATCGGTGGACTATATATATATCCATATATATAGCTGCCGTAAGAACGATCGGAATATTTTAGGAAAACAAATTATAACTTTTCCAGTTTTCAACAGATTTGCATCAAATTTAATATATAGCCATTATATATTAATATGAAAATCGGACTACTATATCATATATGTATATAAGCTAGACCTATTCAGCTACTGATGCTGATCAAGATTATATATAATTTATAGGGTCGGAAATTACTTTTTCACGGAGTTTCATGCTTCTGGTCCATAGCTCACCTTTCTGGAATGGTGATGCTCTCCTCGGCGATGTACTTCAATCCATGGAGCGTGCTGTTCTTCAGATAGTAGACAACGCTCCTTTTAATGGCCGCACAGCTACAGATGGAGCTTTCATCGTCCTCCGAACCCGAATCCTTTTTCTTGGTCATGGAGGTGCCACTGTGGCGCAGCCGGCTGTCCGTCAACATTTTCATGATGCACTGAATCTGGACAGCTATAGTCCGGCGGCATTTATAGGTCAGTCTGGCAATTGCATTTGGGCCATCAGCTCTAATCATATTGACCCAGGGAAAACAAGGTACGTCGCCCATTTGCGGTGATAACTACCAAATTGATTTTAGCCAGCTGTGGAGGGGGTCTTCAGGGTGTTGACTGCAATCCGCAAATGTCGCAAATCAACGCAATCCAAAGGCATGGTAATAAAATACGAAAGCACCGAGCAGAAGCATAAACAAACCTTACACCTGAAAGCAAACAAGGATACATGCAGGAGGAACCTTGATTTAAAATGAAATTAAAATTGGAAAACGGTGATTCAAGTTTGGAAAATTCATGTTTACTGGTCACTTTTCATTTACCAAGTGAGTACTTCATGGACAATCTCAATATTCAATACTCTATATTCATTCAAGGTCTGTCATTCATTCTCACTCCTACTTATCTACCTAATTATAAGATTAATAGAAACCTTTCCATTAAAAATAATACGTATTTACAAAAATATTACAAACTTGTGATCTGAGGAGATCAATTATCCATTATATATACACATTTTAAACTTCTTTTCAATTAAAATAATCTATTCTATTATCCCTCAAAGATAACTTCACACAATCTCATATCACTTTCATACATTTCAGCCACCTAATTCGGATTAAACTGAAAGAAATCCACATTGAGATCCAGTATGGCCTCTGTATTGGGCGTTTCCTTCATGGTTAGCGCCTCCACAGCATTATCGCTGGCATGATCGTAGCCATGGTTAACAGTTGGCGGAGCAGTAGCTACTGGCGGCTGCATGAGATCGCTGACATTACGCAGAAGGCTCTCCTCGGATGGCGGTAGGAGCTTTCCGCCCGCCGACAGATTCAATCGCTGGGCAGCCTCGTCGGTAAGCGTGTCGTCCAGCGACATGCTTAGACCGGCATAATCCACCAGGTTACGGGCACGGCCACTGCCAGCTACCAATGCGGTTCCCTCCGGCTCCGGTGTGGGAGCCTGCGGAGATTCCATGGCCGACATATCCAAGGCATACTGACCTTCGGGTATGCCCAAGACTCGCGCTATTCTGGCATTCACGAAGTGCAGGCCCGATGTATTCCGGATGAGGCGCTGACTACGCAGCTGTAGCTGCTCCACAAAGTCATTCAGCTCGCTCAGAAAGAGATCGGCACGCTGCTCCTCGCTGAGGTCCGAATGCCTCTGAAGTTGGGCGGTCAGAAGGCCAAAGAGCGAGGGCGTGGAGGAAGGAGGAGGGGGCGGCTGTTCGACGGGACGTGGGAGCATGTGTTCTGGGAACTTGACAAAGTGTCGCTGCATGCGTCGACCCAAAAAAATCTTACCGCAGCCTGGACAGATGGCATTCTTGGGCACGGCTCGTGGAGTGGGCGTAGGAGCTGACTCTTGACTTGCATTACTCTTGGGAGCTGGCATTGGTGCTCGGTAGTCCTTGTCCCTCAGATCTGCCACTAGCATCTCCAGCAGTTGGGCGGAAGTGGGCTCTACAGCCTGGCCGTTGGTCACGGGAGCGGGCTGTGGCATGGAACCTCTAACCTGACGGCCTGACCGAGTGCGGTGTATATCGGGGGCAGGCTTATCCTCCACAGGTGGCGGCGGCGACTTCTTCGCCAGCGGAGCAGTGGAAGACGCTGCACTGATCCTTTTCTGGGGTCTCCCTACCTTGGCAGGCGGGTTTTGCTGCCGCTTGACCGCCGCTGGACGCATGCCCATGCCCACGGGATCCAAGCAGCGGTAAATAGTCATCTGCTGGGTCACTGCATCCGTCCGAATGACCTCGTTGCGTTTCCTGCATAGAATTAGCCAGTAAACTACGGTTCTATAAAAGTTCCAAGCAACATTACCGATCAATGACTATGTGATCATCCTTGGACAGTCTGTGCAGGCTGCAGGCCAACTGGGACAGTGAATCCTGCTGCGCATTGTTGCTGCCTCCATTTTCAAGGATCTCCTGCTGCCCATCCCCCAAATTCCCTGGCTCTGCCGGCAGCTTCTGCAGCTTCTTCAGCTCGGAACCGACTACCAAGGGATCCGCTAGGTGTTGCTCATCTTGAAGAGCAACGAACAAGTCCATCTAGGCAATAGGCTGTTTCCATTTGGGCAATCAGCCCTTTTCGTTTGCCAGTCACGTTTCCTTGGTGTCCGTAAAAAGGCCGTAAATGAACAAATAAGTGCAGTTTTTACGGTTTGTGCGCGTCCAGTGTGGCCTTAACTTTGCAAAGTTACTTTTTTGTATAGTGTCATCACTAACTAAAACAAATTTTCTTTCTCCATCACTATACAGTGGACAAAAAAGTAGTAATAGTTGTCGCATGTTCGATTTTGCACTTTTGGTTAATTATTGCATTGCTTTTATGAAATAATTAAAGGTACCAAATTGTGCTGTTAAGTAATTAAACCAATTTACCATTATTTTTAAATAATTCCTGGCATCAGTACACCTAGCAAATGACACTGTTAATGCAAAAAACATATTTTTTTCTAAAAAACCTCAAACATTTTTACTGAGACGATAAACTCCTCATTAGCACGATGTTTAAGCTCAAAGAATGTATAAAAAATAAGTTTTTAAATAATTGATACTTTTTAACTATAGTTTGAATATGCATTTTTGTATATTTGCATTTTTGTAAATTTACCCAACTATCGTTTACATTGACCGATACCTCAGCAATCGATTGTTCCGGCCAGAGCGAAACTATCAGCACGGCGTAATCGATAGTTTACTTTGATGCGGCGAGCAGCCCAATAAAAAAATGTAAATTGTTCAGCCCCAGCAAGTGAAATTGAAAAGAAAAGCAATATAAACGTGTGATTCGCAGCATAACTGTCCTGGCATTGTGCTGCTGGTTGTCCAGGCTATGCCGCCTTTGCCGCCCAGCCCTCTCGACCTTGCGCGAAGCCCCGCGATGGCCTCCCTACATTCCAGTTGGCGTTTTGGCAAGCGAAGTAAATTTCAATTACGCATCAAAGGTAATGTAACGAATATAAATTAACATTGAACATAGCGTCGACAGCCGCAAGGCACTGGGAACGCTGTTCACTGTAAACATATTATTTCTGCCTTTCCCCAGCAGCTGTTGGTATTGTTGTTCCCATTTCTCTCCCTATTCTCGGTTTGTTGTTGTTGGGAGGGGGGACTTACATATTCAATAACTGCAGCATTTATCGTAAATATGTATGTACATACATATGTACATTGCATTTGTTGACATTGATGTTAAATGCAGCAGCAGAAGTAGCCACTGTTAAGTCGTATGCGCATAACGGTGCCGATGCCTATGTGTGAAGAGCATAACAGCTTTTCACCTGAAAGTTGATACGGTGTATATTTACTTTTTAACATATGTAGCTACATATGAATGTATGTACCATGTACATCTGTATGTATGTATGTGTATTTATTTTGGTTTTGTTTTTGTTATTCCTGCAGCTGTTGTTTTTGCCATTTGACCAAATTCTTTTGCTTCATATTGACCGACTATTTATAGACGATCGCCAGCACCAAACTACAATACAACAACAAGCAGGCAGCATAGAGAGCACCGCCAAAACGATGACACAGCACAAACAAAAACAACACCGACAACAGACAACACATGATGCAACATATAAGGTGGTCTCCGATCTGCAGATCTCTCTTTTCGCATTAACCATTCTCAAGGGAGAGCTATTCTCGTGATGGGACCATCTTACATATGTATTTGTACATAATTACATCATGAGACACAAAAGTGACGCTTCATGATGTAACTTCCCAAGGTGCTCTCATCAGCTGTGTTGAGGACAATTAACATTTTCAGAAGAGATATCATTACAGACTCCAAAATAAGAGCAATTCTTGCTATGAGACCACCTTGTACCATAAGATGAGGAAATGAATGGTCTTGGTATATTGCATTTATCTTGATCTAACGGGAACGTGGATCATGTGGAGCTCTTTCCACTTCCGGGGCTTATATTCCTGAGCTTCTGGATGTAGTTTTTATAACAAATATAATATTTTTCACTAATTAAGTCCCTGAATACCCACTCACTTCACCCAATTAAATTCTCTTTTGATTAAACTTGGCACTAATTCTTGTTTTCCATTTATTCATTACAGTTTCTCAGGATCCGGAGGACTGTTACCGCCAGGATCCAACGCGATCAGCCGCTGAGAATGCCTTCGATATATACTCGATGCTCTGCTTGGAGGAGACGCGGGATACTAAGCGCCTGTTTCTGCTCAACGCCCTGGCTTCGCTCTGCCTGGGGGCTCGGAAGGGTTCACATCATAGCAACATACGCTTCAGCACTGAGGAGCTGCTTTACTGGTAAGAATGTTTTAGTATTCTTCCTAATTACAATTCTAATTACTTTCATTTACCTGTCGTTTTGCAGTCTCAGTGCCTCACTGGTGCACACCTTCACCCAGGTGCGGGCAGCGGCTTTAAGGACCATTCGCTATGCCATCAACACGTCCAATGACATCAAGGTGTTCAACGCCCTGCAGCTGCAGCATTTGGTCTGTCGCTCCATCGATCTGATGCTAAAGAACGATGATGAGCGTGTCCAGGCGCTGAAACTGGTGCGCAAGATGCTGGCCATTGCTCCGGAAGACATCAGTCCGGTGGTGGTGCGCTGCCTTGTCTCGCTGGCGGACAGTGGAATCGATGAGAACGATAATCTGCTGCGTGCCTGCCTGGCTACGCTCGCCGAGTTTGCCGTGCTCAATCCGGCGCTCCTGATCGTATGCGGTGGTGTTACATCCATTACCCGCAACGTCCTCGAGTGCCACAATCCCCGGATAGCCGAGAGCCTGTGCGGTGTGCTGCTTTACCTGCTCGAGTGGCCGCAGACGCGGAATATTTGCGGAGTGCGGCTCGACTGTCTGGCGGCCCCGTACTGTGACTTCACATACAGGCTTGGTATCATGGATAAAAACAAGTGAGTTTATCTAAGAGATAATATAAGGAAGAAGTCTTATTAAACTATGATTCTCCCTTGCAGAGATGCGCGTGAACTTCGCTATACAAGCTGTCGCCTGGCCCTGCTCTCCGTGCTACGCAGCTGGACAGGCACCCTAGAATTCTGTGATCCCAGTAAACCCTCAGGTCTCAAGGCAATAGTCGATGCTCTATATTTAAATCAAATCGAAGTCAGAGTGAGTTTACCCGTACTTTTCAAGCCACCAATTGTTACCTATATTGATTTCCTGCCTTCCCCTACAGAAAGCAATATTAGATTTGCTCTACGAGCTGCTCTCGCTGCCGCAGCCCACCTGGACGGATGACTATGCGGTGGCCCTGCAGGCTGTGGATCCATCGGACTTCCAGGCCACGTGGCTCCTAAGCAACGGCTTTGTATCCGCCGAAGGTCGCTCCATTTTGCCAACGCTGGCAGCTCGAGCGCCGAATGTGGTGGATCAACACTTGGCACTGATGCTTTATTGTTTCCTAGAAACTGGACTGCTCAACGCACTCGTTGAGGTCGCCGTTGGCAGCGATCAGTTCGTTTCGGTGCAGGCCACGGTGCTAATTGGCAAAATACTGCAACTGATGCACACGCACCTGCCGCCAGACATCTGCTGCACAAGCCCGGCACTGCCCACACTGGTGGGTCATGCCACGCAGGGCAACCAGCAGGCCAATGCGGCTGTGGCGGCCTTACAGAACTACCAAAAAATGCTGCGCCAACGGCCGGCATCGTGCAGCTTGTTCCTAGACAGCATTATCCAGGGCGGTGCCCTGATTCAGACACGCTTGTTCCGGCGACATCTCAACGTTCAGGAGCAGGCGGGTCCGGTGCTGCAGCTGCAGGATACGGCAGAAGCGGCAGCTTCTGTTGTTCCACCCGTGACTGTGGGCCAATTTCGTGCCACGCTCGATCGTTGCCGCCTGGACTCGGTCTCATCCAGCGACGAATCCAACTCGCAGGCATCGACCTCGTCGAGATCCAGTTTCCGACTGAAGCGAAAGTTCCTGCCACAAGCCTTCTTTGACAACTTCCGGGCCTTCAATCGTCTGCTAACAGACTCAAGGGTACTGAGCCAGGCAGATGCACATCTCTGGGACTGGGATGTAATCACTACAATACTTAAGGTGAGTTGAAACTTCTCAAAAATCTTGATGATTTACTCATTTTCACATTTTTATTTGCATTTCCTTAGTCGAATCTAATCCGCAAGCTGGACTACACCCTGGGAAAGTTCTTAAAGCGACTGGTCGACTTCTATAAGCCACGCAACAATCGTTTCTCGCACCAGGATTTGGTGCCGGGACAGAGTTTGCCAACGTATGTCAGTGCCGGTTTGGATTTAATCGATGTTTTACTGGGCAGCAGCGAGGTAAGTGATGTTTAAACCTAATTAGATTTCTAGTGTGAGTTACTAATGCCCTTTCTTTATTTTTCGTCTTGCAGCTGGAGTGTATGCGCTATATAACCGACTATTTCTCGGATATAAGCCAACAGTTGGCGGCCGTTACCACATCCAACCGTGCCCATGACTGTCTGTTTAGTCCGCAGCATATGAACAATACAATGTGTCAGCAATATTTCCTATATATCGGACGCATGTGTCGCACCACCAAAGGCATTGAAGTACTCAAAAACACCACGGTATTTGAATAGTAAGTATAGCATCAGGAAGATCAGCGTTTTGTAAAAGATCAACTATGGAGCCAATCTCTAATCCAATTTTCTCCCTGTCTGTTTTCAGCCTTATCAACTTGGTGCGTGTGACGGATCATGTGTGTTACGTAAAACTGATTGTGTCCGGACTGAACTACAGCTACGAGAAGTTGCCGCGACAGGTGCTGGAGAAGGCATTGACGTCGGCCAAGACGCGCTATGGTCGCCTGTATGCCACCCAGTTTATGGCGGTGCTTCTACGTGCCCGTTTGCCACATTTTGAGGTCTGGGGCATACCCCTTATCATCCATCAGACGCGTGACTCTGATCGTAGCGTGGTGCTGGCCGCCATGGAGGTGCTGGAAGAGGCCTGTCACGACAAGTATTACCTTGAAGAGATTGTCAGTCGTTGGCCCAATCTTACGCAGCGCGGCGATGCCGGAAGACTGTTAATGGCCCGATACTACTCACTGCCCCGTGGCCTGAACAGTACGATGGCGCGGATTGAGGAAGAGATACGATACTGGCGAAATGGCTACAACAAGCGTTATGTGCTCCTCGTCGAGGCGGATACCCATGCCAGCTTGACGCTGCACATACGCAACGAGGACGGCTACTATTCGCGACGCAACTGCAACCAGCGACCGCAGACAGTTCCGCCAAACATTTCACCGCATCTCTATGGACAGATGGCGCAGACCGGTCAGGGTATGTCGGCCCTGAGGAAACACGGTGATCTGCCCCAGCTGCTCGAGGTGCTCACCCGCGCCAAATGCACGGACGATGCCGAGTGCCTGGAATTGAAGGCGGCCATCTGGGCCCTGGCTCATGCCTCCACCCATGCCAATGGTATTGAATACTTTTTGGAACTGAACTCTAGGTGAGCTATTAATTATTAACAATTAAAAATGCATCTATTAATTCGTAACTATGCAGGCTCTATGAGAAGCTTATTGTGCTGGTGACCAAGTGTGAGGTCTACTCGGTGCGGGCCACCTGTTTCAGCGCCTTGGGACTTATTGCCGGCACCCAGGCGGGTGCCAATATTCTCTTCAAACTGAGTAAGTAATTAATAGCAATATTAATTGTGGATGTATTCCTAACCTTTCTAAACTGACTAACCAACAAATTACCTTTCACAGACTGGCTGTGCGTTCGACATGACCGGAATACCATGTGGCCAGTGCATCAGCCAGAGGACTGGATATCCAATCAGTATACGCCAGTGCGTCATTACTACGAGGACGTGCTGCCATCCTATAATATGACAATGCTTGAGGATCAGATCGATGGATTCTACTTAACAGGCTCCGGTTATTGGAACTCAATTGCCGAACAGATTGAATCGGGTGGCGCTGGAGGTGTTACGATATCCGGAAGTAAATCGGCTGTGGGTACTGCAGGGCAGGACCCAAATAGCACAACGACAACGGACAGTGTACGCACAACTTTGGACGATGTGCATCCCAGTCGAATATTGCCCACCGGTGGCGTGGCTGCCAAGTCAAAGACCCTGCCCGAGGGTAGCAACCTGCGCCCAACGTCCAAGCACCAACGCTCGCTCTCTGAGTCGAAGACCACGGATGTGATTAGCTTACTGGGAGGAGCCACAACGACCCCAGGAACGGGAACAGTACCGGGTTCTGGTCTCTATCCCACTCCATATCAACACCGCATCCGGTACAACTCATGCACAGATTCAAACACTTCGGGCGTGAGCAGCTGTGAGTCTGTGACCGGACGAACTGCAGCAGCTGCCGCCGCAGCAGCGGCCAACATGAGCGAGTATCAGCAGTTTCCGTTGAGCCCGATTCCTAGCATGTCGAACCTGTTGGAGAGCGACGAACTGATCCGGCGGCATCAGTTGGCCACCAGTCTGCAGCCATCCGCCGCTCTCAGTCCGATGGCGATGAAGGGTTACGCTCAACTGCGCTCCCTGCGTGCGCATAGCCGACCGGTGTTCCCAGAGTCCGCGGCAGACTTTTACAAGGTCGTCGGCATGCCCGAGGTGCAGATGCGCAAACACGACTGGACCCATCCCCATCGGCGGCTGAAGGTGCGAAGCCTGGACCGCCAGCCCATGCTGAACGATCTGTGCAGGTGGGTTTTCTTATATTGTAATTCCTTTGGAATCCGTTTCTTTAATGTAGAATCGTTTATCCTTATAGGCACGTTTTCGGCGGCGAGCTGGACGTTCCCCTGCCCACGCAGAATGCTCCCAAGTTCCTACCGCAGAACGACCTGCAGGGGCCCTGCTACTCGGGCATCTGCCTGCCCAAAAACGTGCTGGACCTCTTTCCCACACGCAACCTTAACCGTACGTACGTGTCGCGTGACATTCAGGACCAGGACCTGGTGGGCATAAATCTGCTCAATAGCATTGGACGCCACCAATTCCTCAACGATTCACTGACCAATGAGGGCGGCGACGAGTCCTCTGTGATATCCTCGCTGTCGGATGTCTCATCGGCAACCAAAAACCAGTGGCAGCAAAGTTCCAAGCATACGCGAAGCCAGTGCCTCCATTGTGCTCGCTATCCGCGACAGCAGCGTCATCCGGATATCGTTGCCAGTCAGAATAATGGTAGTTCGGCCGGAGGTGCATCCTTAGCCCCGTGCGAGCTGTACAGCAGTGCCGCAGCGGCTGCTCTGGTGGCATCAGCTCAAGTCAAAAAGGAAGGCTCCTCCGTTCCCGTTCCAGGAGCTGGAGCAACGACGCTGGGTGCGGACATTAGTTTCCATTCGCCGGAGAGCATGCTGAGCGAAGACAACGCACTGGACAGACTGACCGCCTCCATACTATACAACGTACAGCGCCTGGCTAATCCCGTGAGTGCCAAGCAGTCGAAGATGGGGCTGCTGGAGCTCAAGCAGAAGCATCCGCATGCCTTTCAGGTGAGGCTTTAACAGGGAATTTCTATACGACATGCAAAACTAACAATGATTTTCTCTCTTCAGGATATTTGCCTTTACTCCGAGTCCTGCAAGACATTGGGCAGGAGCAGTTATCGCATGAGTGCCCGTCGCTTTCTGCAGGAGCTCTTCCTAGACTTGAACTTTGATTCGTTTTACGTGGAACCGCAGCTTATAATCGGAGCGCGAAAGATGCATGTGGAGGAAAAGGCAGAGGCCGCTGCGCCCGCATCAGCGCCTCCCGCCATGTACAAGGCAATGAGCCAGAAGCCCAAACCGGCGGCTCAATTAGCCAGCGTATACGAGACCAGCTGGGAGAATCTGCTCATGGACCAGTCGCCTAGAATATTTAAGCCGTCACCTGCCCAACCGAAAGCAATACCAGAGCGCCAAAGGCTTCACATTGACGACACGGAAAGTTCAATGTCTGCCACCGATGAAGATCACGATGGCCACGAAGATCCCGGCGAGGATGTATGCGATGGCAAAGGCGTGGACCAAACAGACCTGCCTGCTGATAACTCCCAACCAGCGGCGGCAGCGGCGGAAACAGGTGCAGCTGCAGCTGGATCGGTTGCATCGAACGAAGCAACGGATTCTAGGCTATGGAACGAGGATCGATCCACTTCCGGACGCTTCTATCCGCTACAATTTGATTTAAGCTGCACGCGGAACAAGTTTCCGGTCACAGAACGCCGGCAGGCGGCTGCACCATCGACATTCCTTAAGCGTCACTCGAGCGGCGATGCAGATCCGCAGACACCTGTTTCGGCATCGACCAAGAGCCTGGCAACACCAATGGCCAAGCCGATGGGTAGCCTCTATTGTGAGAAGCGCTTGCAGACGGCCAAATCGGAGGCGGTGCTGGGTTCTAATGTGGGAGGAGGAGAAGCAGCACCCCATAGGGGTGGATCAACTAATGTGGGCAGCCCAACCTCTGACAATCACGATAACGCACTGCCTTCCATTGCCTCCCCGCCCGCCTGCCTTCCTTAACCTTAACCGAAGCTAATCGGATGAATGTAATATATGATAGTACTGTAATAAAATCAAAGAAATCGTAGCTGTCTAGCTTTAGGCACACACACACACCCACACCAACACACACACACACACCTTACCCATAAGTTACCTAAGTTATTCTCGCTTAGTTCGTTGTAACCAAATTAATTTTACGATCAATCACCTCACCCCCTAGCTGTAGTCACATAATTTTAATAAGATTCATAACCATAAATAGGCAAAAGATCAGCAAACAAACTACTATACAATATGTACAATATGTTGGATACCTAAAGGCAAACAAAAACCACAAACCACCGCAAGTTAATTAATCAAATTGTACTTAAAGCGACAAAACAAAAAAAAGCCCCCCTCAAAGACCTTCAAAAGCAAGAGAGAAATTATCACAAAATGTGGCTGGCAAGCAAAATACAAAGTAAAACCCAAAATTAATACAATAAATTCGCAAGAAATTTATATAACTGATGGATTTTATTTGATTATTTAAGGTTTGCGATATTGAGCGGGATATACATGTACCTTGATCGTGTATCGTAAGGTATCAACGGAGAATCCATGACCCAATTTGTGCTCCGATATTTAACAATTCCAACTCTTGTTTTCAGTCTTTAATTGAAATTAAGGTTATTTTGTTTTTAATTTTAAGCTAAAGTGAATTTATTTAGGTTGTTTGAAATTAGCTAAGCAATTACATAGTTTAAGTCATGCAATTGAAAACATTGGGAACTACATATTATATAGTCATCATATGTATGTATGTATGTATGTACGTAATGTATGCATGTTTGTTCTTGTATTTAATCTACGGAAACTGCGGATGCTGCGAGGCTGTAGGAATTTCGTTGTAAGCTCTATTGGTTCACACTATATAGGTATGTATGTATGTAAATAATTGCATTTCAAGAGTTATGGTTATCTAGGTACATATATATATGTATGTATATATATATATAGTATATAGCACGTTCAGTACAGCGTTTTGCCTTTCGTGTAGTGAGAGAGAGAGAGTAGTGTGTGAAAAGGTGAAAGTGACTTGAGTTTGAAGCTTATTCCGTTGTTTTTTTTTTCTTTTCAATTTCGAATAGAAGAAAGGAACCGTTATGTATCTTCGTTCTGATAAAGCTACAATTATATCTGATTGCTAACCCTAAATGTGTGTCAATTATATATGTATATATGTATGTATATGTATGTATGTAAGTACAATAATAATATTTATGTATAAAAATGTATTCAACAATATCAGTCCACAACTTCTCGTTTTTTTGTTTGTTTTTTTTCGTTTTCTATAGATGAATTTTAATTTTATGGATCCGCAGGTCAATGCTAGAAATAAAAGAGAAGAGTTATTATTAATATTATTATATCTATTTTATTTTTTATTATTTATTTAAATTTAAGGCTTTGTTTCAATATTTGTATACCTTTGCAGGGTATTCTAATTTCTGTCAGAAGCTCGAAATGCAGTGAAGGAGCCATTTCCGACCCTATAAATCATATATATTCTTGATCAGCATTAACCGCCGATTCGATCTAGACATGTTTAACAGCAAAAAAAAAATTTCAAATTTTTCCAAAATTTTATAAGTAGTTACATCGTTAAAATTAAAAAAAAAAATTATAAAAATTTTAATTTTTTTAAAACTTTATATTGAGTATACAGTTTTATTAACCTAACAAAAACTAACATAGAAAAGCTTTCCGATTGAAAATTAATGCATTTTTCACTGAGTTATGATGTATTCGCTCTGCAATGGTATAGAGGGATATGGTCCTCTTACGATATCAAGACTAATCCTATCCTAACAACTAATATCTTGAATGCCTTCATTTAAGACAAGTTCCTAAATATTTACCTCCTTGTAGCTGACCTTAATGATCCTTGGCTCCTTTCAGGGCCACGCAAAATTGATGCCCGTGAGCTGGTAGAACCTATCGTTGAAGGGCCTATAAAAGTCCCGCAGTCGTTCGATGGCCCCGGAATCGATGTGCGGATGATTGCGTCCCTTGGTCTTACCCAAGCAGTGCGGTGTTGAGCGAGCCTCCGACTTGAACAGACAGGGAAATCCCTTGGTGGCATTGAAGTAAAAGTGCTTTTCCGTGACGACACGCTTCAGTCCCAAAAAGTCTTGGACGCGACCAATTTCATAGGCGGGATCCATAATCAGTCGCTCGCCGCTAATAAAAAGCAACTGTGACAGGGGAAAATAGAGGAGCCATCGCTCCAGGTGGCGGGCATATACACCGATTTTCACTGGGCCCCAATTGGTATCCACCGTTGAGTAGCTTCCATTGACAAAGGCCAGTTGCTCGAATCGTTTCATATCCGCCTTTTTGCTGGCTGCCTGGGTATAGTCGGAGATGGCCCTTGTCACTGGATCTCGCACCACAATTAGCAGTCTAAAAGAAAGAAACAGACATTAATAAGGTACCATGAGAACAGGGAAAGCACTCACTTGGTTTCCGGATTCATGTGGTAGACACGCTGCGGCACCTCTTTGGTAACAAAATAGCTGGGCGTCTTCTCCATGGTTATCTGACCCTCAATGGTGTAGGGCATGTGGTGACGATACCAGCGCAGGCCCCTCTGGTAGTGCCGGTCAAAGAAGTGCACCTCGGAGCCGGCAGCCCGGACATCTGGATGCAGTCGAATGAACTCCAATAAAGCCCGCGTTCCGCTCTTCTTTACGCCAATGATGAGCGTATCGGGCAGGTGACGGGATGGCCGGAGTCCTTGTGGCCTCAACATTTGATATTTGGGTGCCGCTCCATCAAGACTATTGGTTTGAACAGTCACGGTCTCAACGGGAGGAGCTCTTGTGCTGGTCGAGGAGCTATTCCCGGAGCTGCTGCTGCTGTTGCTGCCTCCCGATTCAGTGCTTTCGTTGTGAGAGGAGGAGGATAACGCCAGGAGATTGCGAATGTTGCTCTGAAAATTAAAATATAGGAATAATTAAATATTATAATGTATGCTTGAGTTTAAAATACATTTATAATTGTCTATTAATTGATAATTTTTATAATCTTAGTCAAAATAACGCTTGGGTTAAATTGCAAGTTGTAAGAGAAGACAAAACTGGGTTTCCCGACGTCAGCTTCTTTAATTGTACTTTTTTTTAACAATTATCCTTGCAATTTTAAGGTAAATTAAACTAAGACATTTATTTTAGACTATCTGAAGCTTTTTCAAGTACACAAAATGTTTTAATTTCACTTTTCCCCTACATTCTTCCATGTAAATCAAAAGGATTAACTTCAGCGAAGATGCTAATCGATGTGTTTGGTTGTAGGTAATATACCAAGGTAGAAAGAATCCTTTCTCTCCCACCCACACCCTACTCACCTGCTGCAAACAGCGACTAATGCTGGCCAGGAGGCAGACGTTGAAGCTGTAGGAGAAGTAGAGCAGAGCGACACAGGCCACCATGGCAATGGCCAGGCTGCGGCTGCTTAGGCTGAGGCTGCTGCACCAGATGCTCATCACAAACATGATTAGACCGTGTGATAAATACCGTTACGCGGGAGGAGGATGCGGTACTGACAGCTCTGGTGCATCTAGTTCCCTTGCATATCATTGCTAGCTGGGGGTCTGGGATACCACACACAGCATCCGGAATTCCGGGATTCCTTGGTTTTTTAATCACAGCCGCACTGCTTCATTTGGCTCCCCGGCTCCGTGTTCGCAATATAGTTGTCGGTGTCGACGATAGCAAAAGCCTGGGATAAGGCCGGGGCCAAAGTACAAGATAAGCGCCGTGACCGGGTTGATGGAGGAGCGAAGGACGAAGACAGAGGGAAACGTTACCCGGGAGGAGCACAGGCGCAGAAGCCGGCTGTTATTCTCTCTCTCTCTTGCAGGACACTTAAGCTTATGCAACATGAGCTTTGGATTCGCTTTTGCTATTATCACGCATTCTTCACTATTCGATTAATCGGTTAAATATATGTCCAGGAGTCCAGAGCCAAGTTTGGGAGCAGAGATGTGTCCTGGAGATGGGAAAAGAATTGTTTGAATATTGTTTTTAACATTTAAAAATATATTAAATACAAAGAGTAAAAGGAGTTCAACATTTTCCAATTAATATTTGGTTTGTTCAATTTTTAAATATTTAAAAAAAGGTATTCAATGTCAAAAGCAGTCTTAAAACACGAATTGACACGAAAAATCACGTTTCTTGTCCATCTCTATTCTGAAGTTAAAATTGATAAGAATGATTTTCGCTTTTCAAATTCGAAAAACTCGTTTTTAAATCCACAATAATTTCAAACTCTAACCCTGCTTACAAGGTTATATTATCTACTATTTTGTATTAACTTTTTTAACCCTAAAATGTAACCTCTAACTTACTAATTACAATTTCCTAAAAGCCCACTTCAAGCCCAAGAAAGCTACATAATCTTGAAAGCTAAAGACCACCTTAACTTTGCTCTCATTTCCTCCTCGCTCTTGGCAAAAAATCAAAGTTCCGCTCTAAGGTAAACAAACTAAAAAGCGGAACCCCTATAAACATATATTTGCTCTCTTATTTTAATCACCAGCCCAACCCCTTACCAACTAGCGATAAAATATACCTATATGTATGTACTTCCCCTCCCTAGCGCCGACCGGACGTTTGATTGCCTCAATTCCCTATCAGTCTTGGCCATTTAAGATTAGTATTTAAGCCTTAATGAGCCCTTTATCGAGGCAATGGACACTTGAGCCTAAATGACTGAACAATTTTCACATTTTCTTGGAGCTTTTTTGGGGGAAAACAGTTTCACAGGGATTTGAAATCAATTTAAAAATGTGGCCAATAAATTACTTAAGAAATTAGCATCTGCAGTCTATCCAATCTAGACAATAATACATTGACATGTGTGAGGAAGAAATTGAACAAAGATAGATATCAGAAAAATTAGGATTACCTCTTTAAATATTGAATACAAAATATTAAGTACAAAAAAATTAATTAACTTAAAAAATGCTTAAGAGTTGAACACTTAATTACTTTTTAAACACTTTCAAACACTCATTAATGACAAAAATTTAATGACTGAGTATAATAAAGACTAAGAAAAGTCTATTTAACTCTAAAAAGGCTAGAAATTAATCCACAAAATTACAATTTCATGGCACTAATGGGTTTGTCTTTAAACAGGACAGAGAAGTATAATGATTTAAAAGTCAGACACTTAGGAATTTCCTACAGTTTTAACTTCACACAAAAAGAAAATGCTCCAGACAATCAAAGTTTTTCGCCCTGTGTAGCCACACATGGTCACCTGGTAAAGGTGGTGGTATTGCTGGTACTGGTGGCTTATCTAATCGCTTAGCTTAGCCACCTTTTTGCCGCAGTCGCAGACTTCTCCGACGGACTTCTGACCGATTCGCGTCTGCGTCTGTTGTCATTTTACCCCCAACTGCGCGCTAAAATGCTCTAAACTCGAAGCTCCCAAGCTTGGAAAACACCCCGCTGAACGTACCTCAACAGAAATATGGCAAATATGTGGGGCAAATTGGTGCTGCAGTTCTTCAAATATGCACCCAGCTATGTGGGTGAGTCACCATCTATACATATTACTGGAAAAGTTCTAATTGCAAGCCTTTCTGATCTCTAGTCTGCCTCAGTTTCTTACCCTGCGGCATGATATTTGGCTATACGATATGTGCCTTTGTGGCGGTGCGAAACGATAAGGATATAGGCCTCACATACTATGGTCCCCTGATCCTGGGCGCCTGCTGTGCGGTGATCACTGCCGTGGCCATGCTTGCCGTTAAATATGTGAAGAAATGCATTATATACTGGCAGTCATGGTTGCTTCTCGTCGCTGGTGCTTTTAATCTCATTGCCAGCTGTTTTTACTTTGCCGATGGATTTGGTGAGTCATGAGAAATGATAAGATTAGACCAACCCAGCTCCAAGCAGGTCAAGATCCTGTTGTATATAAGATATAATTATTAAAATAGGGATATAAATAACCAGAGTTTATATATACCTTTTGCAGACCATGTCGGCGCTTACATTTCCTATGTGGCCCACAGCATGACCTTTGTGGCCGGCTTCAGTTTCCTGCACACCATAAGCTCCAAGAGCAGCCGCTCGGCAATGCTCTCGGCCAGCTGCAGCTGCTACCTGTTGGGTGTGGCTTCGGCGGTAAGCCTTATAGTTGGCACCTACAGCAGGAATGTGAAGCAATGGGCTGGACAGACGGCAACGGCGGAGCAACTAACCGACGATCTCTATGTGAATTTTGCTGGGACGTACCTAAGCGTTACAGCTGTCATGCTGGCTATCCTGGTGGGTCAGAAGGTGCTCCACTTTCTGGGCACGGTGGATTTGGTTAATAGTCTGGACAATGAATTGCGGATAGCCAACTCCAATGGCAGCATTTTTGAGCCACGCTCGGAGGTGATAAAGCGACTGCAGTTCTTCTATGTGACCAAGAACCAGGAGTGGAACATGATGCTACTGGTGCTCTTCACGGAAGCCGTTCAGTTTGCTCTCTTCGTGTACTTCATCTACTGGTTCAGCCTGAACGAGGCTGTGCGGTTGACGGAACTCTCCGGCATAGATGGCATGTTCTGGGCAATCTTCGGTGGCAGCTTGCTGGCACCCCTGTGTCAGTGGTTCTTCTCGGTTAAGATCACCTTTGTGTCCGGTCAGATGGCGCTGGTACTCTTCACCCTGGTGGCCATGATCCAGTGCAGCGTCTCGGATTCCAGGTGGTCGCTCTGGCTCTTGCTGGTCCTCTTTGGATTGTCGTACTCCAGTCAGCAGATAGCTCTCTTGGAAGTCACTCACCTGCGCTTCACCGAATGCGTCGTTTGCTGCTCGTACATCTTCAAACTGGTCAGCACTAGCATCGTGTTCTTGTACTTTGTTTCGGATGCCAAGAACTCCTATTTCTATGCCACCGACTCAAGCATCCTGATGGCCCAAGGCTTCGTCTTTATGATAATTAGTTCACTGCTGGCTTTAATTGTGGGCATGAAGGTCCCGCGAACGCATAGAGCCCACCTCCTGGACATCCAGTACGAGCTGTATGGCATTATCTTTATGAATCACCAGATCGAGCAGCTTAATGTCCGCTGGTTGAACGACGGCACAATACCCACCATCAGTCAGTGAGCAACGAATATATATCTCTATCGTCACTTAAATCAACGAGGTCTGGAAGCTGAAACACCTGCTAAGTGCCCATTCAGGCACTACCAAAATAAAAGATATGAATTTTTGTATAATAAAATGAGAGAGAAAAATGAACACAATACCTTATTGCCTGCCGCTGAATCCTGAATAAGTTCAAAACAAACAATTGAACAATTAAGTTCTTAAGTGAGATTCCCAGATAATGGATAGTAGTTTTCGTTATTTTATTATCGGTTTATTTTAAGAGGGCTAAGACTAGCGTCTAATGGAGATAACCTGAACGGCGGCTGTGTGATCGCGACAAAAGTGGCTGGCACAAGCAGAGACATTCGCACAGGGAGTCACCTTGTAGTTACAAAGGCCTGTAAAAATATGAAAGAAAATACGGAAAACAGAAAATCACATTAAGAAAATTAATACGTTTGTAGGAAAGCTACAACAGGCTTTAAAAATTTGCACATGTTTCTAATGCGTCATATAGAATTAACGATTATTCTGATTGACTTTTAAAGTAATAGCTCCAAACCAGTCACCGAGATGTAAATTTTAATGGCGTTACGACTCTTCTATTTCTATTGTCATTGCTTGTACCCTGTACAAAGTAGCTGTTCTGGGAAAAAATCAATTTTGGTAATATATTTTCGTTAAATAACTTACGCAGTTTGGTCATAAACTTATGCAGCGTGTCCATATTACGCACCGTGCTGGCCAGCAGCATTTCCAGCTGACTGCCTCGCCTCGTGTAAAAGAAATCCATGGCGCCCAGCAAGGCATCGAACTGGGAATCATCATAGATCACATCGGCAGCTAGAAGCAAATCCGTTTCAGCATAATCCTGCCATGGAAATTCACTAACTGCATCCCATTGCAGCTGCTCCGCTTTGGGGGCCTGTTCCTTCGCTGTATCCGCAAAATTCAGGGCTATATTCTCGCGCATCAGCTGGACACAGGGTTCACTGCCATCGGTGATGAGGACCTGTCCCGCCTGAAGCGACATGGCAGGTAATTTCAAGAGGATGCCCAGTAGTCCGGCTCCAGCGCCCAGCTCCACTACATTTTTTCCACGCACCAGTTGGGGATGCTCCACCAAGTAATCGGCCAAGGCCAGTGCAGCCTCCCAGGTGCATAATCCAGTGGTGCCTTCGCTAACAAAGCTATTGGACTCGCGGAGCGTGATGCAGGCATCCGGCTGCAGTATATAGTGTTTGTAGGAATAGACCGTTCCCGTATCTGACCCCTCTGCCATTCGGTTGCACAGACTGCCGTATATATCGTCGTGCAACTCATCCTGGTCCTTGAGTAAATGCATTAGCTGCTTGATAAATGCCTCCACGTAGCTGCGTCGCACGGGATGACGCTGGTTCAGCGGATGGCGACAGGTTGCATCCATTAGGGCTTGCTGCTCCTCCCAACTTAACGGTAACTTTACGGACTAAAACAACAACAAGACGACTGCTCGAGATGAGGTTCAACAGGTGGCCAAGCAAACAGACAGCGAATACTCACAGACCAGGCCATTTTGTTCACGGGATAGCAGCAGAGAAACTGCTGCTGCAGTTTTCTGTATTTTTCCGTCATTTCCCGAAGCTTGAACTTCTCTCCTTGGTTCTAAATTGAATTTAAAGTTAAGAGTTGAGCTAAGTTAAGAGGCAACGTGAAATCGAATTAGAGCTGGAAGAAACATAAAAGCAATATCGATAGATCGATAAATTTAAATGTTGGTTTTCAGTTGCATCCGCGATGGTTGAGTTAAATTAGAAGCAAAAATTTTAATAAATTAAGCAGGGATTCACCATAGAATTACTTAATAATACAAAATAAGCAACATTTTAACAAATTAAACTTGATTTTAACACCAGATTGATCAATAAATTGAAATTTTGATTTTTTGTTGCATGTGCGATAGTTGAGCTGAAAATGAGGAAAGACTACTAGTACAATTAGCTGGGAATTTGCCAGAAAATTATTAAAAAATAAAAAAAATTAACAAATTAACCTCGATTTTAACACTAGTTTTTGTCACTATTAAACTCCGATGCTTAAGGGGTTTGACCACCTTGAATACCCGAAAATTGGAGGATATTAAAAAAAATTAATTTTTCAAAAACTATTACAAATGCCACTTTTTATTAATTGGAATATTATTTGAATATTGGAAATAAAAAATAATCATTGGAAGAATTAAAAATATTCACAAATGGCGGAGATATAACGATTCTACTATATTTTGTTTTAACTATAAAAATATGGCTATAGCATGATTTAACCAGTTTTTTTTTTGTATTTAATTTTATTTGACCAAATGGAAGCACTCAGAACAAACAAATATATATTTGTTTTTACAAAACTTCTGTTTTAAAATGTATAACTTTTTAAAAAAATATAAAGATAAAAAATATGATAATGTTATTGGGAAGTTGTGTACAAAATTCGAAGAGAATAGGTCGACAAGGTTTTGAGAAATCATGTACACCGTTAAAAAAAAAACGTAGTTTTGAGAAAAATGCAATGGAAGATAATAATGTACTCTAAGGTATAACAGAAGCGCTTACTACTAATAACTGTAATATCCACAAATAATGAGATAGTTTGAAACCCGATGTCTTAAAATGACCGTAAGGTCGGCATCATAATTATGTAAAAACAATTAAAAACTATTTTTCAAAAATTTTAGGCTGGTCTAACCCCACAGGAGATAAGAAAATGCAAACGTGGTGGAAACGTTTCGTTATTATTCCCTCGTTCTCTCTCTCTCATCGATACTCACGACCCAAAGTCCCGTTCTAGCTGATGTGAGCGCGGTATATCGAAACAGTTGAGACGCGGTCACACTGGGCAGGAGCTCAACTAAACTAATCTAAACATAATCTTAGTACAATAAACAATCATTCGAACAGCTCAGGGCAAGCGACCAACAACTTCTGGATGTGACAGCTCCTTGGGGCGGTAGCAGCAGCAGCAGGCAGTGTGAGACGACGTCAGCAGCTTGGCAGCACCAAAACAACAGCAACAGTGGTACCAATAAGACTGTAACGAGGTCGCAGGTCGCAGGTCGCACCAAAGGAGGAGGAGCAGGCGCAGGAGCAGGAGAGTAGGAGTTGGAGGTATGTATCTGTACTCTTGACCCATACAATGCAAAGCCCACGCCCACATCCGCATCCGCCACTTTCTCCGCCGTCCAAGGCACGTACGTACATGTACGTACATATGTACACATCTTGAGCGTGGCGTGTAATTGCCGTGAATAAATAATGCGAATGTGCGGATGTGTGCGAGTTGTGGCCGTCCATCTGTGGGATACATTATTATTATTACTGCTGCCGCTAATGGATTGGTTTTATACATTCAACACAGAGAGCCATGCGCCTTAACAAGTCGGAGCTAAACTCTCTTGCCAGCAATTCAGCAACCCGATTCGATAGGGAGGGCCTGCTCATCTTCAGCGACCGCCAAGAAGGCTTCCTGTGGCGCAGCAGTGAAGGTACGTACCCTACGAGCAAGATAAGCGGTTAGTCAACCGTCCTATCATACGCCATATATATATCTATATATGGCCTTGATTACACATCCGCCACAGACGCACTATATACACATAAGTATGCAGAATTCGCACAATCCTGCTTTCTGCGCCCTATCCACACACACTTGGCTTATGCACAACACATACATTCTCCTCACTTTGACCCACAGTCCGTGTTGAACGCTGGTGCAAGCTACGTGGCAATTTACTGTTCTACCTCAAGGACAGGGACCCCAAATCGGCTGTGGTTGGCGTTCTGGTGCTGGAGAACTGTCGCCCCCGCATCCATAATGAAGAGCGCGATCCCGAGGGTTATGTCTTTGATCTAGGTGAGTTCCAGCACGAAATATATCTCTTAATTTCAGTTTGTAATAACTGATTTTGTTGTCAGACTTTAAGGACAGCATCTCGGAGCGCTTCATTACGTACACATCGGCGGAACGTCTTGCCTGGGTGGCCAGCATCGAGGATGCATCAAACGAAAAGCTAAACCTGCTCATACGCCAGCTAAAGGAACAGATAGCGGCCAAGACCCGTTGTCAGTCCATCAAAATGGGCAATCATATTGATCTGGGCATGCCCATGTCGCTGGAGGAGCAGCAGCAGCAGCATCAGCAGACGCAGGAGGAAGAGGAGGTTGAAACGACAGCAGCTGCACCCCCCTTTGAAGGTGATCTTATACAGTTTTAACCCAAAAACCAAAACAAACAATCTATGGAAAGCCGGGCAAAAGATGAATAAGAAGGAAGGCGCTTTTCGTTTTAGTTCCATTTAGCAAACATAATCCAAATGTTTACACTCAGAGTCATACGCTCTCGCTCTCTTTCACGCATGCCCATGGTGGAACCTTGATGAAACTATACAAAATGGTCTCATTGCATTGCTTAATATCTTTCTTATAAGACCAAAGAGAAAGAGTGAATACTCATCTTGTATAGTTGAATCATGGTTGGAATTATACATTCATTAGAAACTATATAACGATAACTTTTTTGTAGTTCTCCTAAACACACATTTGACTCATGCGCATGCTCATCCGGTTAATGGTCATTAAACTCGACATTTTTGGCTTCCACAAAAGCTTTATCTATTATATATTGTATTGTTTGTACATAGAATCTAATCAATCCGACCGAAATTGGTACGGAGAATATGTGATTATTGAATTTAATCATTTCCAAAAGGAACTGAACTGAAATAGATGGAATTTATTCTTTGAATAAACTTTGTTTTGCTTATGAATTTCAACGTTAAATCATGTGTTTTGTTGTTAATTATTAATTTAATTTCTTGTTGTTAATTAACGCTAAATCCCCGCAGTAGTAGCTGATGCTCCTTTGCACTCCTCTGACTGGTTTTGTTCTGCTTTTATCTTACAGATCTCGATCTCTCGGAGCTGCCCATATGCGAGACGGCCCTATCCTGTGATAGCCTGCCAGTGAATGCTTTGGGGCGTTCGCCCAATCCCCAGGTGGTCTGCTCGCTGCTGGTGACGAGTGGCAATGGAGATAATGATAGCTTCTGGCGGGAGCATGCCCGCACCGAGTACCAGGAGCATACGCGTAGCCCCCAATTTCTGTGTACAATGCGGTTTCAGCGTAGTGCCAGCTTCTCGGCCGCCACACGTCTTCGCTTCAGCGTCCTGGATGTCCGGGAAAGACTGACGCACACCGCCCTTCCGCTGGGTCATGCCGAGGTGGCCCTGGGCGCCATTCAGGACACCACGCGTCTACGCATGCCGCTTACCTCGCCGCATGGCGGTGATTGTGGCTTTATCACGTTGACTTCCTGGTCACCGGATGCCACTGCCAGTGGTGTTGCGGCCACCATGGAGCCTGGTCAGAGTGGCAATGGGCCACCGCGTTCCAGCACTCAGCTCTTTGACACAGCCGGTGGCACTGCCAGCAGTAGAAGGGGTACGTTTTGCGAGCACTTATCCTTTGTTGTTAGTAATTAAAGAACTCTTTTTCCACACAGCTCATCGTCGCACCCAGTCACTGCCGCCGAAGCTAAGCGTCCGCCTATTCGTTCCCCAGCAATGTGGCCTCCAGAGAGTGTGCTCCAATCCCCGCATGCGCACCTACCGCCTGCACTCTTCCCTGGGAGCGGATATCAGTGTGCAAGAGACGCTACTGGAATCTCGGTTGTGCTGCCTGCTGCCCCAACAGCTGCTCTCCATTTGGATTCAGCGCGAAAAGGAGCTGCTGCAGGAGATCTCTGGGATGGGTGAGCTAAGCGGCGAGTGGCGTTGGCGTCAGATGAATTTGCTGGAGGAGCATCTCCGGCTGCTCAAAGATTACTCGCAGGCGAAGCAGAATATCCAGCAACTGGCCCGTGATGGAGTCTTCTACAAGCGCTCCTCGGCCAAGGCGGATGAGGCTCTGGAGTTTCTGCCTGTCAACCTGCATGTCCAGCGGATGTGGGCCCAAAACGATACGCTGCAGAGGCGCGGCTTGCTGGATGTGATCACTGTGGGAGCATTCACACGCCACGATCCTAAGGGAAACAAGTGCGGCGGCCTGATCAAGTAGGTGGAATGTTGCCGGGATTCAATGCATCATAATCAGTATTTTTCTTCCTTATTCCAGGCTCCTGCAAGAGAGCAAGTCGTGGAAACTGGAGCAGAGCGATGCTTGCAAGGTTCAGACTGCCAACGATGCCGTTCAGACCACAAAGCAGCTGCGCAAGGAGATCGTAGAACTGATGTCACAGCTCCTGCAGCTGGCCAGCCGACGGAGCGCCAAGGATATGATGCCGCTGTGCAACCAAATGGTGGCTCTCACACGCACCCTGCTCTCCATCTGGGAGCCGAGCATCGTTGAGGAGGGCGTGGCCTTTATCGAGCGCCATCGCATCATTGAGGAGCCAGAGAATGTGTTGATGGAGCCCATGTCACCCTTCCGCAAGATCACCCAACAGCTGACGGCTCTGGAGCTCAAGTCTCCGGAGCTTGAGGACTTTGCCACGCCGGTAATTGCGCCGCCAGATCTCTGGCCACGCGGCCAGCAGCTGGCGTTGATGCGCTCCAACAGCTGGCATTCGCCAAGCAGCTCGCTCGACATTCGAGCCATTGACTCACTGCAGCATGTGGTTAAGTCATACAATGACCACTTGCGCAGCTTGGAGCAAGGCGGGGACAGGGACAAATCGCACGATGAAGAGGAATCCACATATCAGTCGTTGCCGGTGACATGGCACACGGAAACCGCACCTCCAGGCGTCCCCCCGCCGGTGCAGCTGATCGATTTGGACGAAATAGGTCGAAGCCAGCGACACCAGCACCGAAAGCAGCAGCAGCAGCATCCTCCGGCTGGCTTCTTGGACACCAAGCTGATGAGCTCCTCGCCGTCAGCCAATTACTATCGTCCCACAGAGGAGCCGGAACCCCTGGATCTCACCCAACTAAACATCGAGGCAAGCGTTATGTGTTTGGTTAGCAAGTTAAAGTTCTTCTGCGGCCACTGCGATAGTCCAGCAATCCGGCTACGGCAGCCCAAGGCGGCAGCCAAGCGCCGGGAGGGCTTCACCGTGGCCCCGCAACAACAGGCACCAGACGTGATTGTGGCCCCATCGCCCAAGCTTGAGCTGGATCTCAAGCCGCCAGTGGAGGAGGACACTATACCGCCACCTGCGAATATCAAAAAGAAGGGCAACAAGTTCACCGACGGCCTGGATCTCTCGCTGACCACCGATTGGGAGGCAGAACTGCGGCCGAGCATGCGCAAGCTGCGTCACGCTATGGACCGTCTCCTGAAGACCGCCCGGCTGATACATTCCGTACAGAGGCTACAACAGGATGTGCGCTGCAATAGTCTCCAGGCGAGCATAATGTACCGCCGGGATGTGTGCTTCTCTCAGGCGGTAAGAATGATTTTATAACAAATTAATTATTTCCTGGTCACTGCCAATATCTTCTCTTTCTGCTCCTTGCAGATAACCTCACTGGTCACCGCCTTAATGCTCCGGCTGTGGGGTAGCGAGTTGGATATGGGATATCTGGTTATGTTACGCGACCTGGGACCGCTGGCATACTTCGAGGGCCTGCTCACTCTCTATGGCAACGAGGCGGACATGTGGAGCGACATGTGCATCGCCATTGAAGACTTGTCGGCCGTTAACTTCCAGCTGGTGCGGGCGCAGGGAGATGCCGCACTGGCGCCAACGCCACGGATTACAGGCTCACGACAGGCACTGGAAGTGCAGCTGCCAGTGCCAGAGCACTCGTTGCCGGGGAATGGCACGTCCATTTCCTTTAAAGTCACACCCGTCTTCTTTAACATAGGCATCAACGAGAAGGCCAGCTTTGCGGAGACAATGGGCAAAACGCGGGAGCAGCATCGTTCCAATTGGGACAATTACCTGGTGTTGAGCAAGTACTTTGGACGCTACCGGAAGCTGGGTCTTGGTTCCGTCGAGGCTGGTGAATCGCTGCGCTCCCTGCTGGGCCTCATGGAGCAGCAACTGCGGGCCAATGTGTCCAAGAATGTGAAGATTCTGCATTTGGCGGAGGATGCCTGCCGGTTGATGGACGGCCTGAGGTTTACCTCTTGCAAGAGTGCCAAGGATCGCACCGGTATGGCGGTGACACTGGAGCAATGTCGCGTACTTGTACGAGAGTTCCAGCTGCCGGCCAAGCATGTGCCCTACGCACTCAGCACGATGAGGAGGTGAATTTATATAGTCTTTGTTTCATTATAGATTTCCATTTTGGGTACTTACATACTTCCTTCTCCATTTCAGTGAGGGCACCCGCATGGAGAACGTACTGAAGAACATCGGGAAGCGAAAGTATGCCTTCAATCGAACTCAGGTGTCCTTCCTGCCGGCCGTTTATAGGCCGCCAGTTGGCAGCTATGGCAAAGCGCAAACTTAATGATTTACCGAGTACTTAATGCTCTGCAAAACCCGGACCTTGTGATGATGGCCAATACAAAAAACATTGGACAACGAAACACAATAGAAATACAATTATCGGTATCGTAAAAGAACATACATAGATAAAAAAAGCTGTGCCAAAAATCAAACAAATTAACCAAAACGACACATTAGCGAAGAATCTAATATATATCTTCCTTCCGGACAATTGTTAAGCGCTTCACATAATTCTAATCCGAACCCCGAAACCCTTCTTCCTATATTTACACTTAGGCTATATACATTTAACCACGTAGCAAGGCAAAACGAACATGTACTTCCAGTGAATAAAAACAAAAAACCACAACTTGTTAAACAATATTACAACAGTATTTTTATGATTTCCTTTTACACTAATAGTCCTGAACACGTCCCATCCGCAGGCGCTGCTTCCGGACCTCTGTCTTCAGCCAGGAGGGCACTTCGCTGCCAATGGGATGGGCATTGGGGTAGCGCAGTGGCGTATCCGGACCATCGAAGGGATGTGTCTGTGCCAACTTGCGCTCCAAGTACTCCTTGTTGAGTCGTTTCTGGTCACGATGCTTGTCCATGTACAGATTGAAGGGCTGCTTCAGCGGGAAGAACTTCTGGTCGGCCAGATATGGCTTGGGGAAGTCATACTCGTACACCGGCTCCTTGCACTCTGTGGGATTAACAATTAATGAGGCAATCAGCAGGAAATATAGTTACTTGAAACTTACTCAGAACATCGTGATAGAACTGCGACAGGGATTCATCCCAGTTGGTTTGATAGAAGGCCAGGCCAGCCGGCGTCAGTTGCTCCTGATGCCTGCGGTAAAAGTCCAGAGTACTAAAGGTTCGCTTCTCCAAATTGTTATAGTCGCCATCGGCTAGCTGATATGAGCCAAGATCCAGTCGCCCCTCCTGCTTGTAGAGCACAAAGACCATGCGCTGGTAGCCGACGCCGCGGGGCGGGAATGGCGGAAGATACTCGGCCAGCACCTGACCGTCGTTCACCTTACCGTTGGGTATATTGGCGCTGCAAAATTAAATGAATACGGATCAGTATTCGTGGGTCACCACTCCCATAGCCCTTGATACATACATCAGCCAATGTAGGCATTCAGAAGACGACTCATTGGTGCAATGTGCATCGGGATTGGTGGCCACCAGAGTCCAAAAGGTGTCCGAGGTGGCTGCCTTGCCGGTAATTGGATCCAGTAGACCGTTAAAGGTAACCTGTGGCGCTGTTGAAGCCTCCACCGGCTTAATGACGTTGCCATTGTAGACGGGAGCCAGGCGCTCGCCTCCATCCAGCACGTAGTTAATGTTCAGTGGCACTCGGGGCACGAAAAAGGCGCTGCCGTACAAATGCTCGAAAATGCCGTAGTGATCGGCCATCAGACGCAGATCGTGGTGGCCTGTCGTCTTCACATACACCTGCTGCACCTTCTCCAGGTCGATGGTCACTGTTAATTGAGATATTAATATATTTCCTACACTATGATTTGGATAGAATAAACTCACATTTATTGCTGCGCGCCAGCTTTTCCAGTTCCTTGCTGGTCCGCTGCGCCTTCAGGTGTTCCAATCGCATCTTCAGCTGCGCCGAACGCGGCTCCTTCAGATGTGGAAATCCAATGTTGACGCGGGCCACCACCTCAGGATCCGACAGGGTCTCCTCTGCACATCAAACCGAAGGTAAGGAAGTGGTTACATCAACAGGAACAGCGCAGGTATATTTGGGCAAGAAATTCACTTACCTCGCAGCCGCTGCTCCAAAGTACGGGCAACACCTGGCGGCTTGCCGCGAATTGTGTGCCCTTGCCGAGTGCCAGTGTACAAGACGCTGGGCACCCGGGAACCGTGAATGCCTTGGTTGAGACAGCTTTTCATTAACAAATTACTGAACGACATTGTGTTTTGTAATTCGCAGGCCGCTCGCGTTTTTCCAATAGAGAAGGGAACCTTACGATAGAATCCAAGTATCGAATACCTTCGTGTGTCTTGCTGTTGATGATATCGATTTGTCTTTTCACTAGTAAAGCATAAAACGATAATTTTTCAGATCAATCGATATTTGAAAACGATAACGAAAATTACATTAATGTTTTTAAAACAAGAGAAACCGTTGCTAGATGTTTTTGAAACTCCACTTGGGATCATTGGCGATAGTATCAAATTATGGATTATTCACAGCTTCCGTTTCCGGTCACTTTAATTACTCGCACTCCCAGCATATAAAGCCGTGTGGACCTGGGAACTTGCTTCAGTTGCTGCCGTCCAGTTGAACAGGAAAGTATTTATTTTTGATATGTGTCTTAATTTATTTTTGATCTTTATTGCATCTTGTGATATTGCTTTATTTTCGTTCACTACTTTTGATCTGTAAGATAATTATCCGATATAAAAACAGATTTTGGTTTTGAATCCATCATCTTTGGGTTTTTCTTGTTTTTAATTTAACTTATTTTGTAACAATTTTGATGACTTTTATTATGGTAAAAAAAATTATTTGATATGAACATTTTAGTGTTTTCTATGTCATGTTTCTTTAAAGCGTTCTAAACCAAATGACTTAAGCGTTTTCATCCCCTGTTTCTTCCTTTTTTTTCATCATCTTTGTGAATTTATTGTTTTTGATTTTGATGACTTTCGTTTTAGTAAAAATCGATCATTACGTTTATTTTAATTGATTTATTGCATTTCGTTTATTAAAAAAGGAAGCGTCGGATTTGGTTAATAAAAAAAATGCTTATCCAGCTAGTTTTTTTTTTTCTATTCGCGCTTGCTGGCATTTTGGGGAACATAGTAAAATATCGATAACCTTTAGGATCAGCCCCGTCCGATCGATAGTTTTTTAAGCGGAGCTTTTGAGTTGTCCGAAAGTAACGGTTGATCCGAACGACTGCAACCGTGAATCGACTGGCAGAAAAATAATAGAAATGCATTTGAATCTTATGAATTGGTTGCTGCTGCCGCTACTGGCCTTTGCGGCACCTAGTCGAGCGGAGGAGTTGCTGGAACTATCTTGCATCACGGACGCTCAGTGCGCTCAGTTCGAGCGGGGACACTGCGTGGACATGGCCTGCATCTGCACGGCACGTGACTCAAACGAACGGATGGCCTGCCGCCCGCACGAGGAGAAGCTGACGAACATTATTGGCGGCCCCTGTCCCTGCCCGCAGCCAAATGCAGAGTGCGATGCCAGGCGGGATCAGTGCATCTGCCACACGGGCTATGTGCCCAGCGCTGATCGCAGGCGCTGCCTTCCCGAGGCGGTCCGTCATGGTGGAGAATGTGAATTACCGCGGCAATGCCAGCTGGCGGACAAGTTCAGCACGTGCCTGAAAGGCCGTTGCGTCTGTCGGTCCGACTTTGAGCTCCACGAGGGACGTTGCCTGGCGGTGCTACGTAAGTAACTACAATAAATGCATGTGAAAATTTATTAAAATTAATTTCCTTAGAATCAAACTGTCTGCTGAATACCGATTGTGGCACCTGCGGTGCCTCCTTATGTTTGCCCAAGTTGAAGAAGTGCGCCTGCGCAGAGAATTACGTTCACAACCGAAACTTGACCAAGTGTATATCGGGCTTGGCCTTTGCTTTTGGCAGTAGCTGCGATCATAATGCACCATGCCAGGTGAACCTAGGGAGCTCGGCCCAGTGCCTGGATCATCGTTGCACATGTCGTCCCACACACTACCCCCAAAGGGTAGCCAATGTTGTGTCCAAGGAGAGCGACATCGATGAGAATATTATCAGCCACAAAGATCGAATCAGTTGTGAGCCCATCGTGGCCTTTGGAGCCTACTGTCGCCACAATGGTGACTGTCGGATGAAGCATATGGAGCAGGACAATCAACCCGTTGCCATGGTGTGCCAGTGGGGTGAATGCGGCTGCAGTGAGACCCACCGGCTGCAGGACAACCAGTGCATTCTAATGGTCAGCACGGGAGTTACACATCATCGTACAGCACTTCTTCTCCTAAGCTTCGTTTGCACTTTACAATTACTCTTTATTAGGCTTTACTAAACACAAACAAAAAAATAATGTTGAATTTATATGAAAATATATATAAAACACGATTGAAATGAATCACTTGGCTTGATCATGTTCTCATAGGCCAATTCTGGCCGGCGTGCGACGTGGCGTGGCATTGCCAGGTGTGGCAATCTCCTGCTTGGCGGCCAGCTGCTCCTCCCGCTGTGCCACCTGCTGTTTACGCTCCTCCATTTCATGCTGCGCCTGCAGCATTTGTTCCTCCATTTCCTTGAGATGCTCAGCCGCCTGTTTCTTCTTCTCCCGGCCACTACGTCCGGACTCCTTGACGGAGAAGAACATGGGGCCCAGCTCGGCCAGCCAATAGCCATCGACAGCCGTGGCGCACTGCATATACTCCTTGGCGGTCATGATCAGCTCGTGGTAGACCACATATTCCGGTGTTGTGCCCAAGCCATACAAGGCGGATGTGGGATGCAAATGGCAGGGCATGCCCGTCCTTAGATTCACATACTCACCAATGCCCTTGAGTCGCGCCGCCTGATAGAAGTAGGCCGAGCATATGCACTTGCGCACAACGTCCCAGTCGGTGCCGCAGCTCTTGACGGGTATGTTCTGCTGGGTCATGATGTCCTTTAGCTGCTGCCGTACCTCACGAACCTTTCGCATTGCCTTGATGTGGATAAAGTGCTCATTGCACCAGGAAGAGCTATAGCTATATACCATAGATGGAGATGAGAATTAATTAATTATTTTCGGGCAAAGATTAGGTTAAAATACTTACTTATTCTGGCGCCACTGCTGGTACACATTGAGGTAGGTTAAGTGATCGGATTCCGGCACTTGGAACTTCTCGCGCACGCCATCCGCTTCCTCCTCGCGTCCCTTTGGCCGGTAAAAGATCGAGGGCACGGACAACATGGAAACTAAGGGGAATTAAAGGAATATGATCAATGGCAGGATCTAGGTATTAATATCCTAGAATGTAACTCACCTATGATTAAAACTTCGGCGCTGCAATGCATGCGGCAGGCGACAATTAGCATCTGGCATTGGGGTGGATCCAGCGGGAACTCTGCCATTTGACGACCAAGCGTTGTGAGAGCTCCCGTATGATCCAAGGCGCCCAGGATCCACAGTTGATAAAGGGAATTCAGGATATTATCCTGCGGTGGGGGATCCATAAAGTGGAACTGCAGCAAATCAACAACACCCAAGGATTTCAGCAGCAACACCGTATTGGCCAGATTGGTACGCTGAATCTCCGGCACAGTAAGGGCCAACAGTTCGTCCTTGTACTGACGCTGTGTGTACAGCCGGAAGGCCTGGCCAGGACCCGTGCGTCCAGCACGACCGCTTCGTTGATTGGCATTGGCCTGCGAGATGGGATAGATCTGCAGGGCATCCATACCGATGCGGGGATTGTAGACCTTCAGCTTGCAGTAGCCGGAATCAATCACATAGATAATGCCATCGACGGTGAGCGATGTTTCCGCAATATTGGTGGCCACCACACACTTGCGTACACCGTCGCCGGACTTTTGAAAGATCTTGGCCTGCAGATCCGATGGAAGTTGCGAGTAAATCGGTAGAATACTTAGCTCTGGGGCATTCTCAATCTCCGCAAGCCGCTCTTCCAGAACCTCGCACGTCACCTCGATGTCCTCCTGGCCGGGCATAAAGATGAGCATGTCACCCTCGTTGGGTGTCAGGTGCACCTGAAGCGCTTGCTTCACCGCCGACTCGACGTAATCCTCGCAGGTGTTCTTGCTGAACATCACGTCCACGGGAAAGGTGCGTCCTGGTATGGTAAAGGTGGGAACATTGCCAAAGAACGTGGCGAACTTGGTCGAGTCCATGGTGGCAGAGGTCACGATTAGCTTCAGGTCATGTCGACGGGCCACAATCTGTAAGAATTAGTGTATATTAGTCAAACGAGTATTTAATCAAATTTAAAGTAATTAATTAATTAATTAATTAATGTATTAAAAGCTTGCATCGACTTAGGTCTTAGAAATAACTATCTTCGTTTGTTGTTTTAAATTTTTTCAGTGCCTTAAAGGACCAAACTATGTACATATGTACATATGTATGCGCGTTACGCATCTTATTTCTTATCTTGTCTTGGGTTTAAAGCTTGATTTAGTTGGGTTTCTAACCTATTTTAACATATGTTTTTAAATTGTTCACAAATTTACCTGAATATATATTTTTAAAACATTTTTTTGTATAAAGAAAATCTAAGCTGTGAATTTTTAAGAATTATTTTTTTGTAAACAAAAACAAGTTTACAAGTTGTTGGCAAAATGATTCTGATTACAGGCCAAAAGGATTCTCTTTTGGGGTCAAAAAGCATGATGTGGGGTCAATAAATGCTGACCGGAGCGCCAGTGGGTCAGGTCAAGGCATTTGCGACTGCTGGAACCTCTGCATTGGGGGATTCGAAAGATATATCTTTAAATCTTTCCCATACAATGGGACTGATAAGTTTAACGCTCTCCTAGTGCTCGTCACGCTCTTTTATTTAGCCTGCCCCGGCCTCTAGAAACTCACCACACTACACCTGCCCGGAACGGGAAGAGGCAAATTAAGAGAGACTGAAAGAGAGTTGTGGCGGACGTGCAAACACACACGCAGGCAAAGTGCCGTTGAAAGCGAAGAAAAGGGAAAGGGGAAACTGGGGATGGGGGATGCCATAAAACCACAAGTCCTGAATGGGGACAGAATGTCCTTAATAATAAAATGTGTCTCGGATCATTTATTTGCATTCTTTTTAGTTCCTTTTAATATGAAATATAAACAGTACTTTGTGGGCATACAGAGCGGATTCTTCCTTAAAAAAATGGTTTTCTAATTTATAAATTTAAAAAAAATATTAAATATAAATAAGGAGCAATGATTTTTTATATGAATTTAATGTTTCGGGGTTTAACTGCTTTTTTAAGGTAATGTCAAAACTAATTTTTCATGTTTTCAACAATGGGGATTCCATACTAAGTTAAATTGTTTCATTTTTTCAAACTCAAGATAAGCTTGGATAATGGAAGAACAATATTTAATATTATATTCTGGGAAAACAATTGCAAAAGAATTTTTACAACAAGAATATCTTTAATTCCTAAATCTTATTTATTACTATAGAAATTATCATAAAAATTTTAAGGACTCTTATCAATACATCATCATTATAGGGTCTATAATAAATGATGTCCCTTTTTGGAATCTAGTACTACAGAATTCTCTACGAAATCCACTCTAAATCTTAAGTATTTATAATTATAGTATATATTAATTAAATAAATATATATTCAAATATATTATATAAAGAACTTCCATAATATTTTTGATAGATCGTTTGATATCGTTCAAAGTTAAGGTTTTAATTAAAACGATTGACTATAGTTTTAGAACCTATACCCACTTCACTAATTTGTTACTTACTAAAAAAAATATATTTATATAGAAAATAACTCATATTAGATGCCTTTAAAAGATTATTGATCAACAGATATATCCTGACATATAGTAATGATACTGTGATCATGATTCTACCTATTACATAGGTACAAGGTACTCTAAGAATAGTCCGTATTAAAAATACCACTCAGTCATAGTCATAACTAACGAGATCACGAGCTCTATTCTATATCTGCGTCCGATTGTATTATATTGTAAACCAATTGATTCGATTGAAGTCGTAAAACAATATCAGCTATGGCGCCGTAGCTAGAGTTATGGGATAGGACAATTTTAGATCCCGATAAGGCCACTCGAATTTTGCGGTAATGCTAAACAATCGAGAGTGCACTTTCTGGCCAAAGAACTGCACAGGGCAATCAATCAGTCAAGGTCAAACCATATCTATATATATGACACGCTTGCACATGATCTTATTATAGAAACAGGAAGCTTGCGAGAGCGGATGATAATGCCCTTAAATGACCATTTAATCAACAATAATAAATAACCAACAACCAACAAAAGCAGCGATTTTGCAAACATTTATTTTATTTATTGGCCAACATATGCATGTGATATTGAGCAGGACATTTAAACTAAATAATTTTATTTTTCGCCGGCACGTTGCCAAAAAAGTTTCAAGATGTCAACAATCCAATTGTATAAATAAATGCATAAATAAATTCATGAATGCAATTTAAAGGGACTGTACTTTCCACAGAAGAGTAGAAAAGAGAAAATCATCATCAGACAATTCGATTTAGCCACATCTATCTGATAAAACGTTCTAATATAAACTTTTTAGTTTGGATTTTTAGATTCAAAATTACAAGATGTACATATTTTTACAAACTTAATAAAAATTATTGTGTTTGTGTGGCATTAGCCCCCAAAAAAATATTTGAAAAACCTTGTCTAGATGCAGGCAGACGTCACATGCTTTTCCTGGCGCCAATAGACTAATATATATATTTGGTACAGTTGCGGTCAAATTAATAGCACTGAAAACCACAATTTATAATAATTTATAATATTAAATAACGTGTCCTGTTTATACCCTTCCAGGGTATTATAATTTAAGTTAGAAGCATAAAACTCAGTGAAAAAGTCATTTCCGACCCTATAAATTATATATTTTCTTGATCAGCATCAACAGCCTAGTGGATCTAAACATCTTCGGTAAGAAAAAAAATTGTCAAATTTTTTCAACATTTTATAAGGGTTAACATTATTAAAATTTTTAAAATTTTGATAAAAATTTTAATTTATTTATATTTTAAATTGAGTATGCAGATTTATAAATCTAATGAAAACTAACATAGGACGGTTTTCGGAATTAAAATTAATGCTTTTTTGGCTTAGTTATGGGGTTTTCAAATTTTGATTTTGTTGAAAAAATTGCCATATAAAAATAACAATAAGAATGCAAATATTTGTTTAAAAAAATCAAATTAAAATGTTTCTAATTGTATTATTTTTTTATACCAGACTGTGCAATATTTTGACCGCCACTGTGAGCAATTAAAAATGCGGCAGATGTGATTTAAAGAGCGTTTGCATTGAGGCGGGGAATGCAAAATTCTCTCGAGGTCGCTGGAGGTGAGTCCGAAACACTCGGGGAGGCAGGTTTCGGTGGGTGGGTGGGGGGTGGCTGGTCATTTGTGGGGGCGGTACAGGATTTCCATTCCGGCGGCTGAATTATGCGAGTGTGATGAACCTCAAACAGGTTCCGGCGAGACTTTTAAAAATGTGTGCAACGTGCGATTACATACAGTTGAATTTATGTTATCAAAAAAACCAAATATATGTACTATATTTATTTGTAAAATAAATTATTTTTAACAACAAATAATATGTACATAAATCCCCAAACATAATTGAACTGAAAATGAACTCTAAAAGGCTTTTTTTTCGTTCATTTTTCGTGAATTTCTATGTACATGTACACACATACATACATGTATGCGTATGAATGTGAAAGGGCGAATTAAAGATGGCGAAAAAATGTCCTCTGTGAGTGCACATTTCCGCCAGGGGGCGGCAGGGATGGCGAGACATAGGCAAAAAAATAAAAATAAGTTCAAAGTATCAAATATTGCTTACTACGCTTTGGGCTTCCCTTTTGGAGGTGTGGCCGTCGGGCATAAACAAATCACAGGTGTGCAAGACGTGTGACGTAGTAGAAATGTATTTCTTTTTGGCAAAAACTACATACATACAATGTATCTACATAAATACGAGCACAACAAATACATATGTACATACATATATACAGACTTTAACTGAGGCGAAGCGCAAGATGTAAACACAACAAGCAAAAAATTCGCAAAAGCAAGAACAAAAAAAACAAGCGGTGGAATGAAAAACAAAAGGAGAATATGCAAAACACACATTCAGCACATTTTATTGAATAAATATCAAAACAACAGCCACGAACTGGCTCTCTTCGCTTATTTATATATGTATTTTTTTTTTTTTGCTGCAAACGAGTTATGTGCAGAAAATTAAAGCAACAAATAAGACAAATCAACGTTTATTCAACCGAAGGTGTGTACATGAGACAAGCGGAGAGAGAGAGCATCACACAGAGGGATAGAGAGCGAAGAGAGACATGCCACAGAGAGGCAACTTAAGAGAGGCGATAGGACAAAAACAAAAACAGGGAAAGAGAGCCGCCCGGACCGGCCAACAAACCAAAATAACCTCCTCTTTCCTCGTGCTTGTTTTGTTTTTAAATTCGATTAAGGCTCAAACAGCTGTTTGGCAAAAACTTCCGCCATATGAAAAGTCCCGCTTAAGAAAACCCCAAAACCCCTTTGTTGTAATAAAACCGTAGTACTATGTTTTTAACAACGACCCAAGGACTCCAACAAATAAATTGAAAGGAATTAAACTTTGGCTAGTTGAAGTTTGCATACTCTTAAAGTTTCACATTTTGGATTTTTCTAGAATTTTCCTTTTCCGCTTAGATAGATAACAGGGTCTTAGGAGTGAGTGAAGAAACGGAGTAAATATTAATTTAATTTACTTGGTAATTTTAATTAATTTTACCTTAATTATTACATTTTATTTATATTATTTCAAGGTTTTAAAATTGTTAACTGCGTTTTATTTACATTAACTTCGCACGTCACTGTAGGTCACCACAAAAGAAGGGGAAACAAATTTTAGCATATGTTTATGGGTTTTATTTTATTTTGTTGTTGTTGATATATTTTTTTTGATTGTGCTCGTGTCTCGTTTTGCATGACTATAGAAATTTTCTAAAAATAGATACCGAAAGAATGCTGGCAGCGACGTCGCGTCAGCTGCTGGCAGAGGCCGCGAAAGAGGTTTTCGATGTTAACTTCAGCGAAACCTTAAAATACCTTGATATCAAGTTACAAAAGCAAAAACAACACAAAATATAAGAAAAAGGGCCAAGCAATTGATTAATTTGTATGTATAAAGTATATACATATATTGTTGATCAGGATCAACAGCCGAGTCGATCTAGCCATGTCCGTCTGTCCGTCTGTCCGTCTGTCCGTCTGTCCTTCTGTCCGTCTGTCCGTCTGTCCGTCTGTCCGTTTCTACGCAAACTAGTCTCTCAGTTTTGAAGCTATCTGAATGAAACTTTGTAGTTAGCCTTGTATATACTCTCACTCGTATATATGTCGGAACGGGCCGGATCGGACGACTATATCATATAGCTGCCATAGGAATGATCGGAAAATTTTTACAAAAAATTTTTTAACTTTTTCAGTTTTAAATAGAATTGGATCAAATTTGAGATATAGCCATTTTACAATACTCTACAATTTTGCATAAAATTTTATGAAAATCGGACTACTATATCATATAGCTCCCATAGGAACGATAGAGAAATTAATACAATTAAATTTATAACCTTTTCAGTTTTCAACTGATTTTCATCAAATTTTAGGTATAGGCATTTTATATTAGTCTTAAATTTGTGTCAAATTTCATGAAAATCGGACTATTATATCATATAGGTGCCATACAAACGATCGTTTGATGTACAGGAAAAATGCAAGTCTTTGAATGTAAAACGGCAAATATAATATCTATAGGTGAATACAATGAAAACAGGTATTACTTCACTGTTTTTTAACACAAATATATATCATTTCTATTGTATGGTTTTTTATTGATAGAAGTTCTATCTGCAAGGTTATATAAACTTCGGCGTGCCGAAGTTAGCTTCCTTTCTTGTTTTTATTACCATACCTTTATTCAAGTGCAATTGAACGATTCGGGTTGCATACATTATTAATGAAAGCGGGGGGGAAAAAGTAGAAAATAAATAAAAATGTCACTCCGATAAGTTTTTGCGCTTAGAGCGGTGACAAATGGAATCCTATCCATCTAGCTGGGAATCCACTTGCTTATTCAGTATCTTTCTTGCTATTCGTATATGTAAGTAGTACGTACGAGTACGAGTTCGAAATTATATTTGCATGCCGAGTACCGATGGGTTAATGGTATCGCAGTGCCCGGCACCTGTGGCAACGGAACTCGTTTATTTTCGTCTCGAACTTAAAGGCTTTGCTCTACGCATTTACCTAGCGAAGGCAACTGTTTTGATATCTGGTAATATCCAGACTTTGCACTTCATTCAGAACCTCAGACATCGACATTACCACCGGTAATTCCGATTACGATTACGTTTTTTTGAAAAATTATTGTATTTTTAATACTGTTCTTCTCACTTTTGAGAGAAAATCATTTTTAAGAATTAAAAACAGGAACATTTTTAAGATAAATGAATTTTAAATATTTGTTTAATTGATTTTATAATAATTTAAATGTAAAATAAGCTCACAAAAACTCAAATTAGCATTGATTCTAGGACACGGTATTCTATGGTCGGTGACTCTGGACAATAGATACGAAAGCAATTGAATATATGTCGAAAAGTATGCAGTAAAATATAATTTATATTCAAAAATTTACAACAAATTTAATTGATTAAATTAAAAGTATTAATTAATTAATTTATATAAATTGTACTATAAGCTTCAACCGAACAAGTCTAGATTAATTCCCTGTTGATGCTGATCAAAAATATACCCTTGAATGTACAAACTTGCTTATAAAAACACCTCTAAAAAGGGTTATGGTAAATAGAAGATCACTTTAAGTTCGACTTTAAAGCATCAACACACAAATACACACACTAATAAACGTTTTATTTTTAGTATCTAGTTTTTCATTTACTCTATTTACAGTCGGCGATTCCGATTCGCTGCTCTGTCAGCTAAAAATAGATTTTTTTTGCAACTAGTTGTTGTGTTTTTGTTGTTGATTGGCTTGGTTTTTGTTGTTGTTATTGTTGATGTTGTTGTTGATTTTTCTCCATATTTATTTATAGTTTCTAACCTTGGATGTCGGCGGAAAACATTGCGAAAAGGCAATAAGAACGAGGAGAGGAGGTAAAGGTGGAGAAAAAGAGCTTTACATTGTATTGTTGTTATTTGTTGGCTTTCGGCGAGATGTTCTAAGCGTCTAATTAGCAGAAAACCTAGTCAATTGTCGACGACTGTGCCTCGCCTTCAAAACACAGTGGGGGTTAAAATGGAAGTACCATAAGCTTAAGAACATAGGGTATTCTGTAGTCCATCTTTACCTTTTGCTAGGGTAGAGCTTGACCTACATTTTTAGAAGAGCTTTCTTAGCATTAAATATTTACCACAATAAATAAGATCAAATATTTGCTGCTTTAAATATAAATAAAAGCGGTGCGTTTCCATTTTGCAAAGGCACACGAATTTATTTTTAGGTGGTCTGAAATTCTGAATCTTTGTATCAATCATTTCGCACAGTTTCTTTTATCAGTCACCTTAAAGCTAATTTTATCACAACATTCGAGAGAATTAAGAGAAAACACTATGCGACTCAATGCCTGATATCGAGAAATAATAAAGGTATATGTAAATTGTATGGTATTAAACCGAAATGCAGAAATGCAAATAATAAAATTCGATCACAACATGTAGAGGCACATGGGGGGTAATCACATGACAGCCAACCGGCGACTCGGGATCTGCTAATAACCCCAAACGAATCGAAAACAACAAACCATTAACCAATATACTCCCACACACATCAATCAATTTGCAAGGGGTTATGTGTTACTTTTTACCGGCATATATATATACTCATATATATATTGAGTAACTTGATCCCAAGTGTTAAATTTCATAAAATTTAAGCATTGCCTTTCAATTAGATTCACATATTATTTAAATTAACTTGGGAAGTGTGAAGAAACCTAATTTATTTAATTGTATATTTAAATAATTCTAATATATTAAAATTACAAATCATTTTGTTAATGTTAATGAAAACGATATATTATAAATTTATACAAATGTTACTAAGAATAGCTTTTTCAAAATGTTTACGAGTTGAAAAACCAGTTTTAAAATTTAAATAAACAAAAATGTACTTATATCTACTTTAAAGCTCCATAGATCTTTCTAGTTTTTTATAAATTGGTAGTTTGTCTGTAAAGTTACCTAAATCATAGTTATTTTTTTTACAAATTTAAATTTAAATTTATTAATAATATATTATAATGTGTGCATAGCTTGGCATTCTACTGAACTTGTATAAATAAATGCACATAAGCTACCAACATAATGCGTTTACACGGTTTTGGTGGGGTTTCCTTTTCTGTCTTCCAAACTTTTGACTGCAATGGGGACGAGGAGGTGGGGGATAGTGCAACAACAACAACAGCAACAGCAACACAGCATAACGGAATGCCAAACCCACCATTACCAAACTCACCAGCTCAAAAGAGAGCAGAGAGAGAGAGAGAGAGACGTTTTTATTAGAATTGCTTCAAAGCCAGTACTCTTTCGATGTGCTTTGCTCTCTTTTCAAAAGTTCATGCGTTGCATATGGCGAATTTCTTTAAACGTGATATGATTGATAATAACAAGTAAGCTGAGTTTATGGGAATAAATGAAATTAAAAATAAAAAGGTATCTCTGAACCTAATTTCAGTTTAATTTAATATTCCCTAGTTATTGCCACATGAAATCTATGTTTACATGAATTAATAGCTTGCATTAGACTCCGCATAAACACATTGCCTCTCGCGCGCTCTCTCGCTCTCTTTGCCACTCTCGTTATATGGCCATATAAAAGCTGCACGCTCGCAGCAAATGGGCATAAAGAGACGAGCGAATAACACGAAAACAGCAAAGCAGCGAATATAATACGAAAAAGCCAGGGCAATAACTCGTATTCTTACATCGAAACAAAAACAGTGATATAAACTAAAACTGGAACGAAACCGTGGCAAAGAGTTGCGTTCAGTTGTATCGAGAGTTGAGTAAATAATAAACACACACAGAGCGAGCGAGTGGTGGGAAGTGAGAGGAAAGGACTCGAAGAAAAAGAAGAAGAAAAAAAAAAAAAACGCGCGGAAAAGTGCATTTCGATTTCCCATTTATTTTACGTTTTTTTCCCCCCCTCTCGAGTGAAAGTTGGGCGGTCGCCTTCATTATATACCCACAATCAGGCAGCAACAAACACACCCACGAACCACGAACCAACGCACACAGACTGATGAACCGTTCCAACAGCTTTGTCAGCTCGCTCAAGTGGTGGCCACTGCAGCAGGGTCACAACAACCACAACCAACCGGCGGCGCAACCTGCCGGCAGCGGGGGCTACTCGCAGTCCGCGCCCAGCTCCCCCACCTCCAATTGGCCGCCGCCGCTGCAGCAACAGCAGCTCCATCGCCTGCACCCATTGGCACCGCATACACAAAAGCCCGGCGTCGTCGGCGCCACATTCGGCAGCAGCGTTGCCGTACAAAAGCTACGCGAATCGAAGTGGTTCAAGCCGGCAGAGCAGCGCATCTTTTGCGCCGTTGTCGAATGCGGTTTTATTGTGGAAATACGCAGCAGCTCTGCCGCCGAAGCGGCGGCAGCGGCAGCAGCAGCTGCTGCAATGGCCGGCGGTGCCTCCGCCAACGGTGACACCTCCTCCGTCGATGGCGTGGACACCCTGGAGCTCGATTGCCCGCCACATCCGCCAGCGCCGCTGCTGGTCATAACGCGCAACGGAAGCAGCTTCCTTGAGACGCAGGATGAGAACGAGACACCAGTGGCCTCCTGGTATGGCATCGTTCTCTGCAAATTGGCCAAAGGTGAGTGCTGCAGGAGAAGTTTTGGAGGTACAAAAACCCACTCCAGATGAGGGAAGGTTAAGCAGTGGGAAATATAATAGGAAAGATCTTAAAATTGTATAAAATTGTGCAATTCTGGTGGATTTATGTAAATAGAATCAACAGTCGAATCGATTTAGACAAGTTACTATGGGGTATCATAGTACTTTGTTGGATTTATATCTCAAGAAATTAATTCTGGTGGATTTATGTTGTTAGCTTCAACAGGCGAGTCGATCTAGACTAGTTACTATAGGATACCATGAGATCTGTGGGATTCATATCTCAAGAAATAAATTTCAGGAAGATTCCAGTTTAAGGAGTCTTTCTTTTAAGGCTTTTTTCAGGATTTATACATTATACATTATACATTATACAATATAAAATTTTAGTTAATTATAAGCTTAATGGTTACGATCAGGTTATTCTTTAAGAACCAACATTATTGTTGAAATTAAAGGATTTCATTTTATTTGTTTTTCAAGTAAATACCCATTTCCTTTATAAAGATAATTCCTAAATTGCTTATTATCATATATATTTTTCTTAAACAAGTTTATTGTGAAATACTTAATAAGTACTTCAAACTTATTAATGAATTAGTTTCAATTTTTTTCCTCCATTGACTTGTTTAATCTTTGTTCTTATTATCTATGGTAGTTATAGCTATAATTACTATATAAAAGAACTGGAAATGTAGGGCAATCTATGATTAGAGGAAAAGCTCTTGCACTAAGTTTTTTTTTTAGTTTTCATTCATTTTTAGAGTTTTATTCTTATCATTCCAACAGTCTTTCGCGTATACTTTGCTCTCAAAACCCTATTAATGAGGTCTTATTAAACAAATAAGTAACTTTCGAGATCCAGATGCTGGAAATTCACCGGAGAATTTCACCAATAGCTTTAAAGTTGATGATTAATCACAACTCCTAGACGTCAGAGGGGCAATTAAACTAATCTCTTTTTGGCAAAACGAGTGGAATTCTAAAATGTCATTCAATAAACAAACAACCCAACTGGGTGTGTGTGTGTAAATTATATATATAAATATAATATATGTGTACACAAGGGCAGTGCTTTTATCTTATCAAAAATCCAACAAGAACTACAACAACAACAACGGGAACAATCAACTAACTTATCAAGTGCCCTGCTGGCAGCGCAGTCGAAAACCTGCTAAAGCCATTCAGATACAATGCCGCCCCAAAAAGTAGCTACAAAATTCCATAAATTGTGCACACAATGCATTAAAAATTTATTTGTGCTTCCAACATCCACTTAAAATTTGTTTACATAGAGCAGCAGTAAAAATATTAGCATTAATTATAGCTTTACTCAAAAATGAAACTACTTTGTATATCGGATATATACATATGTATATAGTAAATTATATTCTTCAACTTTAAGTTATATTTTTGACACTGCAATTTTTTGTTTTTATTATTTTATCCTAATATTTTATAGTAGTATTTTGATCAAAAATAAATGATGCACTTTTGCTGCTAATATTTTTGCTTTAATTGTATATAAGATGAGTAGAACAGTGAATGCAGTCAACACACTGACATCATAGAATTGCATTTGTGTAATTATGAAATTAAACAAGTGGTTAAATGAGAGAAAAATCTATAAATAACTAAAATTTGGAGCATATTTTCTGAAGTATAGATTTTTAATTGTACAAAAAATGGGAAGGTATTTTTTATATAAAATATAATACCCTGCAAGGTTATAAAAGTAGGGAATAGAAGTACTCCCTACTCTTAATCGAAAGCAAAACTTTCATGAAACCCTTTCGTTTACAAATAAGAATATCGGTACAGTACAGTACAATATGGTACAGTGAAAACGGACTAAGGGCGACATAATACATCAGTTAGATAGCTAAAACTTGGTTGGGTGGGTTGGGTGATAGGTAAATAAGAGACTACTTTAAGACCCGGTTGGCTCTCTGCCGGGTTTTCAGTGCATTGCATATACATATGTACACTCTCATCGAGTGTGCCAGTTGCATGTTTTGCATACTCACCACGCCCACATAGTTGTTGCATTTACCTATGCTGGCCAATAAACCCACCTTAAATGGGAGAGTATGAATATGCACCACAGCAGCGGGCGTGAAAATAGAACCGCAGAGAGGCTTCCTTAAGCTTTTATTAAATTTATAGGGCAAGCTAACCTTAATTAACTAGTATATATTAAAAACAATGAAATTAGGAATTTATTTATCCATCAAATATCATTTCCACATTGATTTATTACCTAAATATTTAAAAATATGTATCCAGGGACACATATACTTGATGTGGCCAGAAGATAAAAACCTTTTGAGTCCATTAATGAGTACCGTGATGTAGTGCTATTATGATATCAATCCGATTCATGTGTAGAAATTAGCGTATGTGTGTAAATATCTATGATAATGGAAATGGTTGAAGCTTTTCAGCACAGAAAGAAATTACTTAAAAGACTAAAACCCATCTCTACATAAAAACTAAGCAAATTAAAATGTGCTAATCTTAAGAGACTCTTCTACCCTAAACCTTTATTTTGAGTTATTTTCTTTACACAAACATTTAAAACACGACGCATTTTGTGCAACTTTGTAGGTAGAAGAATGTATAAATTTGTTTTCCAATAGATCGGTACAAATTATCATAATTTTGTATGTGTGGTCACGACTTAGGAGGATTGCGCGAAAGTCTGGGCAATCGATAAAACGCTGCATTCCGGCATTCCGGTTAATCGCTTTCCACGCCACTTGGTCACCAGTTAGTCACTGATTGTTGTCCTATGGTAAATTACCAGCACTTGTCCGATTACCCGGAGTAACCACCCAACCAATCCGCACCCAAACCCGCATCATGGCAGGGGAGAAATCGCAATGCGCAATGCGCCTGCGTTCTTATGAAACAGATTTCTAGAATGGTCCCGTGTCACGTAGGACAATTTCCCCCATTGCCCTCCTTTACCTCCTTGTCCCATGAAAGGTGACGTTTACTATCAATAGTGATTGATTATCTCGCAATAAATAGGAGGCATTACAGAAAGGCATATGTAGTACGGCTATAAACCATGTACACATTATGTATGAAGTGCTGGTAATATCACAGATATGGATGTATATTGAGAGGATAAGGGAGATATAATATATCGATGAGTTTATCGCTTTCAATATCATATCGAAAATGGAGTATCTAAGGTTTATTGCAATTTTCTAAGTACATTTTTGTTTCGATATAAATATCGGTTTATTTATTTACAGTTTAAATAAAGCTTAGTCTTTTTGCATACATCCTACAGTTTAAATATCGATTTATATATCACATTTCTGCTCAAAAATCGATGTATTATCGATATATCAAAATTTTCTGCTTCTAAATTTGCACAATGCTTGAGTCACTTGTATTTATACAACTTTATAATGGCTTTATTAGGGCACTCAATTGATTGCAATTTAATAATAACAATGGTGAATAATTTTCTATAATTAATAGGTACCTCTAATGGAAATATATACGACACATAACCAATTATAATTTTTTTAATTTAAACTCAGGGCAAATTAAATCTAAAATTACTACCCAATTTCCTTTAAAAGTTCTTTCTAGATTCTCGTAGCTTTTAATATCTATATTTCATATCGGAATGTTTTGTCGCTAAAATGATTTTAATTGCAGTTTGCTTGTAGAAATCATACGATCTTTAATGAAAAATCAAAACCAATTGAGATATATTATTAAGCGAATATTATATGCATATGGGGGTCAAACTGTCCATGCAGTTTTTGCTTCCGGCATTAAATTGCCTGAATTGAATTGATGTAATAGAGGTTAAATAATTGAAACCCGATTTATAATTGCAGACAATAAACCCAAGCCCGAAACTATTGAGATATTTTCTGTGAAAATACGTGAGAATGGGACATATAAATTAATTAAAATGTCACTTGCTGATATATGGAGCCACGGCTGGGAATTGCGTATTAATAATTTCGCCGATAAGGAGAAAGTCCCCCACAACGAAAAGGATATACGCAATCAGGTATGATATATAATCAATATATTTAATACATAATATTTAAAGTTTCTCTTTTCAAATTTAGACACGATATTGAAGTTGAATGATTAAGCTTAAGCATTTCTGAAATTCATATTCATAGGTATCGGTGGCTCGAAAGGCCAAACAGAGTTTGTGGAACAACAACAAGCACTTCGTTTACTGGTGTCGATACGGAAGTCGTCAGCAGGATCTGCGGAAGCGACAGGTAACAACGAGTGCCAATCATGTGCTACTGCACCTGATCAATTAATAGGCGGTGGAGCCCAGACAGCCAGCAAAAAAATATATAGAGATATATCGCCGATTCGGAGACCAACATAATTGCCAATCCACCTATCCTTTCCTACCTTTTCCCACCTACTCCTGCTCCTGCACCACCAATCCAACCATTAACATACATATATTGATTGTTATAGTTGCAGCATCCTAAAAAAAACGATGTAAAAACATAAAACACACACACACTACACCAAAAACAAAGTTTCAGACCAAAAAGCATGCACAAAATTTTGTTTCAGAGGTTTTTAAAAGAAAACAAATCATTGCCATTATTTCTGTATGGCTTTATTTATAACCATCATTCAAATCCACTGAATATTATTCATGCTTTCTCCTTTGTTCTGGCTTTTTTGCTCATTAAAAAAAAAAAGATAAACTCCATAATTGTATAAAAAAAGGATAAGGAAATGTATGTATGTAGATGTTAACTCTAAATGGAAGTTCCATCATAAAATTAACCGAATATGCATCCTCCTTGCAGCACCCCCTTATATTCATCACATTTCGTGAGTTCCTTAAGGTCATTATCTATTCTATATGGTACCGAATGCATTACATTTTGTATATATTATATATATTTATGAGAGTTTTGCAGTTATATTTGAATAGACTGTCGGCAGGCTTGTTTCATATTTCCAGTAATTTTTTGGAATAGAAATCATTGGGTTTTCTATTTCATTTGATCTTTCTTAAACTTCATATGCAATATAATTAATTTTTTTTTTAATACAAATCATAAAAGATATCGAAAAATTCAAGTTATATCTGAAATGGAAAAGTAAAACAGGTCTGTCTTCGATCCAGCTAGGGATGACTGAGAATTTTGATATATCGAACTATAAAGCAAATGTCGATATATAAATCGATATTTTCACATTACGATATATATATATGAGCGATAAATCGATATTCCGTTTAGTATATCGGACCAATATAATCGGTAAACAAGACAAATAAATTCAATAACATATTTCTCATACATTTCGATAAAATCAATACTAAAACAACTTAAAATCGATATTTTTCGATTTTTAAAATTTCGATAAATCAAAATGTTTGATATGATATTGATCATCCCTAGCAAAAGCTAATAATTACTCGCTTTTATGAGGTTTTCCAGTTGAATTTTCAACTTTGCTATACCAAATTTCCATATTTCTCACATTTTTTGCTTCGCGATAATTAAGATGATAATTATTATTAGTTGTACTTGTACTTATTCCGGCCAGCGTTTCGCTTTTTTGTAATATTGCAACCTTAAGAGACGTACCCATGTGTCTTACACGGTGAATCTATCTTGCAGATGTCGGAGTGCGTGAAGTGGGGCAGCGTTGGCATGAATGCGGGCATGTTGTTGGTGCTCAATAGCAATAATAAACCCAAAAGAACGCAATTGGCACACGCAAAATAATAATACATATAATAATAATAATAATAACTATATGAAAACTTGATTATTGAAACAAATTCTGTACTGCTGCTGCTGCTGCCACAGACCGATTTTACACAGAAGAGTATTAAAAGCGTAAATTCAGTTGATAAGATAATTTATGGATTAAGAACGAAGCCAAAAGGGTTGTGTGTGTGGAAAACAAAAAAAGAAAACGCCCAAAAAAACATCCAAATATATACATACATACATACTATGCAAAAAAAAGTAATCATAATAATTATAAACCCAACGAAAGATTCTTATTTATATACACTTTTGTTTTGGCAGTATTAAAAATAAATTTAAATAAATATTAAATGAAGCAAAAAAGTAGAGCAAAGCTAAAGATAATTATGGCCTGCAAATACACAGTCACTGACATACACTCATATACAGTCCCGCCCATGATTGTAGAGCTGCTGCAACTCAAGCTGCAATATATGTATTAAATACTTTTGTATTTATAATTGTGTATCATATATATACTATATATTATATATATATGACACAGAATGAGAGAAAGAGAGACACACACACACACACACTGTGAGAAATTCGAAAAGACTTATATAAAATATTTGTTTTCTTTTTTTTTTTTGTCAAATCATTTTTTGTTGACCTTTAATGGAATAATATACATTATAAAAATATATACATGTATTTATATACATTGTGAGTGGCAAAGCAAACACACATGCAAAGCAATTTTTAAGTTGTTCTTTTTATTATTGTTATTTAAGCATATTTAGGAGCGAAATCAATTAAGAACTCTTATGTAGCAAGCCTATTCTTAAGCATTGTAGTAACAATCAAACATTCGAAATGTTTCGTTGTGTAATTAACTCTATACAATATGTACTATCTATATGCGATAACTGAACCACAGGACGACGACGACTCGGACGCAGTTTTTTTTAAAATGCAGTGACAACAATTTACAAAACAAAGCAGAAAAAACACAACAATTTACAGCAGTTTTTAAGCTATACAACTACATAAATATACTATATATTTTTATTTTTATCAAAAAAAAAAAAATAATAAATAACGTAAACTTTCTGCGGTATTGAAATTATTTAGAAGGAATGACCATCAAACTGTTTGAAACAAAATTTAAATTTCATTAAGCATTCAGATCCATTACGATAGTCAAAGAGATAATACTATTTAAATAGTTGGGTAATGTAACAACTTTTTCAGTAATAAAATTATCGCAGTTTAAGTAATCAGAATGGGCATTATCACATTTTAAGTTATTTGTATACGGTGACAATCTCTGGCAAACTTAGCCAGGAGTTTGCATTCCCAAAGTTTTTGATTACCTTAAAAAAATTGTGTTTTTTAGAAATCCCTCATGTTGCTAAAGTAAATTCGCAACAATCGCTAGTTTATCGTGTACATAACTTTAAAAACCACATTTTAAAGGTATTTTATTATTGGAAAACAGTGATGGATTTGAAATAAACAATCCATAGATACCCTGACTTACGTCTTTAATGTTTTTCTTACTGATTACTTATTTTTAAGTTTAAGTTTTTGTAAAATGTATAAAATATTTATATGTATCTGCCTCTATATATTTGTATATATATAGATATATACATTTGGGCAATGTGAATGAAATTTGAATATGTAAAACGTTTGTAAAATTCTTTATATTGATATTAAATATTAAATGTTTAACAAGCGAAAATCAAGCAAAATGTGTTTTAAATAATGGAAATAATAATAGTTCTATGAAAATCGAAATACTAAATGTAGAGGATCAATAAGTATCTTTCAACAGTAATTAACTATGATCAGTAAGTATCTATGACCAGCAAGTATTAATGAACATTAAGTAACTATGATCAATAGATAACTATGATTAGTAAGTATCAATGAACATTGAGTATCTATGATCAGTAAATAACTATGATCAGTAATTAACTATGAGCAATAAGTAACTCTGAACAGTAAGTAACTACGATCAGTAAGTATCTATGATCAGTAGTTAACTATGATCAGTAAGTATCTATGACCAGTAAGTAACTATGATCAGTAATTAACTATGACCAGTAAGTATCTATGATCAGTTACCAACTTTGAACACTGATAAACAATGACTTGCAACTTTTGTAACACAACACATATCTGATACTTGGCTGGAAGAAGTCACTTCGTTCCGGGGATGTTTGAACCAGTTGGGAATCATATGCCACATGTGTGAAATTTGTTTTAGAACAAATTTAAGCTATTTCAGTGAAACTATGAAGTTATTCTATATAATTTTACTAGCAAATAAGTCGGAGCATGGCAAATCGGTGGACTATATATATACATATATATAAGCTGCCATAGGAACGATCGGGCGATTTTAGGAAAAGAAAATTATTACTTTTCCAGTTTTCAAAACAGATTTTCATCAAATTTGATATATATTTATATATTAATGTAGAATTTTGTGTGAAATTTAATGAAAATCGGACTACTATATCATATATACGCCATACAAGAGATAACTTATATTTAAATGATTTTAAAACGTAAAAATGTGAAAAAAAACTGAATTCAAAGAAAAACTCTATAACATTTTAAATGACAAGCATTGTATGACATTTTAAAATATTTAAATAATTTTTTAAAAGAAGCAATTGTTAATTCTGGGACGAAAAAATTATAAGCCCACAAAGAAACATGAGGTAAAAAGTAGAAATCTTCAAACAAACTCACCTCACGCAGCAATCCGAAGAGCACATCCGTGGACAAAGACCGCTCGTGGGCCTCGTCCATTATAATAGCGGAGTAGCTGTCCAAGTCCGGGTCCCGGAGACTCTCCCTCAACAGGATACCATCCGTCATATACTTGATGACTGTGCGTTCCGAGGTGCAGTCCTCAAATCGAATGGCATAGCCCACATCCTCACCTGGTAAAAACAGAAAACAAGTTAACAATTTACAAAGAAATGATTCCTTGAAAATTGGGGCTTACCCAGCTGCGTGTCCATCTCATCGGAGACGCGCTTGGCCACCGACATAGCTGCCACACGACGTGGCTGCGTGCACCCGATCATTCCTCGCTGACTGTAGCCATCTTCGTGCAGATACTGGGTTAGCTGAGTGGTCTTGCCGCTGCCTGTCTCTCCCACAATAATGATGACCGAGTTCTCACGGATCACATTGAGCAGTTCCTGCCGTGAGGCGAACACAGGTAGAAAGCGTCTCTGTTCTGAAATCGATTTCTTGCGCGAAAAGTCGCTCTTGCCACCCGTATCCTGGTCACGCATGTGATCGGCAAACTTCTGATCCTTGCGATAGTCGGCCGTATCGTTGCTCTTATCGAACTTTGCATCCTCCTCGTCCTGCGTCTTTTGGACGCCCATAATGTTGCCCAGTTTGGTGCCGCTCAGCTCCCAGTGCTTCTTTTGCGCTTTCCGGCGCTCCTTTTGCTCCCGATAGGTGCGAACCAGGGCGCTGCCCTTGCGCGCCAACAGTGCCATGTCGGAGGTGGGATCCTTGACGGGCACCACGGGCTCCGGTTGCTTGGTGAACACGATCCGGCCGTCGAGAAACGGTGGTATGATGTGATGCACCAGCAGGTGCACTCTCTCCAGCGCTTCCTCATCGAAGTCATCATTAACGCTGATCGAGGTGACAACGCCAGAGGTGAGCATGCGATTCCGTTCCCACAGCTCATTGTCCCGATTGTTTTGCCTCTGCTGGGCACTTATCCGCTTGGTTCGCTTCTGCTCCAGCTGCTCCTCACGCTTGCGGAAATACTCGGAGCTGGCGCCGGCAAATGGATTGTTTTCATCATCATAGCCCTCGTCAATGTTGTACCATTCACGATCCAGCCGCCGTTGCTCCTCCTCCCAAAGGTCACGTGACTCTGCATCCTCGCCCCAGGGCGTGGCTCCAGTACGTTTCCGGTCGTGAGCCCAATTGTTATAGCGATGGGCTGGCGTCGGCCGAGCCGTGTCATCTGCATGTCGACTCTGGTGCCGCCGGCTGCTGCTACTGCTGTTGCTCCTCACAGACCAATCGCCGGAGCTGTTGCCATGTCGTCGTGGCGTGGGCATATCCCAATCCGATTTGCGCTGGCTAACCTCGCCATCGTCGTCATCCAAGAGCTGTTCGATACGCCGCCGCTGCTGCTGCTGCCGCCCGGAGTGCTCGGTTCCCGCGGTGTGTGTACACTGCGGACGGAGACGGAGCGATCTCGATTACGGTCTCGATCCCGGTCTCGGTCTCGGTCCCTGTCGCGTTCTCTGTCTCTGTGCCGGCGTCTATCCCGATCTCGGTCCCGGTCCCTGTCCCGCCGTCTGTCGCTCTCTTTGCCCTCGTAGGAGGAGGAGCTGGTATTCCGCCCGCGCTGCTTGTCCCGTTGAATGTGCTCCCGCAGGCGCTCACGGGCTTTCTCCGAAACACCGCCCGTGTGCGAAGGCGTTTCGTCTTTGTGCTCGCGCAGCTGTCCTCTTAGCTTTTCGAAGCTCTTGGTGTCCGGTTTCTTGAAGGCGAACTCTCTGGATCCACCACCTGTGCCTCCTCCAGCAGCGGCGTTAGGCGTGGAGTTGCCACCACCGGCGTCGTCAAACTCGTTATCCTGGAACGAGATAAGGCGTTCTGCCTGCTCCTTCTCGGTGCGCCGCTTGGCCGCAAGCTTATCCAGCCCCAGTAGGGACACTTGTGGCACTTTGGGGGAGCTCATCGTCTTGGAACCATCCTTGGGTTTTCGAATTACCAGGCCGCCGCGCATCTCTTGACCACTGGTGCCCTCCAGGCGGTGCACGCCCATCTCCTCGTCGTCGGACATGCTGTTGGTCAAGTGCGCTTGTCCTGGACGCCTTTTTCACCGTAATTTCTCCTAATTTTACCGCCGAGTCTGCAAAAACGATCATTCGCGTTGGCGTTGCTCCCGCTCAGCTGATCACCGCAGGGTTGCCACCCAACGGCGCTAGCAACAATCATCGGCTTTTGAACTAGTTCCGATTTCACGAAATTATCACTTATTTTTACTTTCACATCATAAACATTGTTAAATGGGTTATACAAAAACTAAAACAATAAAGGAAACCAATTTTGTAGAGGCAACATTTTTTTATATTCGCACTTTCCAAATGGTTCGATACCAATCAATTTCAAATTTTAACGTTCAAGTTATCGAATATTGAAACTATCGATGTTTTTCGCAACTCTACCTGTTGTTTTGATAAAATAAATACATATATCCATGCTATTCCAGCATAAACAAAGAATATATAGTATATTTAATTAAATTCTTGACATATTTGGTTTAATCCTTGCTTCCTAGTCCTGGTACCGTCTCTGTGATCCACTTCAGATATGGCAGATTGCCGTTTTGAATGGGCAAGGAGATGACTTCGGCCACGCTGTATGGATGATTCTCGCGGACGAACTTGCTCAACTCGTCCACACGTTCAGTGCGCGTCTTAATCATCATCAAATACTCGTTGTCCTCGTTGACTTTGCCCTCCCACAGGTAGATGGACTCAATCTGCGGCACAATATTAACACAGGCGGCCAGCCGGCGTTCGATAATGCTGTGGGCCAGCTTCTTGGCCGATTCCCGGTCTGGAGTGGTTATAAAGACCACAGAGTTACTCCCGGCTTGGTAGGACTCCGCTGCTGCTGCACCTCCTGCACCCGACGTCTTGTCGCTCATCTTCGAAGCTGATCTCTGGATATCAAAGATATGCTGGTTGCTCCTGCACAAACGACTCGATGTATTGGAGGGTAAAGACCTTGTGACAGAAGATGTGGATGCAAAAGCTATCGCGATGCACAGGTTGCTCGCAAATAACCAGCGATAAGGCAAGAATTTTACACAGCCAAGATTCTGCATTAGAGCTGTCAAAAATATATCGATATTTTTCAATTCAAATATGACTTTGTACTAGACTTGTGTTTTGGACAAACTGCTAAATCCTTCCTTAAAAAAAAACAAAAACTTGGTGGTGACAATAAGATAATTTAAAAGTCCAAGTGCATGTACATTTTTAGTTTTTGACTGTTTATCGATGTGTTATCGTGCCAAATGGTCATCACTATCCACCAAGGTAACAGCTGATTCAAAATAAACAAATGGAAGAATTTAATATCTTTGCAAAATACGACTGATTGGTTTCTCAGATTCTTGTGTTCTCTTGATCACGTCCGTGTTTGAGGGTTGAGCAGGTTGGTTGTGAATGTAAAGATTTGGTTTGACCGAGATGTTGGAAGATATCAGTCGTCCAATTGTTCGGGTGGATTTCTGGCATTCAGCAAGGGTCTGACGACGTCGGCTAACGCCTTCGGATGCACCTCCGCATTCAGCAGCTCTATACAAAGGTCCAGTTCCGCTGTTGAGAGACGCGTATTGAGGAGAAGTGATATCCCATACATTGCAGCATGTAGCGGCGATGTGGGAGCGACACACTGAAGATTTTGAGGGGTCTTTGGCGGTGCTTGGGACTTTGCATCCTTCTTTTTCCTCGGTTTAGTTAAATACGACATTGTTTTGTCGGTTTGAGCCTTCAGATTTCAGTTCCTGTGCCAGTGCATCGATGTTTAGTGCAATAAACCTGCAAATAGTTAAAATTAGACTGGCTCGCTTATTTTTTAGATAATTATTCACTTGCTTGATAATATTTGGCATTTGACAGGCATCTAAAACAAAAAGAATAAACAGCTGTTCCCTTTAAAAGGGATACGATAACATGTAATTGTATCGATAAGTTTCTTAACAAAATAAATATTTATATCGTGATAGCATATCGATAATATTTTTTAAATATATATATGTATTATTATTTGAATATATTAAAAATGTTTTATTATTATAGTATTATATTATCCATCAGAATTCAGAAGTTATTAATTATTTGAATATATTAAAAATGATTTATAATTATATTATATTATCCATCAGAATTCACAATTTATATTTTATGTGGTACTTCCACTTGTATCCTTTTGCGATTTTTAGCAGAACCCTCTTTTTTTATTTAAAAACTATATATACTTTATATTGATAAGTTAGTTAGGCACTGATTTACTTTGTAAATTTGGCTATTCTATGCATACTATATCTTTTGTCACACTGTTGGCCACCTTGGGATTGCTAAATACACGTCACTTATTAATGGTAATTCAATTTTCCAATATACAAATAAAGAAATATAATTAATTGGTTTTTTTTTTATAAAATCACCAAAGTTTAATCTCAATCATTTAACATTTATAACATGACACGGTTAACATTTTACTACAAACAGAAACAGAAGCGAGAAAGAGTGACGCCTCATATAGGATCTAAGTTTATGTACACTTATCACGGTACCAGGAATAATAGCTATTAGATGTATATATTTCCCACTATCTGGGCACATATACCCGACTGCTCTTGATGTCCACATTGAAGAGACGCGACCAATCAGCCAGCACATCGAACTGGAAGGCAAAAGAACTGTTAGAGAAACGTTTTAAAATGATATATGGCTAAGTTAGCTCACATCCCGATCCATGATGTTATCGCAGAAGCTTAGGTCAAGCAACTGAAGCTTGGGACAGTGAACCAGGATACTGCAAGGGTAATATAATATTAAAAGTTAAATTAGTTAGTTTTAACAAGATTTGTAGCAATTAAATCAAAGACTTGATAATAAATAAGATTCGGAAAGCGAGTACATATTAAATGCCAAATTAAATTCGACTTTTCACAAGTAAAAATGGTATGGCGTTCCGTAACTTATGCATTATATGATCTTTGGCTTAACTCTTACAGCAAACAAGGAACATTTCTAAGATTATATTGGAAACCCACTCGTAAACTCGTTCGTGCGTTATGTTTAGAATGCCCATTAGGTCCAGTTGCTCCAGACTCTTGCCCAGCGCGGCAATATGCATGAGATCCCGCTCGGTTGTACCGCGCACCGCCGATAAGAACAGCTTCTTCAGCTTGGGACAGTTGGATAACAACTGGAACAGTCCGTCTCCCAGCGATGCCTCCCGCAAGCTGTGCATATTTGTTTGGAAATGGGAAATCATTGGGAAATCATTTCTCCTTGACTAACAAAGTCAAGCTATCCAATCCACATACCACCAGCCCAGATCGAGCTCCTCCAACTGATGTAGACGTGCCAGCGAAAGGAGTCCGCGGGCGGATAGAAAGTGCGCCTTCCACAGGTCCAGAGAGATTAGCTGCGTGTTGTATGTGGCCAAATGGGCGGCCACATTGTCCATGTTCACAGATACACCACAAAATGCTATACAAAAAAATGTATAAATGAAAGTAACATTCAAAGAAATGAAAACCATATCAAAATAGTACCTTAGGTACTACAAAATATGAAAATATTTCGTTTTAAATCGTCTTGAATGTTGTTAACCTGTTGATCAATCTTACCCAGATTAAGGTGCTTCAGTTTCCGATTGCCCTCGAGCATACTGAGCAGCAATTCGGGCTCAAAGGCCGTTTGAAACAGATCGAGACGCTCTAAATTCTTTAGATTGGCCAGACAGGAGAAGTTTAGCAGCGGCGGATCAGTAGCACAATTGCGCAGGCTCAACTCTGATAGGAAAAATCATTATAATTGAGAGTAAGACAATCATACAATCGAACAATAAAAGAAACACACACCTATTAGATTATCACAGACTATGCCCACGGTTTCAATGCAGCTGGAATTGAGAAACTTGCACGAGTTGAGCCGCAGGTGGGTGAGATTATCGCCGCGTTGTGTCAGAAATCTAAAAGGGCAAATAAAAAAGTTAAAAACTTTAGAGAAAACAATTAAAAACTTCCACACTTACTTCTTAAATTCGGTGGGCGAGATGTTGCCCAGGCCGCCGCACCAGGAAAGATCCAGCTTCCGCAGCATGGTTGCCCTTAGGGCCAGCGTGCAGAGAAGCGTCGAGCTGGCCAGGTGCCAGTAGGGTTTCAAGCTAAGCTCAGCATAGAGCAAAGGATGGGAGGAGATGTCGTAAAAGATCCTGGACACTTGACCAACGCGAAACAGCGACTTGAGATCCAAGTAGCTAAGTATGCGAAGAAGGATCTCAAACGGCAGATCGGTCAGGCAGATCCGAGGCACCACCACCGCTTGCTGCTGCAGGTCTCCGCCTTCAACACGATTTTCCATCAGAAACTGGCTTAAATCGTTGTTGATAAACTCGTGCAGGTTGGTGGCACCATCCGGTCGACACTTTGGCTGGAACTTTAGAGAGCGTAGCTTGTAACTAATGGGTCCGCCGCCACTAATGGGCGAAGATCCCAATGGACTCTCCGGCTTTGAGGGCATTGGCACTGGCACCGGCATGGAGACAGGCTGTGGCTTTTGAAGCTGCTGATTCTGCAGACGCTGCTGTTTGCCCAACAGACTCTTTATCCTGGAGACAGTGCGGCCGCACAGCATGATGGCATCAATCTCCGTATAATAGTTAAGTCTGCTGTGATTGAAGTCAATCCGCAGCGTTCTAAAATTGATATAAGAAAGGGAGAATATAAGGAATAAGAAAATGTTAAAATATAAAAATAAGGACTTGGAAAAGAAATAGCTCTTAAAATTCCAAACTAGTTAATATTGCCTACAGAAAATCTTTTTAATTAAAAGTTCAAATCAAGCGATATTGGTGGAAGCCCAGATTAAATTCTAATGTTATAATTTTATTTCTTTTAAAGACCATCTCATTGCTTTTACTTAGTTAAATGCGTTTATATAAGTAAAATGGGGAGCTGAATAATATACATTTGCTTGCTTAAAAGATTAAACAATATAGAAAAGAAAGGGATAGTGAAAAGAGGGAAAGAGACCATTCAAGTAGTAAATTTAAATAGAAGAACTTAATAAATTTGTAGTTTTTGTGATATCCTTGATTTTTAAATTAGAGTAAATTAAAGCATGTTAAAAACTAATTTTGGAAGCCGAAACATTGAAACTGTAATTGAAAAGTGATCATAGTTCTTGTTTCCTTTCAATTTCAAGCTCAGAACTTATTTCCATTTATTCACCTAGCTTATTTCTTCGCTTAAATATAGATGTGTGTCCAAGCCTTACGTGGACGCAACGTCATCAAACTTGTTTGGCTTCGCTTTAATTTCACGCTCGAGCCTTTTTCCATATAGATCGATGGGTTTAAGTTAATTCTAGCACTAGCTTCCCATCGCAAGGACAACTTCTGGGCAGCATTACTCACTTTGTTATTACGGTGGTCTTGTTAAGTGGCGGCGCAAAGCGACGCGAGTCCGCTGGCGGTCGATCCATATCGTTGTCCGTCTCCGACTCCGCTTCCCACAGGCATGTCCAGTGCTTGGTCATGCCATAGGCCCAGATTCGTACCACCGCGCCTGGATTAAAGGTCTCATAGATGGCCACCTCCGTTGGCAGCACAAACTCCTCGAAATACACAACTGAAATGCAACAAATAATAGATTTTCGCAGCCACAAGTAAATCTATATACATACTCACCAATGTAGTCCTGGGTGGCTAGCTTTGGTAGATTTTGGGCCTGAATCTCCCGGGTGGCCGATGGAGCACGTTTCCACCAATCGCCATAGGTGCGCATGGTAAATGTCTCCGGATAGTCACCATAGGCGGGATATTTGGTCGGTCGACCAATCACATTGGCAGCCGTATAGGAGATGCTGTAATCGATGCCATACTGCGAGCTAAAATCCAGCACGCCCAGCACATACTGCTCCAGATAGTAACCCTGATCATCGGTCTGCTCCGTCTGTGCTTTATTGCCGCAGCCAAATTGACGCTGCCGCTGACGAAGCAGAGCCGTGAAGTCCACGAGGGCATCGGGTTCCGTGTCGCTGGACTCGCCATACGCTAGCAGAGACATGGCTAGCGCCAGCTGCCGTGGGCGGCGGCCGTAGGTCAGCCTCAGTGTATCGATTGTATGCAGGCAGCGCGTAAGCCCCAGCTGCGCTCGACCCCCTTCTGGCGCGTACCAGGGCAGGCAATGCGCATAACCGAGCCAGAGTCGCTGATGCCGCTTCTGGTGATCCCGTTTAAGGTGCCCGTGGCCTGTTGCTGCTCCGCTGCTGCTGCTGCTGCTGCTGGTGTTGTTGATGGGATTGCCAAGGGTAATGGTAATGGTGCTCCTTGTGGCTGGGCCTGTGTGTGTCCTGGCTCTGGGATTGCTTTGGCTAGCGTGGGTTTGGTCACGTTGCTGGGCCAGACCTTAATGGCTTCTAACACCATGAATATGATGGGGTCACAGTCGCAGATGTCGCTGTCGCAAATTGCTAATCTAATTAGCCTCGAGTCCAATTGTAGAGTCCTCTTTGTGGTTGAGTTTCCTTCGCGCCTCGTCTAGTCTCTTGTTTTTGGTGATGTCAGCTACTTGTGGTCCCACTCTGGGTCGTCTAATGTCAATCACTACGATTTGTCCCGCTGGTTATGAAGGCAAAACAAAACAAGTTAACAAAGTTTTGGCTCGGTAAAATGAAAACAACACTGCCAGGGCTAAAAACACATTCGATGAACATTGGGGCGATAACGATGACTGTGTACCAGGGCTGTAAAATATACTGCAGCAGAATGTAATATATGTACCATATTCCCACAGGGCAGTATTTATGGTATATTTGGAATTGGTATGCAAAAATCGATGAAACGGAATTAATTTTACTAATAGTACAAAAAAATACCGTTAAATACCATGAAATTCAAATATTCTACTATAAACAAGTGATAATTAAGTACGATAACACAACGTATACTAAAAATAGTAAAATAATCGATTAATAATTCCTTACACTTGTCACCACTACGCTTTCCAAGGAAGACCAACTATCGATAGTCCCATGCGATGATGATCGATATTTTAACCGCTCTCCTCTAAAACAGCTGAACCTGTGGATCCATGCTGCGACAATATTCGAAATTCAAGGCACTTGGTTTTTGTCTTCATTTTCACACCTGCCCAACCATGAAGACTCGTCAGAGGCTGGATTACAGCAATAAGCTCATTCTGGCGCCCATGGTGCGTGTGGGCACGTTGCCCATGCGGCTTTTGGCCCTGGAAATGGGTGCGGACATTGTTTACACGGAGGAGCTGGTCGACCTCAAGCTGATCAAGAGCATACGCAGGCTTAACCGTGAGTGGACGCTGATAGAAATTCCGACTGGGAACAGATGCATCTAACCAGGTTTCCCTTACAGCTGCCCTGGGTACGGTGGATTTTGTAGATCCCTCGGATGGGACGATTGTGTTTCGCACTTGTGCTGAAGAGACCTCGCGGCTTGTCCTGCAGATGGGCACCAGTGACGCCACGCGAGCCCTGGCCGTGGGCAAGCTACTGCAGCGTGACATCTCCGGTCTGGACATCAACATGGGCTGTCCCAAGGAGTTCTCCATCAAGGGCGGAATGGGTGCTGCTCTGCTCGCCGAACCGGATAAAGCAGCTCATATTCTACGCACACTGTGCTCTAATCTGGACATTCCCGTCACTTGCAAAATCCGCATCCTGCCGGATGTTGGGGCCACCATTGATCTGGTGCAGAAACTGGCCGCCACTGGCATTGCAGCCATTGGCATTCACGCGCGAACCCGGGACGAGCGACCGCAGCATCGGCCACATCCTGACGTCCTGCGAGCCGTAGCTCAGGCAGTGTCTATTCCCATTATTGCCAACGGCGGATCCCGTGACATGCACAAGTATGAGGACTTGCGTAACTTCCAAAGGGAATGTGGGGCAGCCAGCGTAATGGTAGCCCGTGCTGCGCAGATCAACGTGAGCATCTTCCGGCCAGAGGGTTTGCTGCCCATGGACGATGTCATTGACAAATATCTCCGCCTGTGCGTTGACTACGACAATGCGCCCCACAACACCAAGTACTGTGTGCAGAGCATTCTCCGGGAGCTGCAGGAGACGCCGCGTGGTAAGCGCTTCCTTCAATGCCAAACTCTGCAGCAGATCTGCGAAATCTGGCACCTGGGCGACTACTGTCGGCGCAAGCAGAAGGAACTGAAGACTCTTGGTAATTCGGGACGTGCGGAAGTTGAGCCGCCGGAGGCACAGGCCAAGCGTCGAAAATTGGAGGAGGCGGCCAACGCTATTACGGACGAATACACCAATGTTATTTGCAGAAATATGCCCTTCTTGCGCTCCACATATCCCAATTGTAAGTAGTCGAAGGGGACACAGATCTCTGGCATTATCTAACATTCTTCTTAACTTCTTTCACAGCCGATCACCTGCCAAAGACGCTGCTCTATGTCCATGCTGGCAGGGAGGGCAAGACGGCACCAGCCTACGAAACGCAGCAGTGCGACAAACTCTTCCGTGCCATTTGTACCTTCGATGGACAGCGCTATAGCAGCACATTTTGGGAAAAGAACAAGAAGCAGGCGGAGCAGGGAGCAGCTCTGGTGGCATTGCTCAGTCTCGGTCGGTTGGAGGAGGAGCCATTGCGCGAGAACGGAAGTCTTCTTAATTAATTGACGGCCTTAAAGTTTATGTTATGTTGTGTAATGTAAATCCTTTCTACCTTAGCGGACTTTTTGTTTTTTACGAAAGATAGTTAATAGTTGAATTCTTTAAATGAATGCTGTTTGTATATCCAAGCATTGGATAAATATGTATATGGAAAACCATTAAAGAAATCTTTACTGGACTTGGTTAAATCGACTCGGGAAGTAATGCTGATAAATATGCTAATTGATTTAAAAAATATGAGCTCTATTTATTTGATTGTTTTTCTATTCCAACATAAAAGTTGCTCCATATTTGTATGCTTCTACAGTCGCAGAACAAAGTGCACCTGTTGCAGAACAATGAATTTGGCTAAAAGGATTCTGTTGCTGTTTCCAAATATCACAATCAAGTATATTAATTCCGGCTGCTCTCCCAAGGAGCCACGTTATGCGTCTTCATCACTTGGCGTCCGTTGAAGCACTTTGTCCTCAGTATCCGAATTGTTGAACTATTTCCAATTAAGGGAAGGTTATAGAGCAGCCCACGCAGCCGTAGTGTCTTCTAGAAATAAGGGATAAGAGTTATAATAATATGTATTATGTGTTGATTGTGATTTGCTTACCTAGGATTGCCGGGAAACTTTCCAAACCGTCTCCTTTTCGGGGAATAAAAGGATTTTGTGTGTTTGTTCGTGTTTCAATTTGATAATGAACTAAATTTGTTAAGGGATTGAAATGTATACACAAAACCAGAGATTAATAACTATTGAAATGAGGTGTATATACTTGACAGGATTGGAGACCTTGCCTGCTTCTTGCACGAAGCTATAATACACTTGTATCGGTTGTAAAAACACCTAAATAAATATTTAAAAAATACAAAATAAATTATATATATTAGTATAATAGAATCACACTGTTGATGACATTATCTGTTGCTCTTTAGAACATCTAATCCGTCGTTGTTGCGAATCCCAAGAGTTGATGCTGTGTAAAACTCCATAAAATTCAAGAGAAACACAATGAACACGCACTTTTCTTTTCGGCAACACATCTTGTGTGCAATTGTCTCTTTTTGAATTATATTTATTAGCGGTTGTGTTTAATTTTCTAGTGTCGTCTTTGAGGGGGGAGCGCGTTTCAATGGTGAAATAGTGATTGGTGAGATGAGGTGTAAAAAGCAGCTGCTATTTGCTTAGTGGGGACGTTGTGGTCGTTGGTCTGGCGCTCCGCCATGATGGCCATGGCCTTGGGCATGACCATGGCCATGACCATGGCCATGTGGATGGGCATTATGTGGCGGTGGCATCATGGCTTGGTCATCACGAAAACCGCAGTTTGCGATATAGTTTAATAGGTATTCCTTGGTAATGGGATTTCTTATGCTCTCCACAACGGCTGTTAATCAGAGTTTTCCAATTAAAAAGAAGGGAATATATAATAATCAGGTTATATGCAACTTACCGCGGCATGTATTGTAGCTATTGGGATGCTTCTTATCTGTTCGCTCCCGCATAAACTCCCAGTTACCGAATTGATTCAAAGTACACTCCACAATCTTGTTGTCCAGGTCACGAATCTCCTTTGTCAGCTTTTGCATGCGGCCGAAAGGGGCGTCGTGACCGCCCACATACAGGAAGCCCACCTTCTTGGTGAGCAGGCTGTGAAAGCAAGGATCAATAGATTGAAAACCACAACACACATCTTCTTTATTACTCACCCCTCGCCACGCTCCGTTATGATCTTGAGGCGAAAGTCGACCGAGTTAAGCTCATGCGGCTTCCATTTAAACACATCGGAGCAAACGCCGGCCGTGTATGGCTGCTGGGATGGCTGAAAGATCAGGCCATCCGGCTCATGGGCCAGAGTGCGTGAGAACTTTTCGCCCAGCAGGCGGGCAGACATCCAAATATCCCAGAAATCCTTTCCACGCACACTGAACGCCTGCGTACGCTGATTGACGATGCCATGCTTCATGCCCAGGATTCGTGGAGCTGCAAGGCCAGATTAACAAACAAAATGATCTAGGGAATGTCTGTATATTCGCACCTATCACATCCTTCTTGATGTAGTCCAAGCGATTGGGAAAGAACGGCTCATCCCGCACGTCACGATGTGAGAGACGGACAATGTCATAAACGAGGTAGCGCGGCGTAACTGTCTCGCCGATCTTGTCCAGCACCATCTCCTAAACAGGCGAAAGGGAAAACAATTTAGATGCTACCAATGGCTACGATCAAGCATGTTATATTACTTACCCCATCGAGAAGTGTGCCGTCGAGGTGCTCAGTTAGGTTCTTGCCGTTCAAAAAGACAACGTTCTCCACTTGGAAACAGGAGTGATTGCGATCAAAGAAGTAGACCTCGTCACGGCCATCGATGAGCATCATGTAGCGTGTGCCATCCGCCTTCCATGACACCCGATAGGGTATCTCACTGAGGCGCTTAATATTGTTCCTATCCATTGACACGGGCTGGGAGCCCGGGAAACCGTTCTTGTTCCAATGGCACCAGTCCTGCACCTTGCGCTGCAGATCGGAAAGACGCGGTTGGTCGCTAACCTGACGTACGCCTGGCACTCCGGCCATGAATGTGGCATTCCTAACGACCATCTCGCGGCGTCGCTTCTTTCGCGGCTGTCCGTCCGATGTGGACGCATCACCGTCACCGTCGGCCTCTTCGCCTTCGACTTCTTCAGTCTCCTCCTCCACATCCTCTGCCTGCTGTGATGTGGATGAGTGACGCTTTCGACTCTCAACTGGTGCCGAGCCATCACCATTGCTATCATCGTAATCCAAACACCAGTTGGGTTGCTCTGGGGCCGCCGGTGCATCCTCTTCATCGTCATAGCGCTTGTATAGCTCATTAATATAGTCCTGCTTGTAGATGCCCGGTGGCCGAGCGGAGGCGAAGACAGACAGTGCCGCCTCCACGGAGCAGTCGAGACGTTCCACCATATAGGAGACAATCAGGAAGCCTGTACGATTGAAGCCGTGAGTGCAGTGAACGGCGATGACATCGAATGGACGCTCATTAATAAAGTTATCCACAATCTCGATAAAGCTGTGCGTTTGCTCTGGTGACGGCGTTTCGCCGTGTCCACGGCATTGCAGCTTAATGTATTGGACGCCGCGCTCCTCCACCGTGGAACGGTCATAAAAGCGCTTCGTGTTGGTCAGATCTACCCAAAGACCCAGTTTCAACTGGAAAACAAAGAGAGGAATCAGAAATCAGGAACTAGAGCTATCGAGGAGAACGGGTTAAGCTACCTTGAGTGTCTTGCAGTAGTCGAAGAGCATCTCCGGACGGAAGGTGCACTCGATGGGCATTTTGTCCTGGAAGCTCTGACTCAGTGGCGTCTTGAAGGCAAGGAAACGCTCAGCGATGATGCTGTCGCTCTTGCGCGGACAGTAAAGCCAGCGGTTCGGCAACGGTCCAGAGCCGCCGCGGTCCCTATCGCGATGGGATTGGGCCATGCTGCTGGTGCTGCTGCTTCTGCTTCTGCTGCCGCTGCTATTGCTGCTACTGCTGCGATGTTGCGATGACGACGGGAGCAGAACTCTGCTGCTCTACGGGCACTCGCGTCGCAGATGGGGACGGACGGGCAGAGACGCGGTTGCAGCGGGTACGCGCCGGCCTATCGAGGATTCGTCGCCCTGGAGATCGCGTTGTTGTGATTTCTTTTGGTTGTGTTGGCCCTGCTGGAAATTGAAGTAGGAAAATTTATCGATGTTATATCGATAGTACGATGTTGATGCTTTTCTACCGCATATATCGATTGAGATTTTTGTTGCAACCAGTGGGAATTTAAAAATGATGTATTAATAGCCCCATTCCATTGCTAAATTTTATAATGTATACAATGTAGGTGATTCCACTGCATTTTTATACTGTTAATATATAAATCTCCAAGGCGCATGCCATTTGTTTGTGTCATTTTTATTCCCTTGCAGGGTATTATAATTTTATTCAGAAGCTTGTAATGCTGTGAAGGAGTTATTTCCGACCCTATAAATCATATATATTCTTGATCAGCATCAACAGACGAGTCGATCTAGCATTCTTCAGCTGATAAAAAAAATGTACCAATTTTTTTAATTTTTATAAGTGGTTACATTGTTGAAAATATCAAACAATTGATAGAATTTTTATTTTGTTTTAAATTTAATATACAGTATGTAGGTTTAATAACTAAATAAAAACTAACATTGGACAGCTTTCCAATTTAAAATTAGTGCTTATTTAGCTTAGTTATGAGTTCTTAAAACTTTGATGTGTAGATAAAAATCTTCATATAAAAATATCAATAAATATAGATTCAAAGAATACAAATATAGAAAAAAATATCGCTAACAAAACTTAAAAAAACTCAGTTAAATATTTGGTCGATTTTCTTTTTCAAATGTATTATTTTTTATAGATTTACTTATAATTACAAACTGGTTTTTGTATACTTATATATATGCTGATCAGGAATATATATAGGATCAGAAACGACTCCTTCACTGCGTTCTAATTATTTAATAACAGTTTGCTTTTGAAACTATCCCAAGGATAAGAAAATATATTCGATAATAATTTAAAATTAAGTTAGGCTGTTAACTTTGAGTATACGTTTGTGGATATCATCAATACAAATTACTGGGTCACTTTAAATTATAATTAACTAATGAGATTTATGGTAATAAGGGAATTAATTAAAAAATACATGCATAGCTGAATCTGAATCAAGACCTGATACCTCCTATAGCATGTATGTATATATGTATATGATATAATAATATAATATGTATATGATATAATAATATAATATGTATATGATATAATAATATAATATGTAAATGATATAATTGTCATGATTAAGACTTACCGCAGTAAAGGACACGTCATTGTTTACTTCCTTCCAGGGTAGCCTTATAATCTTGGTGACTTTAATTATCCGGATGGTGGTTATTCGGATGTATTCCATTGGCCACGTCATATTTTTGAGGTCTAAGGGTAATCATCATATCACTGCCACTATCACTATCGATGTTAACGCTAGGTACCCCTAGGACAGACTGAGGTCGCGGCGAACGAAGTGCCTCTATTTATACTTCCCGCGGCAAGAGAACAGAGAAAGAGAGCGAGAGGGAAATACCTACCTCTGTAGCTGCCACAGAGAGAGATGGAGCGTAAGCGCCATCTCTACAGCGCTGCAACAGAAAGAGGCAGGCATACCAATAGATATTGTGAGTAAGAAAGAGAGCGAGAGTGGGGGAGGCAGAGGCTTATAGAGGCATACAGAAAGAGATGGCGAGAGTAAGCTATTCACAGCCATTACAATATTATGATATTATATGAGCCGAAACTAAATATATATTCTTTATATAGAGATGCACAGTGAGTTAGAGAGCGAGAGGTGGATAGAGAGGGACACAGCTGATCAAGAATATTTCTACTTAATAAAACTAAAATTATATTACAACAATTATTATACGACAATATTTTTAGAACTTTTCCCATCCAATATTCCGAAAACTTCCCAGAAAATTATCCATTTCCCGGAGACAAAGAGAAAGCAGAAGAAAACGGTTTTATAAATATATTTTCTATTTCTTATTAAATGTTGTTGTTTTAATCAAATGAATAGTTCATTTTAATTTATTTTAAATATTAGTTAAAGATGCAGTGTATTATAATCAAAGTCAAAAGCTTACAACTCTGTAAAGGAGTCATTTCCTTCCCTAAAAAGGATAAATAATCTTGGTCAGTATCAACAAACACTTTTCAAATTCATTCAAATGACTGTAGATCATATATGGCGAACGAATATCGCCTTTCTTAATTTTAATTACAATATGAGTATTCATTAAATCGATATTTTTATATGCTAATTTTTGGGATGTTTAAAAATTTTGCAAATATCATAGCTAAGCCAAAAATTAATTAATTTCAGTTTAGATAGCTTTTCTCTGTTAGTTTTTATAGCGTTTACAAATCTGCATACTTAATTATAAAATTTAAATAACTTAAAATTTTGGTCAAATTTTGTTACATGTTACACCATATCTTTTGTTAAAAAAATCGAAAAAAAATTTGAAAAATGTATTTACCTACCGGACATTGATGTATCGACTCAGCTGTTGATGCTGATCCAGAATATATATGGATTATAGGGTCGGAAATAATTCCATCATTAATTTGTGTTATTTTCTGCTGGAGATTGCTAAAAAGATTCGCCAGTTGATGCTGATCAAGAATATATATACTTATATGGTCGGAGATGACTCCTTCACTGCGTTGCAAACTTCTGACTGAAATTATAATATCCTACAAGGGTATAATAATGTATCAAGAGTTGGCACCAAAGTTAGGGTCAGTTTTAAATTTATCAAAAATGGTAAGAAATCAATATTCTACAACAATTTCTAAATAAGTTAGGCTGTTTACGTTAAAAATACACTTTGAATATCATCAATACAAATTGCTATATCACTTTAAATTATAATTAAGTAATGAGATTTATGGTAATAAGAGAATTAATTGAAAAATAAATGCATAGCTAGCAGAGCTGAATCTAGATTAAGGCCTGATACCTCCTATAAGATCTATATTTATATATATATATATGATATAATAATATAATATATATATGATTTAATAATATAATATGTAAAAGATATAATTGTCATGATTAAAACTTACCCCAGTAGAGGACACGTCATTGTTTACTGCCATCCTTCCTTAATTAGGGTAATTATTGTATCGAATATCGCTTCCTGTTTATTCAGTTGCATTCGAATGGCCACGTCATCCTTTTCAGGTCGAAGGCTAATCACTTTCACAATCACTATCACGATGTTAACACTAGGTACCCCTAGGACAGACTGAGGTCGCGGCGATCGAAGCGCCTCTATTTATACTTCCCGAGGCAAGAGAACAGAGAAAGAGAGCGAGAGGGAAAGAGCTACCTCTGTAGCTGCAACAGAGAGAGATAGAGCGTAAGCGCCACCTCTAGCGCTGCAGCAGAGGGAGGCAGGCATACCAATAGATATTGTGAGTAAGAAAGAGAGCGAGAGTGGGGGAGGCAGAGGCTTATAGAGGCATACAGAAAGAGATGGCGAGAGTAAGCTATTCACAGCCATTACAATATTATGATATTATATGAACCGAAACTAGCTTCCGCCAGCCAAAGTTTGTATACCATTGCAAATTGCAATTCGATCATTAAGAATTAATAGAATTTAAATTATATATATATTTATGTTAAAAAAACAACAAAGTAATGCCTTCTTTTATTACATTCACCGATACATATTAAATTTATAGTTTCATTACACTTAATAATCTTTCCTATGGCAGCTATGGGATATTGTTATTGGATCCGACCCGTGAAGAGAACGAGTATATTCAAGACGTACTACAAAGATTCATTCAAGTAGCTTCAAAACTGAGAGAATTGTTTGCGGAGAAACGGACAGACGGAAGGATCAAGAATATATATTCTTTATATGACCGGAAGTGAAATGTACCCTGCAAGAGTTTAATAATGAAGCAAAAGTTGGTTCAAAAACAATATATATAATTAATATATACATTTATATATATGTGTCTGTATATATCCTTAATACAAGTGGATGTTGCAAACTCCTGACTTAAATAATAATGCCCATATTTCATATATCATACATATTTCATATGCAAATATAAAACGCACCCAAGAATATGATTATATTTAGCAATGGAATTGCAGTAATAACACTTTCCTTCTTGTTAGTTGTACACACAAATATATACATCTATGTATATATATTTCCGAAGTTCATAGTTGCTCGGCACTGAACTGATTTCCACAGCAAGTAAACAATAATCCCAGTGCTTTAGCGGAAATTCCGGGAAATTTAGGGGGTTGCCCACCACATGTAAGCTATTAAAATGAAATAACAATAACCAATTATCGAGCACATTGTGCCCCAAAATGATCCACGGATATCCGTGTCTATAAGCAAGCACACAGATATATATATATATATATATATATATATATATATATATATATATATATATGGGATGGAATGGCGCTAATTGTTAAATAAAGCCAAAAATTAAGCAATGGAAATTCATATACCTGAAAAACATTTGGAAAATTACCTGACAATAATAATATAATACATTTTCAAGGAGGTAAGGTGATTCCTTTATTACCTCTATCAATTAAATTTATTTTTAATTTTTTGTGAACCCTTTCAAGGGGGTTTTTCCTGTCATTTTCATAACCAACTTGCTCGAATTTTTTTTTAAATATCTGCAATCCAAGCAAGATCGAATCACTATATCTTTTAGCTGTCATTGTAGTTCTCTTGAACGTATTATTTTTATTATTTATGGTTTTAGAATCACAAAATTACACAGATTTCTTTATAAAAATTTGATTTTAAAAAAAATATCAACTAAATTTAGAATGTGTTTGTTGCTTTTTGAAAATGAAATACGTTTTGCAAATGAGGGAAGATGTTTTCTTTTGGCCAGATGTAAAGATTGTGGAGAGTTTCCTTTCTTTGATTGCCGTCTATTTATAAAATCGGATTTCCTGTTTATAATTCTGTTTTTTTTTATAATACATTTATTTACGCCATACAAAAGCTATCCCTATCCTAGCTACGAATGTATATATAATATATACATAAATCTATGGCGCCGAACTGGTACGGATCACCTGCGGTAAGGCCAAGGTGTCCATTCGTTGCAGTTTCTGGCGCTTATCGGCGGGATGGGAACTGTGTCCTGGACTCCGGCCGGAACCTGGTCCCGGTCCCGGACCCGTGGAATCCGCACTATCGCTCTGGGCCTCCACCAGCTTCTTGTGGACAATGGACTGGCCAAAGAGCTTTTGCCGTATGCTTGGTCTCTTGGCTGGCAAGCGATGAACACCGATCTCCATAGTGCTGGGATGCTGTCGTTCTCGATCTCGAAACCGCTCCCGATCCCGATCCCGATCCCGCTCCCTCTCCCGCTCCTCCTCCCTCTCCCTCTCCCTTTCTCCTGGTCTTTCATCTCGCTCCCTGTGCCGATGGCGTCGCTGCTTCTTCCGGTGCTCTCCAATGGGTATCAGCTCATTGACATAATGGAGAGTACTGGAGGCACTGCCTGTGGAATCCGTGCCCGTGGTGGAGTGTCCTGTCTGCTGAGCTAACATCTTGGCCTGATGCCGGGCATGATGCTCCTCAATTTCGGTCTTATTTTTCAGGGTCACCTCCTCGATGTGACGTTCCTGTTTAAAATCAATAAAAAACTGTAAGTGAATTTGATCATTATATCGCTTGGATTTGTCCTACAAACATTGCCTGCCTTCGCTTGTCCCGCTTGGCCAGGATCACCACCCAGGCGCCATAGGAGAGCATAATGCCAGCAGGAACCAGGACACCGGCCAGAGAGTTCTCCGTCTTTCGAACGCAGGCATGATAAACGGCCAAAAAGAGAACTGCAGGTAAATAATTAATTAATTATTGGATTTATACATTAAGCGTAATTCATATTTTTATAAAATATTACATATATATTTAATATTTACCTAGAAAACATACAATAACAGCCACCAGACGTCCATTTGCTTTTCGCTCCTCCTGCAATCGGAATTAAATGTTTTTAAAGTTCACTCATTTCTATAAAATGCATTGGGCAAAAACAATTTCAAGGTGCCGATGTTTTTGTTTATTAAGTAAGAGTGTGTGTGATACCATCAAATGTATTTGTTTATAATTTTCACGTTCCATGCACACATTTATATAGAGGTGTATATATACACCAGTAAAAATACAATGGAATCGCATGGTGCAGATGGTACAGTGGATATCAGTAAGTGATTAAAACAATTATATCTTAATGATCAAGAAATAAAAAACTAGTGTTTCATAAAGTAATAAATAATAATAAATATTAATTATATATATTAAATTATAGTATGACTTAAGGGAAGGTTTCTAAAGAGAAGGGATTGTAAACTAATTACAGATTAATATAATATAAGAGGCATTTGTACGAATAAGTTGTAATTTTGTAAGGCAAAAATGTACCGTAAGTTATATTTTTTTATATTTAATATTTTAATTAAAATATATCAGAATTTGTGTCCAATAAAGTTGCATTTCTATAGTTACATTTGCTTGAATTTGTTGTAATTCTCAAAACAAAAATCTAGAACATTTTAAACGAAGTATTATTCCCAATTATCAAATAAGAAAATATACTTTTTTAAGTTTTTATTCTGGCTATATCTATCTTACATTAATTTCCTGTTGATTTTGATGTTCTTTTTTGCTTTAATTACATTCCATATGGACAATTGTATACATTTGAGTATGAGATTATTTTGCACTCAATAAAATTGCGTGAGTTTCAAGTACAAATGCCTTAAGAATGTGGAAAGGCTGTGTACATTTCCCTTATTTATATTTCCTTATGGATTTCACAAAGGTAAAGAAAAAACAGGTAACAAGATATTTAAAATTAGACTTTCGGAAACTTTTAAAAATGTATATTTTGTACAATAATATTAGGGAGTTTTTTGTGTAGAATAACTACATTATTCCCTGTTAAAGCTTTATTAATTTGGATATAAAGATAGATCATCAATTTTATATTAATTTTTCTTTTTATATCCATTATCTACTGTATTTTTGGGGTGTAAAGATCTTAAGTATATAAACTAAGAATTTTGGGATTTAATGTCTGACACATTTCGCTTTGGATAATGACGGCGGCGGGCGCCAAAAACGATGGCGTCGCACGAAAAACGGCTGCAAAAGTTCCAGCGTATATATAGTATGATCCGATCCGATTCGATCGGATATGTAATGACGTGTCTAGTCGATGGTGTTTTTCCAATGACTCATTACCAAAAGACTCGATTCTAATCGAGGAGGATATGACTCTCCTACAACACTTACTCGCGACTTGAGGTCAAGTATCTCGTTGAGGTTCTCCTGGATAATCTCCTCATCCGACATGGATGTGATGCTCTTCCTGCCCACCAGTGAGGTGAGTCCATCTGGTGATTTGGGCACTGCCGGATTAGTGGACACACTGGATCTGGCTCCATCTCGGGATATTTTTCTCACTGGCGCCGGAATTTTGGGTTCCCTTTGCCGGGCGGGTACAGAGGCTGTGGCTGCCATTTTGTAACTATTTGACGGCGGGTTTCAATAACGTTTAAATTCGATTTAGCCACAAAAAAAAAAAAGAAAAAAATCACAAAACTGGAAAATCGCAATCGGATATAGCGGAAAATTTTCGAATATAGATCGCGCCCGGCCAGCGATCAGGGAACGAGTGAGGAGCGAAATGGTTATTGTGAGGTGGTTTTTCTTTTCTCGTTGTTGCCTCCGATCCGATCATTTCTGCGGCCGAGCAAGCATTTGTTATTAAGTATTTCGAATCGAAAAACAACAAAAAAAGAAACAACAACCAACCGAAAAACAATACAATGGCTGGCTACTTGTTTATTTACACTGCAGTAAATATTTCTCCGACCTTATGTGTATGTATCATGATGCGAAAGTATATAGAGCGACAGAAATATGCATCAATTGTATACATATTTTTATGCAACATACTTTTTTTTTGCAGTTTTGGAGATTATAAAGAAAAACATAAAATATAGCTTTAAATTTTCTTACAGAAGAAATCAATCAGTTAATTTAAATTTGCTTTAAATATTTAATGAAGCAGAAATGCTTAGTATGCAGAAAATATAAATATGGTGATATAGTTTTGTCAATTTATATATTATTTATTATGTTTTTAAATATATATATTTTAAATATATATACTACAATATATGTTATACTATATTACATACCTATTTTTTTGGGTATAGCCTATATATTATGGAGTATAAAACAACAATTTGCCTCTTTCTTTCTTATATCTATTTACTCTTTTATATTGTATTGTATCTTATCTGCTTTCCTCCTAGGAAATAATCCCCATACCAATCGAAGCTTAATTCTTAACTTATTTCTTGGTAAAATGTATTAATTTTTCTTAAAATTTAAGTTACAGTTTCATAACTAATACCGTATCCTTATCTTTGCCCTAAAATTTAATTATTTAACCATTTCTTCAGGATCTCCAAGTTGCCTTACTTTATTGGCGATCAATATTGGTGACAACGTTAATGACCAGAAAAACAAAAAGAAATATATATACATATATATATTTACATATAAATAATTGAAAAAAATAAAAATGAAACCTGCTTTGGGCAAGGTGAGCAGGAGGCTCGCTTCAGTTCGATCGTTCGACTAACTTACTCATTGACTAACTAGTCTGAGTCTCGGCGAACCGGGGGAGTGTTATGATGCAATGGCAAGGCTACGGCGAATAAAAAATATTTTTGTTTATCGCAAAATGAATGCAAAAATGAAAATGCACAAACAGTGACTAAGCTGAATTTTGAAATAAATAGCTAGAAAGGCATTAGCTCTGAAGCTTTATCGACGGCAGGAGGTGGTTTTCGTGGTCTTTAATAGCATAATTTTAGGCGCAGCCTTAGGATTTTTCTTTTTCGTACAAAATACAAGATACAAGATATTATTCGGATGGTGAATTAAATATTTGATGTAATTATTGTTATGGTTGGAAAACAAATCATTAAACCAATGTGAAATTTGTCAACCACAATCAATTTGCTAAAAAAGATGAATATTTGAAGTTAATATGTGGCCAACAATTCAACAATTCTTTGCATACTTTTGTACACTTGTTTAATTGTTTTCAAATATACTCCAACTTTACAATCATAATAATTTATAGCTTCGATGTTAACTGCTTAAAATCGTATGTCTTCTTTAATATTTCCACAGAATCCTGGCAAAAGTTTACCACTTTATTGTTTTTAATCTTATTTAAAACTACGTTTGATTACTGATTTAGTTTGTTTCTGCCTCGTAATTGCTTTGATATCGTCAACAGGTGTGGTCGATCTCATGCATATTAACTTATACTAATTAGAATAGGATTACATCAATGGACTTGAATATCTCTGTCTATCCCGATATGCACTTGTGCATCTGGTGAATGCGAAACTTGTTTTAATGAGTGTTTAAGTACTCATATTTACTATCTCGTATCAAATGATATGTTTTCCAACGCGTGTATGCCGTTTTATAAAGAATCTTAAGTATTTATTTATATTTTATTCATATTTTCTTTATGCCCTAACATCTGGTTATAGAGTTCCATGACGTTTTCATATGATTTCCGTGAGAATATTTTGCTTTATCTTACAGATACATTTCCATCCAAAGACGTAGAAAATTAATGGCTTAAAGGCAATTATCAAGGGACAATAAATTAAGGCCCAAAAGCACGGAATCCCGTAATCACGCGTTGATTAACTTATTTACTTTATTTTGTTCGTTGTGTGTTTTTTTTGTTTAATTTTTTGTTTAATTTTTTTCGTTTTTGTTCGTGAGATCTGACGCTGACGGAAGTTTTTTTTATTTTCGAGTGGAATTTGACTGGAAAAATATTGGCCCGGGACTCGGAAGATTGAAGAAATATTTACTTGAAAATTGAGCAAGTAAATATTTTAAGTAGATTTTTATTGCCTTAAGAGAAACAATGGAATCTTTTTGGTGATATTTAATATGAGTTATATTTAATGTTACATTATAATTTACTATATATATTTCACTGATTTTTATGTCTGTAAATAAGTATTTCCTAAAGAGAAACAATGGAATCTTTTAGGTGATACCAGTTATATTTAATGCTATGTGATAGTATACTATATATATTTTAGAGATTTTTAATATAATATCAGATATATTTAACGATATCTGATATTATACCATATATATTTAAGAGATTTTTATGCCAGTAAATTAGTAATTCCCTAAGGGAACCAATGGAATCTTTTAGGTGATAATTAATATCAGTTATATTTAATGATATATGATAGTATGCTATATATTATATACACTATATATTACAGATTGTTTAGGCTTATAGATATATTTTTGTAATCTGTGAACTATGGATAGTACCAAAGAGTATCTATTATTTCCAATATTAAGGTTATTATAATGATTGATATTAGCTTTGCTGGTATTAACGATTGCAGGCTATAGATTTAAATCTGGATGGTGGATCATGGATCAGCTCCCGATAACTTGATATAGGTATACTATTAATGGTTTCGGTTCGGTTGGCGGTTTCAATTTCTAAGACTAAGACGTTATAGACAACTTTGGCGCATTTAAATGAATCGGTGCGATGCGACAGCCAGTGGCTGTTGTTGTTTATAACAAATTCGAACTGAAATCTGGTTCCCGAGTTCGTTATGAATATGATATCGGGGCGGTGGCGAGTATTCAAATCAGTCGTAGTTGTTGTTCCATCTTTCGCTTCGGCTCGACCCGAAGCCAAAGTCAGGCGCGTGCTATCCGTAGGGGATGTGTGGCAGTGTGTGTTACCGTCTATATACCAAGACCCAGACCCAGTCCCAAGAGCCAGACCCAGACCCAGACCTGATATATAGAGCCTATATGGCGCCGACAGCAACATGCCAGAGGCGATAAAAGCCCCAAGAGATCTCCGAAGTAGATCAGTTTAGTTCAGTTTCAGAATTCGCAAACGACACAAAAAAAAGAAAAGCTTAAAAAGAGATACCAAATCCAAGTCAGAGACTTCACTATCATTATTATATATATAAAGCCTGATTTAGTAAAGAAATCCCCGTGATCGCTGTTCGCATTTCTAATGCTCGTCTGGAACGATAAACAGGATACCAACTTTACCTTCATTTGAGGTCCTTGCTTCAGCCAGATATAGGAACATATTGGACACACACACACACACGGAGCATATATCCTATCATTTTGTGGAATTTTGTTTGTTGTTTTTTTTTTCTTGTTTCCCAATTGTTTTCCGGAAAAGGCCTGCCTGGTGATAATGCCCAGCAGTGTTGCCAACGAGAGTCAGTTTCGATTCCAAAGCAGTCGCAGCAGCCGCCAATCGAGCTGTTCCAATCGAAGTGAGCCAGGTGCCACCACGCCCACCAGCGATGTGGTGGACAAGGCACTGGCCGAGCTGCAATTGCAGTCATCATCCAAGACGGAGATCCTTGCGGCCACCGTTCACAAGCCTCAGCGTTCCGGATGGCAAATTAAGCCTTCGACATTATCATTAAACACACACAATCGTATCCGGAATATTGTCGAGTCCCTGAAGATTAAACCGAATCCAGAGAAGCCCATGATTCCACTTTCCATTGGTAAGTTGACTCAAATATAATATGTGAGCTTAGTGGGTGAAGAAAGAGAGGTCCTTGAAGGCTTTGAGCAAAGTGAAATCCTTAAAAACTCAAGCTTTGCTTTAGATTTGTTTGTACATTTAATTCTTGGAAAAATCTGCTTTACTGACTGTCCAGGGTTTTATAAATTATATATTGAAAGGATTCAAATTCAAGGATTTTTAAACATATTTTTAAATGTTTAAATAATGTTTTAAAGAACATATATAACACATAAAAGAAATTAGTACAGGGCCCTAGAAAAATTTATTTTTGATCACAAAAGGTACCCAAAACCATCCACAAAACATTTAATATACAAATATTTATAATATATTAAAAGTAATTAATAATAACACTAAAACACAAAAACATTAGCAAGAATTCTGCAAATTTTAAACATATTTATAAATGTTTAAATAAGGGATTTTAAGAAGAGATATAACACATAAAAGAAAATATATTAAAAGGCCTTAAAAATCTTTATTTTCAATCACAAAATGTAACCAAAACCCTCCACAAAACACGTAATATATCAATGTTAATATATTTAAAAGTTAATATCCCATTTGTAGACCTTAAAACATTAAGTAACAGTCAAAAATTTTAACCTATTTTAATATTAAAATTATAGTTACCAAAGTTTTTAAAAACCCCCTTTTGAAACTTTGGTTTAAAGTCCTCTAAGGAAACCAAAACCCCACACAAATTAATTAATACATTACTATGTATATGAACACAGGTTAATATCCTATTTTAAGACCTTAAAACATAAAGTAAAAGTACAACATTTATCCCTCTTTTTAAATAATAATTATAGTTACCCCAGATTTTAAGAAACTCATTTTAAAACTTTGGTTTAAAGACCTCTAAGGTTACCAAAACCGCGCACATGTTGATTAATATCTTTACCTTAAAACATTAAGTAAAAGTACAAAATTTCCACTTAATGTTTGAATAAATATTAGAGTTCCCAAAGTTTTTAAGAAACCCCTCTTCAGACTTTGGTTTAAAGACCCCTTAAAACTCTACTACAATTTTTGCCAAAACCAAATCTTTAGGCCAAAATTTACTATACATAACATAGTATATCCCAGATATATACATAAAATCTCTAATTTAGAATAAGAATCTGTAAGCTCTTATTTGTTGTTGTTATTGTTATTTCGATTGTTGTTCTTGTTTTTAAAGTTATATATATGTATAGATATAGGCGGCATTCGTATTATTTTTGTGTCCGAGGCACGCGCACTGTATTTGTGTTTTGAGAGGGTTGATATAGATTTGCATAAAATGTAGTCGCACCTGTTTGACAGAATCGAGAATCCGGGGCTTCGTTTTACCTGAACTGAACCAGAAAATTCACCGATAGCCACTGCTGACTTGAAGGGGAATCGTATCGAAGTTAGGCGGAAACAAACAAGTTAGCCATTGACCCAATGCAATCTTGCGATTTTGGGACCCGGGACCCATTATTATCACCTGATTTTTTGTGTATATTTTATTGCTGATGCCAAAAATACTTGGAAATTAAATTGAATGTAATTTGAATTTAGTAATAATAATTCAAGAGCTTGAAATTGTTTTTCAATGGAATTTTTTTGAGAAGTTCATGTTTACTTAAGTAATAAGCTTTAGGGTTTTTCTGATGCTTCATGATATTATATCTTTTTTGGCCACATATTCATGGAAATATTATAATTACATAAATAATAACAATAATAATAATATAAAATTAAAATGTAATGGCAATGTCAGGACAGAAAAATGCGGATTATTTGCAAAACTTTGGGAACTCCTCATTCTAACTTAAACTTCAACTTCCCCTTAATTTTTCTGTAACTTAGAATTAATCCTATATCTCGCCACTTTCCCATCCTCAGGTGATCCCACAATCTTTGGCAATCTCAAGGCCGCTGATGAAACCATGAAGGCGGTTCTTCATTCGGTGGAAAGTGGCAAATATAATGGTTATGCTCATACACAAGGACACGAGGCAGCAAGGAAGGCAGTGGCCAAATATAGTGCCCATCAGCGTCCGGATGGAGAGATTGATCCCATGGAGGTGGTCCTTTGCAGTGGCTGCTCCTCGGCTTTGGAGTACTGCATCTTGGCCTTGGCTGATCGGGGTCAGAATGTGCTCGTACCCAGGCCAGGATTCTGTCTTTATCACACATTAGCCGAGGGTCTGGACATCGAAGTGAGGTACTATGACCTTTTGCCTGACCAGCAATGGCGAGCCGATCTTGTCCAGCTGGAGAGCCTGATTGATGAGAACACAGCCGCCTTGCTGATTAATAATCCAAGCAATCCCTGTGGCAGTGTCTTTGATGAGAAGCATCTCCGTCAACTGATTGCCATTTGTGAGCGTCACTATTTGCCTATTATAGCAGATGAGGTAAGGGAATCATCAGGAATCTCTAGCTTTATACACTCTCTAATAATGGTTTTAAATCTTTCATAGATCTATGAACACTTTGTTTTCCCTGGCTCCAAACATTTGGCTGTGAGCAGTCTTACTAAGGAAGTGCCTGTACTCTCCTGCGGTGGTTTGACCAAACGTTTCTTGGTTCCTGGCTGGCGAATGGGTTGGATTATAGTTCATGATCGGAAGGAGCGTTTGGTGGATGCTTTGGTGGGTCTAAGGAACATGTGTGGCCGCATTTTGGGCTCGAATACACTTATTCAAGGAGCATTGCCTGAGATCCTGGCCAAGACACCGCAGTCTTACTTTGATGGTGTCGTTGATGTTTTACATGTAGGTTTCGAACTCAATATAACATAGTTGTTGAATATATAATATATAATATATATTTTTATTTCCCAGGCTAATGCCACTTTGGCCTACAAAATGCTAAAGCAAGTGCGTGGCCTTAATCCCCTGATGCCCAATGGGGCCATGTATATGATGATTGGTGTGGATATTGAACGCTTTCCGGCCTTTAAGGATGACACACATTTTGTCCAGGAACTGGTCAATGAGCAGAGTGTCTTTTGTCTACCCGGAAATTGCTTTGAGTATCCTGGTTATGTGAGGATTGTGCTCACCGTTCCCAAGGCCATGATTGAGGAGGCCTGCTCCAGGATAACCGAATTCTGCGATCGCCATTTCAAAAAGGATACGCGTGCCTTCATTGAGCATGGATTGCTGGATGAAGAGGATCTCGCTTTTGAGCTGAGCTGGGAGCAAAACCTTTATTAGATGATCTAGACTACAATTTTTATATCAAGTGTACATAAGAATATATGTATATATATATATATATATATTATGTATATCAATTATTAACTATATCCAAATATAAGGAGTATTGTCTCAAAAAATTGCAGGAAAAGTGACACGCAAAGGGATAGAGATAGAGTTAGAGTGAGAATGAGAGATAGGATTATAAATATATATATTATAGGGAACTATATTTGAGCTATATGATGAGTATCCAAGGCCGACTGGGGTTCTGTGCAGAAAAGCTAATGTGTATGGAAGAAACCCTAAAGAACAGCTCCTCAGGAGCTTTATATTACATAATGCTCAACTAAATTGCTCTCTTTACAAGGTTATAGAGAGAAAGTATGAGAGCTAGAGAGAAGATTCTCTCAGGAAGAAAGTTTACTATATTGTAAAACATTTGCAGGCTTAAAAGTTATTGCTTGAGGGGATTTACTCTCTTTTTAAAAACATTTTTAGTATTATTACTAAACAATCACTGGTAAAAAATGTCTATTTTGCTTGTTCTCTATTTCTATTAATCCCCGTTTTGAATTTGTGATTTCTTTTTTGGAAGGTAAAAAGTGTGTTTTGTGTTAATTGTTTTAATGGTTTGGTCGAGGCTTGAACCCGAGTCGTCCCTATAGCCTAATGGGTACGAGGATCAGACTTTTCCTCTACATATGATGCGGATGCATTTTCTTTTCCATTTCAGTTTCCACGCGTGCCTCATCAATGCCAGCCACTGTGGGCAGACCACCAGGCCAATGCAGCAGCTCCTGTTCATGTTCCATTATCATATTTGCCTCCGCTGGAATTGAAATCAAAGAGATTAGTCAAGAATTAAGGGTTGTAAGGAACAAAACCCACCTTGAATGCGATGCAGCTTGCTGCCATATGCCCAATCCGTGTAGTAACCCACCACAAAGGTCAGCGGCAGGAGTGGGGCCAAGGCAGAGATTCGCTTAACCCTTTGGTAGTAACTGGCACATCCATAGACAGCACTCAGGTAGAAGCCACTCAACCAATAGAAGAGCTCCCGATGCTGGGCTATGGCCAGAGCCTGCTCTCTTTGCTTGATTTGGTAATGCATCTGGATCCAGCGTTCCATCTAAAGGGGTTGATTACAACTCAGGGTTATGTAAAGCAAAGGTTTCAGTTGTGAGTCGGGAAAGTACTCACCTTGAGTTCCTGACACTTGCGATAGCCTGGATCATCATGATCCGGATAATTGCTGCCGGTGGTTTTCTTACAGGAGGCCGTGGCACCCATTTCTATGCTTCCAAATACTGGGTTATCCTTGCTATAACTTGTTGGCCACTCTGTTTGCCAGGGTTGCCACTTCGGCAAAGGGATATAAAATCGACCAGGAGTATTGCGCAGGCGTTATCCTGGCAATGGGGGTTGCTAGCAAAGTGTCGGAATTTGTTACTTTAGTTGCTTGACTGAGGCACTAAGGCTCTGACTGATTTTTGGCGGCCAAGAGTCCTGCTTGGCTTACGGGTTCGCGTTCGCTTTCGAGTTCGAGTTCCCTCGCATCCTGTGCTTTTTTTTGTTGTGAACAAAGGAAGAGTTAAAGCCAGGATATACTTGCCAAAGCTCCACTCCTTTAAAGAAAGACCGCCTCTAGCAGCAACTCCTTCAATCCGGGGTAAGGTGAAAAGTAAGTAAACTTGTAAGGAACTTCACTAGATTCCAATTGAAGTTGTGGTCATGACAATGCAGCTCCTTAGGGGGAGGGAAAGGGAGCTGGGAGGTCCTTGCTTTGAACGTGTGTATAAGTATGTGTCTCTGTGCGCCTTTTTGGGGGTTGCAAATATCTCATTCAGCTTTTTGTACACTGGAAAATCAGGTTTAAATGCTAGTTTTAGTTACTACAACTCATTCCCAAGGATCTGGGAAGGATATATATAAGTTTGTAGGTATTATATATACCTTTAAAAGGTTATAAGAACTCTATCTTTGTTTCTCTCAGTTATGAGTCCTTGTGTTTCCATGTAGAACACCCACCTGGGCAGCTGTTTTTAATGTAAATATTGACCGGGCTCTCCTGTGCTTTAATTGCTGAACTAACCAGGATATTTCAAGAATATTAGGGACAAGGGGTTCTACTAAAAATATAAAAAGAACTCCAAAAGAGTAGGTCCTTTAAAATGTATAAGAGACACAACCAAAGACAACTTCAATAAGACTTCACCGAATACCTTATGCTAACTACAATATAATATTTAATATTTAATATTTAATAACAATAAATCTGATCCCCAGCAACCCCACCAGTACCATCTAACCTCCCAACCTTGGCCAGGATGCGCCGCTTGAATGATTGACCGCCTACAGATTCGTCGCTTGGGTGCAGCTGCTAGAAACAAACGCGCAGGAGTTGGAGCTGGAGGAGTAGCTGGTACAGGCGGAGGATTACCAGCAGGATCGGGAGCAGGAGCACCAGCAACCGGCGCGGTAGCAGCAGTTTCAGTACCACGACCAAGTGCTGGAGCAAGTTCCGTCGCAGGAGGAGCAATACCTGGTCATCACGCCCATTCAACGCATCACTCTACAAGCGGCATTAATACACCGGCTACGGCCAGCACCAGTTCATCCAGCGGGAATAGCTTAACCCCCCAGCAGCAGCAGCAGCAGCAGCAGCAGCAGCATCATCATCATCATCACCAGCACACCCACGGACATCATCACGGCGGCCATCACCATCATTCCTCGCTGAGCCACCACTCGATCCATCAGCATCATACGCAACATATCACACACCTTGGCCACTCGCAACCGGCATCGGCCAGTCAGTTCAGCTTTAATCCCTCGCCGGGTAGCAGTCCTGGCAACGGGCTGGGAGCTCGCCAGGATGCGGCCAGTGCACTCAATAGTCCCACAACCATTGTGAACTCGGGCAGCGGCAGCGGAGGCGGCAGCAGCGTCGCCTTCGGGATGCAGTCGCAGCAACAGACGCAGCAGCAACAGCAGCAGCAGCAGCAGCAGGGCTCCTCCGCCACTGCGCCACCATCCTCGGGTGGTGGCCACAACAATGGAGCCGGCCTGGGTCTGGGCAGCTCAGCGGGAGGAGGAGTCGGTGGCGGCGGCGGTCTCAATCTGCTTGGCGGCATCGGTGGTCTGGGTGGCATGGGGGGTGGAGCAGCTGCCGCCGGCATGGGCATCTGTGGTGGCATTAGTAGCACTGTGGGTAGTGCTGCCATCACGGGTGTGCCACCCATTGGACTGGGCATTGCCACGGGAATTGGTAATAAGATCATGCTTGGCAGGAAGCAGAGTCTCAAGGGTGGTGAACCCTTTCTGGCGGACTATGGACCTGAGGAGTCGCTCAATGAGAGTGCCGACATTGAATGGGTTAACAAGTTGTGGGTACGTCGCCTGATGCGTCTCTGTGCCTTGGTCTCGCTCACCTCCGTCTCGCTGAACACGCCCAAGACCTTTGAGCGTTATCCATCTTTGCAATATATTACCTTCTTCTCGGACACGGCTGTTACGTTGCTCTTTACGGCGGAAATGGTGGCCAAGATGCATATTCGTGGAGTCTTGCATGTGAGTGGAAAGAGGGTTTTCCATATACCTTTTTATATAACTTCCTTTTGTTATTCTTTTCTCAGGGTGAGGTGCCTTATTTGAAGGATCATTGGTGCCAGTTTGATGCCTCCATGGTCAGTTTCTTGTGGATTTCCATTATTCTACAGATCTTTGAGGTGCTCGAAATAGTGCCCAAGTAAGTTTGCTTTTGCAAAGAAAGAGAAGCTTGTATTTTAATATTGATTCTTTAACAGATTCTCCTATTTATCCATAATGAGAGCTCCCCGTCCTTTGATCATGATACGTTTTCTACGCGTCTTCCTAAAGTTTAGCATGCCAAAAAGTAGAATTAATCAGATTTTCAAGTGAGTATCTTAAGATTAAATTAATTATTAGGTTGTATAATTAATTCTTCTCTTATTTACATAGACGTTCGAGCCAGCAAATCTACAATGTGACTTTGTTTTTCCTGTTCTTCATGTCTCTATATGGTTTGCTGGGAGTTCAGTTCTTTGGCGAGCTTAAAAATCATTGTGTAATGAACAATACAGAATATGATTTACTCAAGAGACCGTGAGTATTGATTTACTATATAAATTACAAGTAAAATATTAACTTTATACCCCCCTAAACTAGTATCTTAACCATCAATTCCCTGGCCATTCCGGATACATTCTGCTCCATGGATCCCGACTCTGGCTATCAGTGTTCTCCGGGCATGCGTTGCATGAAAATGGACTTCCTTAGCAGCTATGTGATTGGTTTCAATGGCTTCGAGGATATTGCCACATCCATTTTCACTGTATATCAGGCTGCCTCACAGGAGGGTTGGGTATTCATTATGTACCGAGCTATAGATTCCCTGCCCGCCTGGCGTGCAGCCTTCTACTTCAGCACCATGATCTTCTTCCTGGCCTGGCTGGTGAAGAATGTTTTCATTGCGGTCATTACGGAGACTTTCAATGAGATACGTGTGCAGTTTCAACAAATGTGGGGAGCACGAGGACATATCCAAAAGACAGCTGCCTCACAGATACTCAGTGGCAATGATTCCGGCTGGCGACTGGTGACCATTGATGACAACAAACATGGTGGCTTGGCACCGGAAACATGTCATGCCATCCTGCGATCACCCTACTTCCGGATGCTGGTGATGAGCGTTATCCTGGCCAATGGCATTGTGACGGCAACCATGACTTTTAAGCATGATGGCAGGCCAAGGGATGTATTCTATGAGAAGTATTATTACATCGAACTGGTATTTACCTGCCTGCTGGATTTGGAGACACTCTTCAAGATCTACTGCTTGGGATGGCGAGGATACTACAAACATTCCATACACAAGTTCGAGTTGCTTCTGGCAGCTGGCACCACGTTGCATATAGTGCCCATGTTTTATCCCTCGGGATTGACCTACTTCCAGGTGCTGCGAGTGGTGCGGCTGATCAAGGCTTCGCCAATGTTGGAGGGATTTGTTTACAAAATCTTTGGACCAGGCAAGAAACTCGGTTCGCTAATCATCTTTACCATGTGCTTGCTGATCATTAGTTCGAGTATTTCAATGCAACTCTTCTGCTTCCTGTGCGACTTCACCAAGTTCGAGTCCTTTCCGGAGGCCTTCATGAGCATGTTCCAGATTCTCACCCAGGAGGCCTGGGTGGAGGTTATGGACGAGACCATGATACGGACCAGCAAAACGCTCACCCCACTGGTGGCGGTTTATTTTATACTATACCATCTGTTTGTGACCCTCATTGTGCTCAGTCTTTTCGTGGCGGTCATTCTTGACAATTTGGAGTTGGATGAGGATATCAAGAAGCTGAAACAGCTCAAGTTCCGAGAGCAGAGTGCCGAGATCAAGGAGACTCTGCCTTTTCGACTGCGCATCTTTGAGAAGTTTCCTGACTCGCCACAGATGACCATCCTGCATCGCATACCCAATGATTTTATGCTGCCCAAAGTGCGCGAGAGCTTCATGAAACATTTTGTGATTGAGCTGGAGACGGAGGACTCGCTGGTGGAGAACTGCAAGAGACCCATGTCCGAGTGCTGGGAGTCCAATGTGGTTTTTCGCAAGCAGAAACCCGTAAGGATAATGAACAAAACGGCCAAGGTTCGGGCAGCGGGAAGCAGTCTCCGTAAGCTGGCCATTACGCACATCATCAAGTGAGTTTATCCTGAACCTGGTTTCCAAAAGAAACAAGGATTAACCTAACTCTTATGCCTTGCAGTGATAGCAATAACCAGCGACTGATGCTTGGTGACTCTGCCATGTTGCCCGTGGTGGGCACCAAGGGCGGCGGTGGCCTCAAATCACAGGGCACCATTACCCACTCGAAGCCATGGCGCGTTGATCAAAAGAAGTAAGTATCCGGGCACTGCCCACATGAGAGGCGAGGCGGCGCGACCCGTGTGATGTGTGTCCACTACCAATCCGCAGGTTCGGCTCCCGCTCCATCCGTCGCAGCGTTCGCTCCGGCTCCATTAAGCTGAAGCAGACATATGAGCATCTGATGGAGAATGGCGACATTGCTGCTGCTCCTCGGGCCAACTCTGGACGTGCTCGACCCCATGATCTGGACATAAAGCTGCTGCAGGCCAAGCGGCAGCAGGCGGAGATGAGGAGAAATCAAAGGGAGGAGGATCTGCGAGAGAATCATCCCTTTTTCGATACTCCCCTCTTTCTGGTGCCACGAGAGAGTCGTTTCCGAAAGATTTGCCAGAAGATTGTCCATGCACGGTATGATGCCCGGCTCAAGGATCCGTTGACGGGCAAGGAGCGCAAGGTTCAGTACAAGAGTTTGCAGTAAGTTCAACTATACTTTAATAGATATTCCCTTAAAGTTAAGTTAATCTCTGCCTGCAGCAACTTTCTGGGTTTGGTCACCTATCTGGATTGGGTGATGATCTTTGCCACCACTTTATCCTGCATTTCGATGATGTTTGAGACGCCCAACTATAGGGTAATGGATCATCCCACTTTACAGATTGCCGAATATGGTTTTGTGATCTTCATGAGCCTGGAACTGGCTCTCAAAATCCTGGCCGATGGGCTGTTCTTTACACCTAAAGCTTACATTAAGGATGTGGCTGCTGCCTTGGATGTCTTCATCTATGTGGTTTCCACTTCATTTCTATGCTGGATGCCTCTTAATATACCTGGTAATTCGGCAGCCCAGCTACTGATGATCCTGCGATGTGTGCGTCCACTGCGAATCTTCACCTTGGTGCCACATATGCGGAAGGTGGTCTACGAGTTGTGCCGGGGCTTCAAGGAGATCCTGCTCGTATCCACTTTGCTTATCCTGTTGATGTTCATCTTTGCCAGTTATGGTGTCCAGCTTTATGGCGGTCGCCTGGCCCGTTGCAATGATCCAACGATATCAAGAAGGGAGGATTGTGTGGGTGTATTCATGCGTCGTGTTTTTGTTACAAAAATGAAGCTAACACCAGGACCGGATGAGTCATATCCGGCCATGTTGGTGCCACGGGTTTGGGCCAATCCAAGACGCTTTAATTTCGATAATATTGGTGATGCCATGTTGACGCTCTTTGAGGTGTTGTCCTTCAAGGGCTGGCTGGATGTGCGAGATGTGCTCATCAAGGCAGTGGGTCCGGTAAGTAAACTACATAAATATTATATAAATTGATTCATTAACATATATCCCTACCCAGGTTCATGCTGTCTATATCCACATCTATATCTTCTTGGGCTGCATGATCGGTTTGACACTGTTTGTGGGCGTGGTGATTGCCAATTACTCGGAGAACAAGGGCACTGCCTTGTTGACCGTCGATCAGAGGCGTTGGTGTGACCTCAAGAAGCGTCTGAAGATTGCCCAGCCTCTCCATCTGCCCCCTAGACCGGATGGTCGTAAGATTAGGGCTTTCACCTATGATATTACCCAGCATATTATCTTCAAGCGAGTGATTGCGGTGGTGGTGCTGATCAATAGCATGCTGCTTTCCATAACGGTTTGTAATTATGATTGAATGATTGGAGGGAATAGTTGAACTGAAGATAATATGTGTAATAAGATGTGTAACGAAGCCAGAAAGCCAGAATTAACGAGCTAACTTAAAGAAAATCTATTGAGCCATTGAGTGATCTAAAATTCTGGAGCATGATTTCCCTTTTTTATGTAGAAGAGAGTAAAAACTGTCCTTAAACATGATTATGGCTTTATGCATTTTATACTTTATATTATCTTGAAGTTCAACTAACTTAAGTGTGGCATGAATCTTATATTTTATATTTTACAAAGACAGCATATTTGCTATTAAAAATAGCACAAGTGCTTGAAGTATAAATATTTTAGGCAACTTAATTTGAATGCAATTGAATGAGAAATCACGAGAATGCATGAAATTATACAAGAAATTAAGCACGATTAACAAAGATATATATTATATGTATCTGTAATATATATCCAAATATAATATATATATATAAAATAACCAAAAAAAAAAATGTCCCAGTAACAAGCTCATTCCTTAAGGTTATGCAAATTCGATTAGTAAAAAGGTTTTAGGGCCTTGACAATCGTAAATGCTTTAACTTAATGAATTCAGTATTATTTTTTAATAATCATAAATAGTCATAAGCCTAAAATAACCACATTTAAAATTTCTTTTATATATATTTTAAGTTATATTTATTTTTTAGCTAAACCAAGTCGCCAAAAAGTATGCTTTTAATTTAACCAACCAACCATTATTATTGATGCATGCCCAAGCACTGTGTTCATAGATATATTAATGTATACTATATATATCTGTACATTACTAAAAATTGCCCCGAAAATCGAAAGCAACTGAAAACTGTATATAGCAAAGAAACATGAATGTTATGTATGAAAGCTCTTAGAGCTACTAGAGATTAGAGAATTTAGCATAGAGCTTGACTTGATGTCTAGTGTGTCTCTCCTCAATTCTCTCCAACTTTCTCCAACTCTCTCCATCTCTCTCCATCTCTCTCCATCTCTCTCTATCTCTCACTCTCTCTCTCTCGTCTCGATTTTGTCAACTGCAGTGGATCAAGGGAGAGGTGCATACGGAACGCCTGGTGATCGTCAGTGCGGTATTGACCTTTGTCTTTGTGGTTGAGGTGGTGATGAAGAACATTGCCTTTACACCGCGCGGCTATTGGCAATCTAGGCGCAATCGTTATGACCTACTGGTCACCGTTGCCGGTGTGATTTGGATCATACTGCAGACGATTCTGCGGGTAAGTTGTCCATTATCCATACTCACTTGATCAACTACTGATCATCTAATGATCATCTACTGATGTCTGATATCTGATGTCTGGTGGCAGAACGATCTGTCCTACTTCTTTGGCTTCATGGTGGTCATCCTGCGCTTCTTCACCATCACCGGCAAGCACACCACACTGAAGATGCTTATGTTGACCGTGGGCGTCTCTGTATGCAAGTCCTTCTTCATTATCTTCGGCATGTTTCTGCTAGTATTCTTCTATGCGCTGGCCGGAACAATCCTTTTCGGTGAGCTGTAGAACAGATTGATCCTCTACTCCCTTCCAGTCAGTGCTGCCAAGGATCCTTGTTGTTAGAGGTCTTAAATAGGGAAAGAAATGTCGCTTTTTTATGGGGCTTCATAAATGTCCTAGGGTCCTTTGGAAATCTGTTTCGTTTGTATATTAGTGTAACAAAACATCTCCCTTGGAACAATTGATGAATACTTAAAATATATAAATGATATATAAACTTAAATGCTATAATAATGGTTGAATATAATACATCCGAGAGAGAAATCCATTTGATTTTATGAGGTTTTTTCCACATCCAAAAGTAATTTAGATTCAGGATAACAAGGACACATTGGCAGCACTGATTCTACCGTGACTCCAGACCCGAATCTTTGCCCTTTCACTGATCACTTTCGTTTCAGGAACGGTCAAATATGGCGAAGGCATTGGTCGTAGGGCTAATTTTGGTTCTCCCGTCACGGGGGTGGCCATGCTTTTCCGTATTGTCACCGGTGAGGATTGGAATAAAATCATGCATGACTGTATGGTCCAGCCACCTTACTGCACTCTTGGCAATAACTATTGGGAGACGGATTGTGGCAACTTTACTGCCAGCCTCATATACTTTTGCACTTTCTATGTGATCATTACCTATATAGTGCTCAACTTGCTTGTGGGTAAGTCTTGTCTTATTATGTATACTTTTATTCTTTACCTTAAACTGGTTTTACCTTCGTGCAGCTATTATCATGGAGAACTTTTCCTTGTTCTACTCCAACGAAGAGGATGCATTGCTCTCTTATGCGGACATACGGAATTTTCAAAATACCTGGAACATTGTGGATATACATCAAAGGGGAGTCATTCCCGTGCGACGGGTGAAGTTCATTCTTCGCCTGCTAAAAGGTCGCCTCGAATGTGATCCCCAAAAGGATCGTTTGCTGTTCAAATACATGTGCTATGAGCTGGATAAGCTGCACAATGGCGAGGATGTGACCTTCCATGATGTCATCAAGTTAGTATCCTTTTACTAAACCAAAAGATACAGCTTCTACAAGGCTTTATATCCATTTTAGCATGCTGAGCTATCGCTCTGTGGACATCCGCAAGGCTCTGCAATTGGAGGAGCTGCTGGCCCGCGAGGAATTTGAATATCTGGTGGAGGAGGAGGTGGCTAAGATGACCATACGCACCTGGCTAGAGGGGTGTCTCAAAAAGATACGGGCACAAAATGCTAGTGTAAGCTTAAATAATATATATTTTATTTATTTATAACAATTAATTCTCCTCGAAATCCCCTACAGAAGCAACAAAACTCGCTAATAGCGGGGCTGAGAGCCACCAATGAGCAGCCTGTGATGCGACCCAATGTCCAGGAGGATAAGGCTCCTCTAGGCTCAGCGGACAAGGCCACCATTAGCACCATCAGTGGTGTGGTGGCCGGTGGCTGTCCCCCACCAGTGATGCCTTTTCACCCACCTTTAGTTCCACAGAGAATGAGGAGAAGGATGCCAGCAGTAGTGCCGTTGTCCTGCCCCATCCAGAGCCAGGAGCAGGAGCGGTAACAGTGGGCTCGGGACTTGGCCCCGTAGCAGGACCAGGAACGGGTATAGTTGGAGCACCAGTCGTAGCCGGTCGCCATGTGATGGCTGTGAGCAAGCGAGGCTATGCCCTCAATCGCTCCGATTCCACGGGCAGTTCGGCGGGACGTAAATTCCTGGCACCCACTTCCAGTGATCCCCAGCAGCGCTCCACGCTCAGCGACAAGGAGCGTCTCCACATCAGCAGCCAGCAGAGGAAGAAGAACTCGATGACCACGCTGCCACATGCCGGGCAGCTGGGTCAGCTGGCCAAGCAGAGGGCCGGAGCAGCCGGTATCCAAGGTGGCGATGGCAACAAATCGACCAATTTCTTTGCCCAGGTTAATAGCGAGATCGGTCAGTTCCATTATCCGACAATAAACGCAGCCGCCGCCTACGGACATGGACATGGACATGGTCATGCTCATGGTCACGGGCACAGTGGCCATGGGCATGGTCATGGGACGGGACATGGCATCGATTTGCATCAGCAGCAGCAGCATCATCATGGCGCCCTGGGCAGTCCATCGGCCATTATGAGTCAACTGATCGGCAGCAGTGGGAAATTGCTGCCATTTAATAACCAGGCCAATGTGGTCTATGAGGTGCACGATTGGTGGCAGGAGCAAGTGCTCTGCACACAGACCAGCGACGATGAGATCTAGTCCTGGCCCAGGGGACCACGTAGTCCTCGGGATCGCCTGGCATTAACATTATCAACTAGTGGCCTAGAGTTTTGTATATGCCTAAGTAAATACTATATATGTAAATGTTAACAGATCGCTGGATGCGATTGGCAACCATTAGTTTAACATAAGTTTATTGTTTGTTGTTGTGCGCTAGACGAGGTACGATGATTGGTCAGTTGGTAATGATAACATTGTTATACATAGCTAAAATATATTTAGATATATACTATATATATTATATATGTGAATCTGAGTGGAATCCACAACTCGCCAATCAAATAGGAAATGCCAAGAAGATCCCTTAGATCGTTTTCAATTAGCCAAGTTTATACCGAATATGTTATGAGAAAGGGAGTTATCTTTCGGGTGGCGCAGCACAAAAATAATATTTAAAAAAAATGAAATACTACCAAAAAGCCCCATTCAATGCGACCTCTCTATCTGTCTTGCCAAAAGCGAAGAAGCGTAATAAAATCGTTCGCATTGCAGAACGTTTTAAAAAAACACAATCTGTCTGTATTTCAATGAATGAATGGTTTTGGGGTACTTGGGGACTTGGAACTTGGAACGTGGAACGTGAGCCCTCAGAGCCCTAACTGCGTCGCTGCGTTTTCAAAACCGTCGATAAGTCGGGCTTATGCAAGCCCGTGCCAGGCTTACGGAATGGGTGCGTGACCCAAGCTGGCCAGCGCATCCGTTAGTGGGGGTGGTGTCCGGAATGCGAATTCCCGCACAGACTTAAATACTCGCCTGGCCGAAACGCCAGGTTCAGTAACCAAAGGGCGCTGCCCGAGTGTCGACAGTCCCCCCACAAGATGCAGCTGCTCATCGTCTGCCTTCTGGCGGCCACCACGGCCGCCTTCACCATGTTCGGTCCGCACATTCGCATAGTGCCGGGCCAGCACCCCAATGAGATCGTGCTCCATTTCCGTAATCCCTGCAGCAACAAGACGAGCACCACCACCCTGAAGCCACCGCCGCCACCGTGCCCCGATCATCCCACGACACCAGCCTGTGAGCACCGCATCACTAGTCCGGTTCCCACTAAGCCACACTGCCCACATGACACCACCACGCCACATAGTTGTGGACAGGAAACCACTACGAGCAGTCCCACCACGCCAAAACCAACGTTCCTAACCACCATAGGAACCACTATCAAGCCAACACAACCGACCACTCTGAAGCCAACAGAGGAACAACTGCCAAG